TCGAACCGTTGACTGTATTATTTAGGGACATGGGAGGTTGGGTCTACGGAACTGTCGGAGTGTCCTTTGGGATGCTGCTTCCCGAGCAGGCCGAGTGGTTCTCGAGGTCCCATGGCAGTTGGAAGTCAAGAGGCAAGAGGATGGTAAAGTAGCCTTTGAGAACGATGCTGATGCATAGATGAACAAAAGAGATGTGAGCCTGGTGCCCTTGCAGCGGCCAAATTGTGGGCTCCCAAAAATGGAGCCAGCGCTTGTATAGCATGGTGCTGACCTTCCACATGCTGCCCATCCTTCTTACGCATATCTTCCCTTCTCCGTACAGCTTCCGTTCATCTGGTTTGACCCTCGCACTATGACGGCGGCCGACGACGCGACGTAGCTGTGAGCAATCAGCCGACTGTCCGTGGACCTGGCGAAAAGGATGTTTGCCCGGGATGAACGGCCGAGATAGCGATGGTGCCGAGGGCTAGGCAAGCACGGTCTCCACAAGGATACGAACAAACTGCATCTGGCAGGAACGAGCTTGACGGAGGAGGAATAGACGAAGCTGCTGCGCAGATTCGAGGTGCACGACGATCGATCAATGCAGTTTGCATGAGACGAGGCGGAAAAGTCTCCCTCCTTAAACGCAACCCGGGTGCAACTAGCGTGGCGGGGGCTGTGGCAAGGCCTTTTGGGCAGCGCGATGGTGTGGTGAAAAGGGATGCGTAAAGCGGCGTCCCTCGAGGCTAAAAGTGGCATCCCTTTAAAATTACCTTTATTTAATAGAATTATATAAATCTTTAATTGATATTTATCTAATTTTTTTTCTATTAGTCTTAATAGTATATAAAAGAGAATAAGATAGAGTTAAGTTAAAAAATCTAAAAAATTATATATAGATTCGAATTCGCTATATTTCTTATTTAAATATCGCGAATAAATATTTTAATATTCGTAATTATTAAAATCTATTTCTCTACTTTTAATTATTTAATAATTTTACTATTTTCTTCTAATTTTTTTCTATTTTTTATTAAATTACGAGTAAAGATCTATAAATTAAATTTATAATCGTTTTTTTTAATTAAAGCTATCGAGTAAATTTAATAAGCGATCTTTAATAAGCGATATTTGAATTTCTTACCTTTAAGAAACTATAAGATTAAATTTTAAGATTCTTTTTTTATTTAAAAGCTTATATTACGTTCTATAATTTAAAAGAAAAATCTTAAAGTTTTAATAGAAGATAAAAAGTTATTTTAAAATTAAATAATATATATCTATTTTTTAATTAGAGCTGTTAAGCGAACTTTAATAAGCGATATTTAAATTAATTACGCTTTAATAATTATAAGACTAAATTTAGAAATTCTTTTTTATCTAAAAGTCTATATCTCGTTCTATAATTTAAAAAAAAATCTTAAAAATTTAATAGAAAATAAAAAAGTTATTCTATATATTAATAACGTATATCTATTTTTTTAATAATTACGAACGCTAATTTATTTACTCGCGATAAGTTAGTTAGTTTAATTAAAGAGCGTAGCGAATTAAAATTTATAATTAACTATATATATAAATTTAAGATTTTTAAGCTTAGCTTTATTTTATTTATTTTATATATATTAATAGATCGTATTTTACGCTTTTTAATAGTAAGAAAATTATAGAATTTAATCTTATTATTTTTTAACGATAAGAAATTAAAATATCGCTTATTAAAGATCGCTTATTAAATTTACTCGAGATAGTTCTTACTAAAAAAATAAATATATACTATTTAACTTTAATATAATTTTTTTACTTTCTATTAGAATTTTTATTTTTTTTTAAAGTTATAGAGTCTAATTTATATTATTTATAATATAAAATTTATAAAATTTAATCTTATTAGTTTTAAATAATATTAGATTAAAGTATTTTTACTCTTCGAGAGTTAAATCTAATCTCGAAATTAAACTTAAAAATTAATTACTTTTTATAAATTTAATTTATAAATCTATACTCGTTTTTATTAAATAAAGTATATATAAGTTCTTTATAGAGATATTTATTATATTAGATTTATAGAGAATAGCTATAATATTATAATCTTAACTATTAAGATAATTAGTATATATAATAGAATAAGATAGAGCTAAACTAGAAAACCTTGAATTTATATATGTAGCCAATTATCAATTCGTTAGGTCTACGCTTTTTGATTAGATACCGCGAGTAAACAAATTAGCGTTCGCGACTATTAAAAAAATAGGTGTACATTATTAACATATAGAAAAACTTTTTTTATTTTCTATTAACTTTTTGAGATTTTAATTTTTCAATTTTGAAGCGCAGTCTGTGCTTTCCGAATTTTTAAGAATTTTGAAATTTGGTCTTATAATTATCAAAGCGCAAGGAATTCAAAGATCGCTCACCTACTTACTCGATAGCTCTAATTAAAAAAATGATTATGAATTTACGGAGGGTGGTATTAAAAGTCCTACACATGCGCTAAATCTCTTAGTATGCTTGGCATTTTAATAAATCTGACCTTTTTCTTAGATAGCTTTATTTTTCTAGTAATAATGCTTTATATAACTACGTATATACTTATTTACTCGCTTTATAGAGTTATAGAGCCATATATTATCTTTCTTATAATCTTTTCTATACTTATTATCGTTCTTAAGACGAATAACCTTCGTAATATATCTCGATATTCGCTTTATTTACTTCTAAATCCTCTTTTATATAAGCTCGTAATTCTAGTAATATAATTATCGTTTTTTAATATCTTTACGAGTTCTTAGTATATCTTTTTAAATAATTTAACGCTTTATTTATAGCTAATAAGACTTAATTATATTAAGATTTAAAGAGTTATTATACTAGATTATTTAAATAATATTTATTAATATATAAACTACTTTCTAATACTTTAATATATAAATTAAGGTCTTATCTTTCATAACTATTATATTAAGTCGCTCTCATTTACACTTCTAAGCGAATTTTAGAAGCTTTAAAATAAGAATCTATATCTGATAAGAAGGAGAAGTATAAGAAATATAAGCGTATATACCTTTTTCTGATAGCGATATCAATTAATTCCCCTCTTCTTTCTCTTAATAGTAACTTTCCTAGTCTTAGTAGTAAACTTCTACTCGAGTTTCTTACTAGAAAGATTTCGTAGATTTATTCATCGTATATTAATCTTAAGTTCTTAAGCTTCTTTAGTCTTAGCTTTTAGAGCATTATTAATTTTAGCGAGATTCGCGATATATTCTTTCTTTTTAGCTATAGTTTCGACTTTTTAAATATAATACGGCCTCTTCTTATTATATAAGAAATAACTCTAGAATATAAACTCTATAATATCTACGAAACGACGTCGCATAGTAGATTTAATAAAGATTTTATTAGATTGCCGCTATATACGTACTTTTCCCCGTCGAGAATTTAAGATTATACTGATTTCGTTATTTTAAATTATCTTTTTCTACTTCTCTATAATCTAGTCTTAATATTATAAAGCGAATTAATATCGAGCTTTTATTATAGCTTCCGTAAGAGAGGGTTTTTTAGTAGTCTTATAGGGTCGAAAATTATTTCGTTTAAGTATACGTAGAATTATTATTAACGAGAGTTCTTATTTAGTAGTTAATATAAATAAGATTTTCTTATAATCGTAGCGATCTCTTCGTATAGCGGCTATAATAGCACTCTTAATCTTAAAAGTAATAATTAAGAATTATCTAGATCTCGATATATTACTCACGTATAATAGTAGTAATTTCTAAGACTTACTAAAATCAAATTCTCTAATATAAGCTTAGACTTATTTCTATAGACGATTAATAGTAAAGTAAGAGATCTTAGTAATAGTAGTAATAATTTAAGTTATAATGTTAGCTTCGGCTAAAGTAAGTACTTAAAGTCTAATATCGTTATTATAATTAATAGCTTAAGCTTTATTTATAAACATTTTAATATAGAGAATATAGAGAGGATTACTTTTTATATTTTTAGTAGTTATAATAGCTATAGTAGTTATAATTTGAATTTCGATTTTATATTGCGAAAAAGAAGAAAAAAAGAAGTAAAACCCGGTTGGTCATTATCGAACACCGTACCCGGAGCCTTAAACTTGATGCTTGCATTAATTGAGATCTTGAATCTGAACACCTGCCGACACATTGTGTATTACACCAATCCCTCACACAACATGTCGGGTATGTCACTTTCTCCACTCTGAAGTGTCAAGACTAGCATCAATACGAAGCTAACGCAAACAGACCCAGAAGACAGCCACATGCTTGGGAGCTCATCCTCATCCGACGACGAAGCCATGTTCCCCTCAGAACTCGAGCCCCCAGGCTCAACCTTCCATGACAATCTCGCCCCCCTTGAGGCCCAGCCTTCTGGCCTATCACCTCCCCAGTCGCAAGAGTTACACGACCCGATGGACACAGCGGAAGCAAGCCACGATATGAATGGTGCCGACCAGCTTATGGATGCGGCGCAGGGCGTAGGTCAGAGCAACGGCAATGGCTGGGAGCCAAAGAGCGAGTTTGCAAAGAGTGCGGAAATGGTGCACGAGCCGGGGAGTTGCTGGAACAATAAGAAGGCGAGGGAGGAGTGGCAGAAGGCTTGGAATCAGATTGAAGACAAGAATTTCAGTCTCAGTGAGTATTCGACGGGGGATGGTGGAGACAGTGGGAGCTTACCCGTTTTTGATGCAGAGGAGTTCGGTGACCCTTTCGATGAGAGTGAAGGGAGGCAAGGAAATGGAAAATGACTATAAATGGGGCATGAGCTACGGATATCGGACTGCGGCGTGGAACTCTGACTGCATAGCATTTGGCGTTGTGATTCGAAAGGCACAGATAGCATCGGCGTACCCATGAGAACAAATTCTGCAAGGTAAAAATGGATTAGAAGCATTCGTTGACCACGGTCCGTTCCTCTTTTGGGGGGCATCTATCGTACAACCCACGCAATAGCAGACCCTCTAGCATTGCTCTAGTAATTACATACTACCGCCTCGGCGCCGTAGGTGCAAGACCAGGCACCCCACTATACCTCTCCTCTCTCTCCGTCTTGAATAGCACCTGCACCCAGAACTCCTTGCTATCCTCATCAAACCAGCTCCAAAACCTCCCCTCCCTTCTATCCACCTCTCTTGCCTGCAGCTTAAATCCACAAGTCTCATACGGCTCGGCTGCCACAAGTAAGTACTGATAATTCTTGTCCGGTGGGTCATCCACTTTCTGCTCAAACGCCGACATGAACCTGACCCTAGGCACCACCCCCGGCGTAATCTCTGGATACTGAAGCTGGAAGAGTAGACCCATCTGCCGAGTCAAGGGATCTCGAGTCTTCGTAATCTTATATCCCGGTCGTCCAATCTTCACCATATTCCTCCGAACCTGCACCCCCATGTTCACACCTAGCATATTCGCATCTTGCGCTCTCCCCTCCTTTTGCTCCCTCGCTGCTCTCCTAGCCAAGTTCGTCTGATGCTTGCGACCTTGTGTGTGAGCGAGATAGGAGCCATCATTCTGATGTACTGTGAGGCAGAGCCGACATTCGAAGGAGCCAACGTGATTCTTGAAGAAGTAGGGGTCTTTGTCAAGATCGATAGTTTCGAGGGCGAGTTTGCGGAGTCGTTCGCGGCGGTCGGCGTTGGTAGCGGAGTGAGATGCTACACCTCCGCCGCCGAACTTGGAACCGGCTCGATTCTGAGAGAGGAGAGTGTTAGCTCTCCTCTTCTGGAGATTAGGACTGGCTATGAAATGGAATGCGTGCCTGGTAATCCATGATGCTTTGCTCGAACCCTACGAAGTTGAGAGTGTCGAGAAGGGCGTTCGATATTTTTTATACAAAGCAATTTCTTGGACCGTGGAGTGTATGATCTTTCAATCGCAAATTGTAAGGTTTTGGTGGGGTGGTACAGGTCTACAAGACTGTTGCCAGATGATCGCGTCTGTACAGACGAGTAACCACTTGCGGTAAAGCGCATCCGGCTAGCGGCCGTGTATCTACTTCTAGGTTCGTATTACCTTTACTACTAATTTTGTGCAATCTTTACATAGCCTCCTCCTACACCAAGACATCACACAGGCGTTTAGCGTGCCCCCTAGTCCTTCGACTAACAGAGCTGTCCATCCTCCGAGTTCCTATTTTCGCAATGTGTTGTGGGCAGACTAATGGGATCTCATGGGTACTCTGAGTGTCAACATGCTCTTTGCTGAAGCCAGACTTCGAGTTCGGATAAATCACATCCGACAACATTGAACTCACAGTTTTCATGTGATTTGCACGTGTGGCTTCTCTGCGAGCCCAGAATCACCCGTCACGAAGCCGTGACAAAAGATACCAAAACATTGCACATAATACAAATGCTACTGTGTCGACAATTAGTAAAGTTCATGAAGAGTGCTTACGTGGTACAGTCTCCCTTCTCTCAACACCATTAGCCTCTAGTGATGCTAAGCGGAAGACGGTGATGGAGGCCCGGTGAGCATCAAGATGCGCTTAGTCTGCTGGACTGTTGCCTGCGATTCAGTAGGCACTAGGCCTTCGTCGATGAAGTATTCAACGTCTTCCTGGTCGAGCCTATGCTTGTATTCTCGAACTTCGTCTGGGGATCTGAGGATCAAGTTTTGATATCAAAGTAGTCGTTTTGTTCGGGGCGATTGCTGTACGCAGAGAGCTTGTTTTTGAGCAAGCACTGGCGGTCGAGAACACGGATTTTTTGCGCGTTGGTTGTCAGCTTCATGGTATGGTGCGTGAAGCGAGGAAGAAGAACCCCGTTTAGCATGATATCGATCTTGACAGCCCTATCCGTTTGGGTATTGTCGCCAATGCTTGGGCCTGTTTCGACGTAGCATCGCAAAACCGCTCCGATAAACTTCGACGAGGGTAGAGTAATTCTACGACCAATAGCAAATTATTAGCAAATTTCGCGGTGCTTGGACAAGATGTTAGTATACCTTGGAGACTGTAGCATTGCTCGGAGGGGTGGAGCATATCCAGGTTCTGGTTTCACACACATATCTACGTCGAAAGTCTGACGGGTGCTGCCGTAAACGCGCATTGCAAAGCCACCAGTGATAGCGAATTGACCGTCCTGGATGGCAACCTTCGAGTGGTATCCAGACTGAGGTCACGTAGAACCTTATGAAAATCAGAGAAGCGATGCTGAAGCTGGAGGATGGCATACAAATTTGAGCGTACTGACCATTAGATTGTGGAGCAAGAAGCGGCGCTAGAAGGAAATGAACTGCGTTCTGTTGACAGGGAGAATTCAAGTAATTGGCTGCTCAGCTCAATTTTCTGAGGTTGTTCTCTGTTTCACATCATATTGGACCCAATTAGTTCCGGGGTAGTTACGTGAGAGATTCGCTTTGCTCCTGCCATTGGCTAGGCTCATGACAGCGGATACCTCGAAGAGGTAATTTGGATTCGATTTCGTCGCCCGTTAGCCCTCGTCCTCGCTTATTGCGAAGACTCTATGTCTGCCGCAGTCTGTTGAAAGATCATGCCCCGCGTTCGACTCGCTCTTAATTTGGCATTTTATTCATCATTGGTAGGCCTTGAGAATCATTAATCACTCCAACGCTACGCTTCGCGTGATATCGGAGCTTGATTCGTAGTCGAATCTGTGGGGTGTGACCGAGTAGATCGATGTGATGTCCCAGTAGGAACAAAAGGATTGATGGAAAGAACAAATAGTTGAATAAGCGCATTATTTTCAGCTGCTCCTATGGCTCGGCGGGAACAAGTCGAAATGCACTTCGGTAACGCAAATTCGCTTCCTGCGCTTGTGAGTCCCTGTTGTATCTGCCCAGTCTCCTCAAGCCTGTCTCCTTTGTGAAAATGGCCTCTGCGTGAGTCTGAGGATAGAGATTTATCAAGTGATACTTTAACAGACCCGTGTAATGTCGTCTCACTGTCCGGGGTGAGGCTTCCAGGGAAGGAAGATCTGTAAGGAGGAGCAGCCCCTATTTTTTTGGTCCTGGGTTCGATCCTGACAGAGGCCCTTTTTGAATTTTGGACACTCCAACTTTTGACAAGTTTCAACCGAAGGCCATCACTATTTCGTGACGACGCCACCATGCTGGCACCGCAGGGTTCCAGGTCGAGCAAGCCGTAGATTCAAGAATTTAGCATACTATCAAGCTTAAAAGCCTTGCCATCTTTGATCTGGTCTAGGAACGTTGTGCGCCAGGCCAGCAAACAAGCGGTGCGATGGTCACGTATATTCTCAGAGAAGTGAGCATTAGGAACGTAAGGAGCATCCGGTGTACGAATTGTTCAAATTTTCATTGCTGTATAGAGTACCGCATTCAATCTTAGAATCTTGGAATCTATCCCCATTTCGTCCTTACGCTTTAGTATCGAGAGCCACAAACCCTACTAGGTTACATCCTAGTCCAGACGCATTGTACGCACTTCCGTAGATCCTCCTCTGCCTGAGGGTTTGAGTGGTGAGATTTCACAGCCTGATGGCACAGACATGGGAGAGCGCAGAAGCAAAGACAAATAGCATTTGGTTTGTGCATGCTGAACCATTTCTAACGCAAAGCCCCAACGCACGAACATTTTATTGGGCGTACCAAATGTCTTGGACATAACCCGTACGGCAAAGAAGAAAAATTCAAGAGTCTGGAACCCAAGGCTGAATCCCAGAGAACAGTGAGTGGAGTTCATATTACTGCTGCAAAGTATTTGGTTTCGGGCCCACCAGGGCGGAGAAAAAGGTCGATATGTCGTCGGAGAAAGCATCTCCAGCTAGCCGCAAGCGCCAAGAGGCCGCGCCTAAAATCTAGCTCCCATCCCTGCCCCCTGATCTATAAAGTAAATTCAGCAGCTTGCGCTGACCTTCTGCGATGGTGCAATGAAGGATGTCCAGACCCGAAAATTACTTTGGGCGAAGACTCTCCTTTAGCGGAGCATTATGTACGGTGCGCTATGTTGGCCCCATCGAGGGCACTAAAGGAGACTGGCTTGGGGTAGAATGGGACGAGCCAAGTAGAGGCAAGCATGGTGGAGGTCATAAGGGTGTAAGGTACTTTGAATGTAGGTATGGATTCAAGACTTCTTGTATTTGATTGGCTTTTCATAATCCGTAATGTCCAAGAATGTCTTCTTGTCTTTGCTCGCGATTGCACGACTATCTGCATGAACTCATTTGTTCTATGCGTCAGGTCGTAGCGCTTCTCCTACTGCAGCATCCTTCATTCGCCCTTCTAGACCCAGTGATCAGCCTACTAGCTTTTTTGAAGCTTTGAAGAAAAAGTATGCCTCTGCCAGTGCAGAAGAAATCACGGCAACGGCAAATGAAATCCACATCAGTGGCAAAACCGTGGAGGAGGTCGGCTTCGAAAAGATCCGACGGCAGCTTGCAAAGGTGCAAGAACTTCGTATTGTGGTGTTGGACGGTGCATGTATTGCTGCCGTTGACAGCGATCTCGAGAAACAGAATTTGAAGATCATCGAGCTTGACCTGAGCAGGAATCTGCTCGAAAGTTGGTACGAAGTCACTGCTATCTGCAGTTCTCTCCATTGTTTGCAAAGCCTTAGACTCGAGTACGTCCCCACGACATATCTATATATCTCTAGCATCTCTGCTCACCTCGAGTCCTACAGTGGTAATACATTGAGCCGGCCCCAGGACCCATTCAATAGTGACGAATCACATGGGTCCTATGGACAACTCAAAGAGCTGAGCCTTAACAACCTTGGCTTCTTGCCAGAAACAGCGACTGGAGAAATTGGCAACCTCTCATGGGAATTTGTGAGTAGACCATATTCCTCCTTGGACCACCACTCCTCGGCGCTAACCGAATGCCTCAGATCAAAAAGTTCACGGCCGTATTCCCCTCGCTGACGACCCTTTCTCTCGCCTCCAATAACCTCACCGACATCACGTTGCCCCTTACGACCCCGCTTCTCACGAAATTAGACCTTTCTTCCAACGCGTTCACCACCCTCGAGCACATCCGCCCACTAACAGCACTTCCCAATCTCCAAACCCTGTCCCTCCGAGCAAATCCCCTCACATCGCTCTCTTCACCACCAGATATGGGCATCCTCTTCCCAAAGCTCAAGCATCTGGATCTAATATCGACAGTTCTTCCCACTCTTTCCTCTCTCAATCCAATCCCCGTGTCATTCCCAGGACTTACATCACTCCTTACAACCCACACACCACTGATCACCTATCCTTCCGCGTCACTCCATACAATCGCCCGCCTTGCGACACTTACCGAGCTCAATTACTCACAGATCACCCCTCCGGAAAGACAGAATGCGGAGCTCTACTACCTCAGCCAAGTATCGAAGCAGCTCGCTGCCATCACTGACAATGTCAAGGAGCGCGAGGTACTGGAGGAGCACCCACGATGGAAGGAGCTGTGCGATATCCACGGCGAGCCGACCATCATCAGAACGAACGATGCCGACGCGGCCGACGCAGGAACACTGGCAGCACGAGTGACGGAATTCGTATTCCAAATCAGCAAACAAGACCTGCAAAGAGCGCGAAAGCACGCTCAGAGCATAGACGGCCATTCAGGCGAGAATACCGCGAAGAATGACCCCGGCCACGATGCTCCCATCGTCGAAAAGACGAAACTCATCCCCCGCACCGTAGACGTCTACCGCCTCAAAGGCATCGTAGGCCAACTCTTCAACATCAGACCCATGTCGGTGAAGCTGATTTGGGAGACGGAGGAGTGGGATCCTGTGGGTGAGGGGGACGGGGGGCTGGAGTGTCAGTGAGGACGAGTCCGACGAGGAAAGCCGGTCGGAAAGGAAGGACAAGAGGAGAGAGAAGGAAATGTGGAAGAGGAGGGAGATGGAGCTGGTGGATGGGACGAGGGAGGTGGGGTTCTTTGTCGAGGGGAAGCGTGCTAGGGTGAGGGTTGAGTCGCGCTGAGGCCGTTCCTGATGCTGTGCACTGGCATTTGCAGCAGAGGGCGTTCTCGCATATCTGCGTTGCTGCAGTGTGCACATGCCAGGGTAAAGTCGCCGGAAAAAGTCGTAGTCGGAGCGGTATCGAGACCCAAAATGCTGATAATCTCGTATCAATTGAAGAGCTTCTTTTTGCTTAACGTTTTTCTCCAATCGGGCTGGCGACCCGACTTCGGCGTCAAAATTCAAAAAAGTCTAGTCACTGGTGACTGCCACTTTTTCTAATGGCTCGCGTAAGGTTCGAGAGCACTAAGCATCATATCGGAGGTGCACGTGTCAGACCGTGTCAGACCGCTGAACAGGAAGGGACTTTGACTACGCGTATCTCACTTAATAAAATTCAGCGCAGAAAGGGCTGGGTGTTGGATATTCCTTTCTATTCGATTGCTAGTGTATGCTATGAGAATTTTTAGAGCTTCTGCTCTACAGGCCAAATGCTGCAGAGAGAGAGCTGGCTGATCGTACGGTGATTTTGCACTCTTTCTCCACGAGGGGTACTGAAGACACCGTAAATGAGACGATGGATTTGCACTATACTCCAGTGTTTGCATGGATGCTATAGACACCGTATGTGTAAGCCCTGATGATGCGAGATGCGATTAGAAACTGCTCAGCAGCTTCTCGAAACCCGAAATTTTTGCCTCCTGTGGACTATGATGACCATGATGAGAAATTGCACCCCTGATCCGCCGCCTATGCCGGAATTTTCGATTCGCCATTCTTGAGATCGAAATCGATGCCCACACTGATTGTTTGAAACCCCCAATCGCACTACTCGTGCTGTCCAGGATCCGCAAAAATCGTACTTTGATTGATCAACTCTCCGGGCGCTATTAAGCGAGGTAACTCACTCCTGGATAGCACGAGTATGTAATTCAAGCTTCATTCATGCCCTTGAACCTCTTGAACGTGTACCCAATGAATGGCAACGCCATGTCAGCAGATTGCTGGTCGTCTAGAGACTCGGCTTGGGCACGGACTAGTGCAGAATCGTCATTTTGATTAATATCGTCGATTGGGAAATAGGACACGTCAGTGGCGGATTTGAGGTTTGGTTCGAAGGGAGCGCGGATGGAGCGGAGACCGTTCCAGTCAACACCGTGGAAGAAGGGGTGTGCTTTGATTTCGATACTGCCACCCGGACCGCCTTGAGAGCCGAGACGGTCTTGGACGTCGCAAAGCATGCTGTGGGGTACTGTCAGCTTGAGGGACAAGGAAGGGTGGATCAGAGAACCATGTACCTCCGGATGCACTCCTCCGCGATAGGCCACGAATTACGGTTAGCGGGGTCGTCAGCCATCGGGTTATCTTCAGGGAAGTACAGTGTTTGCTTCCAGTTGACAATCTTTCGGTAGGTGTCATGGGCATCCTCGGCACAGAATGGAGGCCAGCCGATCAAGCACTCAAACATGATAGCTCCGACGGACCACCAGTCACAGCTGAAGGAGTAGCCTTGGCCAGTGAAGATCTCAGGAGCGATGTAGTCGGGGGTACCAACGGTGGAGTAAGCTATGCGACGACGAGATTGGCGCCATGTCGTGATCGCTTGGCGGCTCATAGTGATATTGAGCTGGTCTAGCGAGAGTGAGTTGCGATTGTCGCGAGCCTTGTTCGAAGTTCCCTTAATCAGGTTTTGGTAGTAGGAGTTGTCGTGTTCCTTGTGGAAGCCAGTGGATAGACCGAAGTCCGTGAGCTTGACGTGTCCACCACGATCCAGAAGTATGTTGTCTGGCTTGATGTCACTGAAATGATATTAGCAAATGAGACCAAACTCATGCGCCACTGAAAACAGGGAGCAGCGTGCTGGGGTTGTACGGGAAAGTGGTGTCATGCTGGAGGACGGAGTTCTAGACGCAGAGGCAATTCAAAAAAGCACGTACCGATGAATAAAGCCATGCTTGTGTACAGCTTCAATGGCAAGAATGATCTCGGCAATGTAGAATCTCGTTATCGGAACGGAGAAGATCTCATACTTGATGAGCATAGTCATAAGATCCCCTCCTGGCAAGAACTCCATCAACATGTAGAGTTTGCTCGTATCCTGGAATGTCGTGTATAGCTTGACGACCCATGGACTGTCAGACTCGGCCAGGATATCGCGCTCTGCACGTACATGTGCAAGCTGGTCTTTCCTGAACATCTCGGCTTTGTTTAGTGACTTCAGCGCGTAGATCTTGCCGTCTGTTATACGGGTGACGAGCTTCACCTCTCCAAATGCACCCTTACCAATCTTCTTTACCGTTATAAAGTTTTCGGGTTCTTCTTTGGTGCGGAGGAAACGAAGGTATCGCGCTTCAGCACTGCCAGCCTTCTCATTTTGACGGATCTTTTCTTGCTCAGAGTGCCTATCACTCTTCAGGAACTCATCAAGCTCCCGAGCGCTGAACATAAAACCCGATGTTAGGAAACGATCCGTAGCTATGAGCGCGTGACCGTCTAACACAAGGAAGAGCTTACCGAACATTTCGATCACGAGCACGAGAGATGTTCTCCTTGAAGAAAGATTCGACCAGAGCGTGCAGTCCCTGGCCGCGCTTCACGACGTTGGAAGAGTATTTTTCTGGGTTCTTTTCCGGTGGCTGTTCCTCAGGGGGAGCACTGTACAGAGAAGCTCCTGAGAGGGTGCCATTCGACAAGGAAGGCGCCAACGTGGCCGAATTATTCGACTGGTTGGAGGTAAAGTTGTGCTGGTTACGAGCCAGCTGGCCCTGATTCTGTTGACCGTTTGGGTATAATCTCGAACTCGGAGATTGTTGACGAGCGAATGGACTTGCTTGACGCTGAGGTGTTCCAAGATTCTGGTTCGAGAATTGGCGTGCGAGGCCGGAAGTAGGATCATTGGCATTGTAGCCAGTCTGACGTTGCTGATAGGATGGCTGCGGAGCTAGGACATTTGGTTGCGGATATTGAGGCTGGGGCTGAGGCTGAGGCTGAGGCTGGTACTGGTACTGGTTCGGTTGCTGGTACGATGTCTGAGGCTGGCTGTACTGAGCCTGGTATCCGCCCGTGGGGAAGTAGCTGCCATTTGGACCGCCGTAAGGGCTCTGAATCTGGGCACCGACGTAATCATTGGCGGCCTGGCCGCCGGGAAAGACTGAGTGAGGGAAGTTGGAAGGTGTGGTTGGAAAGACACGCTCGTTAGTAGGTGTATAGTTCCGATCATTGTTATAGCCGCTGCCTCCGCCTATTCCACCAAAATTGAGGTGGAGTTGCTTCTTTGGGTCGATATTTCGATCCATAATGGGTGACGGTGGTGGTTGTTGTTTCTGGTGTGTACGGGGTTGACCGTGAGCGGACAGCGGACAGCGGACAAAGTGTCACGGGAATGAGACAGGAGACGCGCTAGCATTTTGGTCGCGAAGAAGGAAGAAGTGATACTTTTGCGGGATAAGTTGCCGGTCAATCAGAGACAGCGGTGTGGAATTTCTAAGCCAAAATACAAGCAATACTAGCAATTGACAAGTACTACTACAGCGACTTCTACTCTACATGTACACAGGGGGCCCCCCAGAAAGAAAGATCAAGAATATTGAGAGATATAATAATAGAGGCAATTGGCAAGCTGTAGCTAAGTTTCATACTTCTAAAATTATACTTCTAAAATTACATAAGAATTCAAAGTAAAAGATATATATTCACTTGCGATGAGTAAGTTACTGATCACTGACTGCTTGAGGCCATGACAATAAATAATTCAGGAGGACGCATACAGTACATTGCATTGACGGCCATGTGTTCCGCTGGTTCGGGACGGCGCCATTGCGGCATCTAGACCATCTCGGGGTAGACCTCCCGAATAAACTTTTCTGCTGGAGCATGATGACTTTCGTTCCCAGCTTGAGGTGGCCTGGATGAGTGCTTCAATCATGACAGAGAAGCCTCCATCGAAAGATGCCTCCCCCGCCGCCTCTTCCAAGGCGGCGGGCAATCCAGCGCTTCGAATGATGGGTGGGTCAACGTTAAAAGGACCATCAAGAGAAGTAGGCTGATAAACCAAAAACATACAGGACTACCAAATTTCAAATTCAAGCTACCCTCTCGCAATTGGCTTATCTTTGGGACGATAACTGGCTCCTTCACTTCGACGCTTCTGTATGACCGCTATCACAAGAGGAAAGCGCAGCGAAAATGGTGCACCTTGGTCTCCCATCTCGCACAAGAACCTTTGCCTGTCAACATGATGCCCCGGAGAATCACCATCTTTCTGACCGCGCCACCTGGGGATGGACTTCGAGTATCTCGAGACCATTTTCATGAGTATATTAAGCCTATATTGGTGGCTGGAGCTATGGATTGGGATGTCGTTGAGGGCCGCAGAGAAGGAGAGGTAAGGGCAGGACTTGCGGAGAAGATAAGAAAACTTCGAAAACGAAATGGCGAGACTTCGCAAGCTGAGTCTAGTGAAGAGAGCCAAGAAGATTTGTACCAGGAAATGCGGAAAATGGCTGGAATCAAGGATTGGGATGGCGTGCAGGGCGATCTGGTTCTGGGCAGACACACCTGGAAGGAGTACATACGTGGTCTTCACGAGGGCTGGCTAGGACCCTTAGACGAAGTTCAACCTCCCGAACCAGAAACAACAGATCTACAACCGCTGGCACCTCACTCTCCAGACTCCCCCCTTCCAGAGATGCCAGCTTCAGGAACACCCTCCTCTTCTCCACCCCAAACCGACCCACCAACGCCCGAACTTCCGTCTGAAAAGCCTACTGGAAAGCCTGAAAATACCACCCATCACGCCTCCTTACATTACGCCTTTCGAATATGCGTCTTCGCGAGCGGCTCCCACGCTCCCTACTTCCCTCTCCCCATCACTGCCCGTCGCTCTTCCCCACCTCCTCGGCTTCTTCAACTTTCCTATACGCATCCATCGCTTCCTCACCCGGCGGCACCTCGCTAACGCCACCGGCGCCTCTGTTGCAGCTCTAGTCCTCGCATCTCATTCACGCCCATTTACCCAATCCACCGACTTCGCTTCTGCCACCGACCCAGACGACGATGCCTCGCCCAGCATGAATGACCAGACTGAAAGTGCTGTCACGCAAATAAAAGAAGTGTGGGAGCAAGAAGTGGTATTAAGGGAGGAAGAGTCAGAGTGGCATAAGAGCGCTTGGAAGTCAAATGAGGAGGGAGATATGAGGGAGAGAGTGTGGCAGGAAAGGATGGTTGTTGACGGAAGGATTGGGAGTAGGATGAAATGTTTCGAACTGAGAAATGGTCAAGAGGAAGAGGCGGCGAAGCTCGATGCGGCAAAACGACAAGAGGATGAAGGATATGTAGAGAGGGCAAAGAAGTGGGCTGGCTTGGGTTCAAAAGAGAAGCCTGGGTGGGAGACGGGTCTTGAGGGAGATGAAAGCGCGTGATGATATACCTGTACAGTTGAAGGAGCTTTTGCATTGCGGCGGCGTCAACATTTCTGGACTAAGTTTATGTATTCTACCAAGTCTTTCGATTCCTGGATGCTGAGTGGATACAGGTTAAAGAAATTCCCCTCTCAGCTACTTAATTATATTTTCAATAGGACGATGGCATGGAACATAGCAGTTATCATTATCATGCAGGTCTTTCTAGACCTTTGCTCTGATTGGCCAAAACAAATCTCAGGAACGGGCAATGCACCGCCGATCTTCCCGCGCACTAAATTCCCCACGCGACGCCTTAATTCCGTCCAAAATTCGATGTCGTAAACAAGTTTCCTCATTTTCGCGGCAATGGCATTTTTCATTTCCCTTCCCCTGTCCTTACCTCCCCTTAGCAATCATCATCATGGTCCACAAACCCCTAAATAACGGCCATGCAACTTCAGACTACAAGCCTGATGATCTCGAAGCTGCCATCAGTGCATCGCGCCGAAAACCTCGATTCAAAGACATTGTAAATGCCGCTGTCCATGACGATTTTCATGGCGAGCTCAAGCGCAAGTTGAAAGATGGCGTCGATCGCGATGAGCTGGAAAAGTACCGCAAGTCTATTTCGGAACTGAATGAGATCAAGGACAAGAAAGTGCGGGCTTTCTATGAACAGCAGAATGAGAGATTGAATGACTGGCTCGAGGTCGATACCTTAGTGATGAGTATGGCTGATGACGTGCTGGACTCAATGAACCCGCAGGATGCTGATGGAGATGGGGTTGCGGAGATCGGCGGGGCGTTGAAAACCACCAAAGGCGATATTGATCCTTTGCTGCCGGAGGATGAGAGAGAAAGGAGGAAGACTGGGGAGAGGAGGGCTAAGTGGGCTATCAATGTACGGTCATGCGGCTATTACCCTTATGAGTCTTTCCACTGATCATCTTCAGATCAACGTAATTGCGAACATAATCCTCCTCACTGCCAAAATCATCGCCGCCTTCGCGTCCTCCTCCCTCTCGCTCATAGCTTCCCTCGTGGATTCCGCTCTTGATCTGCTGTGCACTTTGATCATCTGGACCACGAACAAGCTCGTCCAATGGAAGATTCGACGGCTGCGGCACAAATTCCCCGTCGGTCGGCGTCGCCTAGAACCACTGGGTATACTCGTGTTCTCCATCATCATGATTGTCTCTTTCCTTCAAATATTGCAAGAGTCGGTCACAAAACTGCTGCCCGGAGGGCCGAGGGATGCAGCGACCCTACCTCCCGTGGCGATCGGTGCCTTGGTTGCTACGGTGGTGATAAAGGGCATCATCTGGTTCGGTTGCATCCGCGTCAAAACCACCCAGGTTCAAGCATTGGCGCAAGGTACCACCCCCCCCTCAATCTTTCCCAAAATAATCCCTTCAAACCCCTTCTGACAGACCCTTTCAGACTGCAAAACCGACGTTGTCTTCAACACCCTCTCCCTCCTCTTCCCCCTTCTCGGCCACCAATTTTCCCTCTGGTGGCTCGACCCCGTCGGCGCCGCCCTCCTCTCCCTCTTCATAATCTACGACTGGGCCGAAACCTGTTTCGAAAACGTCGCCCGCCTCACCGGCTCCGCCGTTTCCCCCAACGTCCTCAAAAAGGTCACGTTCCTCGCCTGGCGTTTCGCCCCCGTCGTAGACGCCTACAAAACGATTACGGCTTACCACGCGGGCGATGGAGTGTGGGTTGAGATGGACATTATGCTCAAAGAGGAGACGAGGTTGAGTAGGGCGCATGATATAGCGGAGACGTTGCAGTATTGTTTGGAGGGTTTAAGCGAGGTAGATAGGGCGTTCGTTAGTGTTGATTATACAAGTCAGGGGCCTACAGGGCATGCCGAGGGATGAGGGTAGATGCATAGCGAGGGAGCATTCGTCTGCTGGCATTCTAGCGGGTCACTGAGTATCAAGCTCAACACGAGCGCAGCATGGGCAGGGTTGCATAGCATCGGCGTAAATTTTAGGGTATTTCAGCGGTACCATACTTGTCCATTTCATACGTTCATCTTCCACCTCTTTTTCTCTTACTTTCCTTTCCGTTCTATCTGAGGTACACCAAGATCATCTTGAGATCGCAGATGTGATCAATTAAGATGCAGAGAGTCACGCCAAATACAACTTCGGTCCATCGCTTGCGCCAGTGCAATCCTCTTTCTTCCTTCGGAATTTGTCCAGCCGGGTCGGACGTTCAGTCTCCTTTCTTCTTAAAAGCGGTAGCTTCAGGCCATCTTTCGTGCGCCGCAGCCAGATAGTCATCTCGGTACTGATCCTTTGCCTTCCATTCTTTCAGCAGCTCCAACCCTCGTACAGCATCCTCTAGACTACTCCCTTCAAGTGCTAGCGTCCTGATGACATCCTGCTGGTTCTTGTCGCTACTGCTCGGATCCAGAAGTTGCCTCACTTTTAGGCATGCTTGCACATGCGGGGCACTCTTATGGTGTTTTTGCAGGAAGTCATCGTTGTGTTTCGAGAGGTCGGCAGTGGCGGGAAGAACTGGGTCAAATTCGGCAGCGATAACTTCTTGAACTTTGCGGTCCGGTGGTTCGGTCTGTGTACGGAAGGTGTGTCCAAGGCGAATGGCTTGTTCGTGGGTAGTTGGGTCTGAGGACGAGAGGGCGTTGGATGCTAGGAGAGTGCGGAGCGCAAGCAGGTATTTCTCTGTCAAGCGAATTAGTCCTTCATCGAACTTGCAATACTGGCCTTGGCGTGCACTTACTTCGCCGGAGGAACACCTCGAAACCCACCTGCTGGGCCTTTATGTTCTTTGGGCTGAACTCAAGAAGTGGCGTGACGAACTTCATAGCCTCTACTAGAGGCTCCGACGTCTGCAACAGCTTCTCGCCTTTGGGGTCTTTATCCTCTTTCTTAGGATCGCCGTTCTGATCAACGGCTCCAGGCTTCTTGGAGTCCTTTCTCTCCGCTTCCTCTTTAGCCTGCTTCTCCTGGTCCTTCTTCGCCTTTTTCTGCGCTTTCTTACGTTCCGCACTATCCATCTTCTCTCCGTTCACTCCGTTGGTCATCTTAGCATGAGCAAGATCGGGTTGATCATGGAGCATTACGTATATCCGTGCAGCCGAGACCGCAGCACGCGTGAAGAAAGGATGTTCTCGAAGATGGTCCTCCCACCTCATCATATCAACGTATGCTCGGATTTGACCCTTTCGCAACGAAAAGCTATGGAAATCAAATTGATCTTCTTGCCATATCTCAAAAATTGTGGAGATGGACGTGAATCTTTTCAGAGCTAGACCGAGGTTGCCTTGACGTATATATGATTCGCCGTCTTCTGTTATGTACCAAACACACTGCATGTCATGGAGATCTCCAAGAGGTCCACCCAAAGCTTCGTTCCTTGTGAATTTGCCCATGTTTTGGATAGCTGCTTCGTTCTCATTATTTCGTAGTTGATACTTCGCGGCCTTAGTATTGATATATCGATCTCTGACGTCCAGTGTCCTGCCTTCCTCCATCAACTCTGCAGCTTTCTGGAGGTTGCCGTAATGTTTCCATATCCTAGCTTTCGTCATATGGTACTCCACAGATTCTGGTGCCGAGCTTAGGGCCTCATCAATGTATTTCATGGCTTTTGGCAAGTCCCGACTCAAACGATAGTTGTAATGCTGAGCTAGAAAGTATCGTACGGAAGGTGTGAACAGGTCTGAGTCGCCATTGATTTGCCTTTCAGCTGATCCGTTAGCTTGGGTATTGAGCATGCCAGCTGCATAACCCTCTACCAAATCCTGTATCGTGTCCCGCTTTTGAGAGTCGGAGTATAAAGCTTTCACATTGTTGAAGGTCGACCAGACGCCCTTATGCAGCATACGTTGCAGGTACTGGTCGGCAGCTTCGCGAAACTCATCACCCTCCAGAAACTCCAGGGGTATCCTCGTCGCAGCATCTCCTCTGGGATTGTCTTTTGCAACGTCTCCGTACAGCTTTCTAAGTTCTTCGACGTTGGACTTATCGAGCCCCAAGGCCTCTTCAAGTCCTTCAAAATACGCTCGGTACTCTGCGTTGCGTTTCAGCAACAGATGATACGCCTTTGCTGCCTCTTCTTTCCTACCCAAGTTAAGTAGGTATTGCGCCCGTAGCTCCATCACTGATGTCCGGTCTGGATTGTTCTTTGCTGCTGCGTCCAAGTGCTCCAAAGCACGCTCCTTCTCGCCCATCTCCGCGATTATAGAATTCTTGTACAAGATAGCCTCGGCGTGCTCGGTGTCGGTCTTCGGTGGCGGAGACTTCAGAGTCTCTTCGTAGGTCGTCAAGGTCCTCTCCGCATTGGCAAGATCCCCTGCTAGATGCTGTGCGACTGCCAGCGCCGTCCAATTCTGCCTCCAACCAGTCCGCTGTTGTAAGATTGCTCGTCGGCTCTGTAAGTAACCTTGGTAATCTCGCATCTGTATTTGCAGCAAAGCCAAGTCCTTCTGTATCTGCTGTGATTCCGGCTCCAGCTTCAGCGCAAATTTGTATGCTTTGATTGCCTCTTCGAAGTTTTTGGCTGACCGGTAAAGAAGACCGTAGACGTGCCAACAGACATGCGATTTCATGGAGTTTTTAAGTGCCACTTTCGCCAATGCAAATGCTTCCTCGGAGTTCCCCTGCGAGTTGATGATGAGCGCTTTCATGGCGATGGTGTCGCCATGATCAGGGCTTTTTCGTAGGATCTGGTCAGCAGCTTTCAGACCTTTTGAAGCGGTCAGCCTAGCACACCTCTTTTCCAGCTTCTCGCCTACCTTTCTTGTACTGTTTGTTCTCGTAGTTCTTGACCACCTGGGTGAAAAGCGAGCGCTCTTTCGAGGCCAATGGCTGTGGGGGAGGCGGAGCCATGTTGAGCTAATGGTGAGAGCTGTAAAATAGCAGAATTCGGTGAGGGATGATATATGGGTATTTTCTGCTTTTTTCAAGCAGCTGTCTCAGTATGGAGAACAGGGCCAGTGCTCGGGATGGCCCTGTAAGTTGAACTGCCCTGATTCAAAATCTCTCGAGCATGCCATTAGTCTTTCTGACGAATCCTTTCTTCCGTGTGAAGCAAACACTCTATAACGACAATCCTATCTACAAGCCTAGACCATTAGGCAATGATAGATGTAAGGTTCTTGCAACACCGCAGCTCCGCAGAATCGGGCATAAGCGAGAATTTACCCGCAGCAGCCAAGGAAATTTTTGTGCCTACTGTCGCTTCACGAAGACCTGAATTATTATATGTCACTTGATTTGACATATCTTACTATACACAAGCTTCTAAATTAAACTCCAAAGTGGATTGTCCATAAACCATCAAAGTGCCACTGCATGGCATTGAGCCAGTGACGCCGTCGCTAATGCTCTCATCATGCTTATACCACCTCTGATACACTTACACCAGCATAATCCCTATCGATCAGCTTCTCTGTCATGTCTCCACTTGTTCAACGCTTCCTCCCACCCGGTCCCGGGGTCACCGCATCTTTCTGACACCAGACTCCACGTTCGTGATCTTATGATGCCCTCTACGCTCCTTTCATTCCTGATGAGATTCGCCAGTAGCTCCGTCCTTGCTTCTCTCGGAAAGAAGCGCGCCGAATATGGGTCAAGGCGCTCATCTACCACCCGTTCCCTTTCCTTTGCCGACTCAACCTGCTTCAGAGCTAGATCAGGGTCACTTGGATCCAAGGCGACGCCTGCACAATAGTTGAGAACATCAGATCTCGTCTGCCAACTTCGGAAGAGCACCTCATTCTTGAAGCTTTGACATGCTTGTGGATCTGTAGGCCGTCTCTCAACAGGCCGTATCTGCCGTTCTGACGTAGTAGCTGGATCCCATGGTTTCCTCGAGGGTGTCATCAAAGCATTGAGGTTCTGTATTATGGAATCATCAATCATGCCCCTAGATAGTCGGAGGAAGTCTGGGAGACTGTCAGCCAAAGTCTGCAAATGTTGCCTGCTCGAGCCTACCTTGAAGTGCTGTCTGATTGAAGCAAAATTGCGGTGTGAGATTCGGTCGGCTTGGAGGCTCTGACATCCTCTTATGCGCTTGAATAGGAGCAGTGTGCTTCTCGCGCTGCTTTTCACTCTTCACTGTGACCCAGAAGAGCCCCGCCACCTTGAACAATGTCCAGCTACTGAGGAAATGTTGGGCACGCTGACTTCGCAGGACTTGCCCGTAGCTGGTGATCCGCAGAGGTAGTTGACACTGGAAAATGGTGTGCAAAAACAAAGGAGAATGGTATATATGCTTGAAACCAAAATCACATCAAATGAAGTCTTTTTGGACGCCTGCGATGATGCTGCCAAGAGATGGCAATAATTCAGCTAGATTAAGCGCGCTCATCCTTTAGGCGAGCCGCGGAGAGGGCGTCATTCGACATCTTGGCGCGGACTTTTGGCGCAGGCCTAGCTAGGAATAAATATCTGCAAGGGGTTGCCTGCGACGCTTAGATGGGGGTGCGAAATCACCGCGAAATTGCGAATGATTGATATATGCGCTACGCGAGGTCTTGGCGAGATTCGAGCGGGATTGACGACGCGTTCTTAATATTGGTTTGGCATTGGGACAGACCCTTTCCAACTCCTTGGTAAGCATGATATCAGCGTAGATGCTAGTCTCACTGAACGTCTGGGAAGCTAAGAAACCGTTGTCGCTCGAATCCACCTTCTGCCTGCCACACAAAATTAAATCGCGTTGCGTGCATCTTGAAGAGAGCGAATCTTACCATTTGAGACTCAAGATTTGTTTCAGTCCACGAGCAGTCTCGTGATTCAAGCGCCCCAGTCTACACGTTTTTCGCCTGGATTTGACCTTCAAGATGCCTGAAATTGGCGAAGGTATTACCATTGCATTCTCCGAAGACCGAATCAATGCTGACATCATGGTGGCAAGTCGCTCGTATCGTCAACTACATACATAAACATCTTGTCGGGAAGACATTGGCTAAAGTGAAAGCCCAGCACGATGAGAATGTCTACGGCAAGGTGGGATGTTCAGCTGAAGCATTCGAGAAGGCTTTAACGGGCAAGAAGGTTGTAGATGCCAAACAGCAGGGCAAGTACTTTTGGTAAGTTCCAGCCGCCTCATACATAGATGTCAAGTTGCCATCACGCCTGATGGTTCATTTTCATACTGGAATATCCACCAATATTTTACGGTCTGGGCTCTCATTTTGTTAATTCGTCCTGTATGTGCAAGATATATCGAAATCAGGCTGGTTGAATCAGGTCGTCCTCATCGTCTCTCTTCAGCTTGAGCACCGTAGTCTAGGTTTCACATGGACTTGGTTCTAAGTGATCTGTACAGGATGGTTATGTCATCACCTCCGCACCCCTTAATGCACTTTGGAATGGCAGGCTGGCTCAAGATCAGGGATGAAGAAACAGCCTACTACAAGCCTGCAAAGCCCGTAGAATCGCCAGACTGGCCGCCTAAGTACTGGAAATTTGCACTCGAGACCGCTGAAGAGCCAAAATGCGAAGCTGCATTCGTTGACTTGCGGAGATTTGCAAGAATTCGACTCATCGACTGTGCTGCTGATCAAATACGGAATGTCTCGCCGCTTCTGGAGAACGGTCCTGATCCCGTCATTGATAAGGGTATTGTGACAGAGGAGTGGCTAGCTGAAAAGCTAGGAAGCAAACGAGTTCCAGTCAAGGCACTTCTGTTAGATCAAGCAAATATTAGTGGTATTGGCAATTGGGTTGGGTGCGTGCTTCTTGATTGCAATCAAGATTCCTATGGTCTTGCTATGGACGCTAATTTGATCGGCAGGGACGAAATCATGTACGATTCGAGAATTCACCCCGAACAGTACAGTAACACCCTGACTCCTGCCCAAATCAAACAACTTCACAAATCCATCCACTACGTTTGCTCTTTCGCTGTGGACAATCTGGCAGACTCTAGCAAATTTCCCGAGGAGTGGCTCTTCAAACATCGATGGGGTAAAGGAAAGAAAGACAGCTCGACAACCTTGCCCAACGGTTTGAAATTTGTCTTCCTAACAGTGGGAGGGAGGACCAGCTGCGTGGTCCCGAGCGTGCAGAAGAAGACAGGACCGGTGGCGGGAGACGTCAAGAATGAAGCGGACACAGAAGATGCGGATGGTGAAAAGAAAGCGAAACCGAAGGGCAGCAAGAAGGTTTTGAACCCCAAGGAAGTGGAGACAGACGAGATAGAGGTCGAGCCAGCGAAAAAAGGCTCAAAAGCAAAGAAGCGTACTCTCAAGACAAAAGACGAAGAGCCTACTGTAAATAGCCACGAGCCCAATGAGGAAGCGAGCAAGCCGGCGATCAAGAAGCGGAAATCGAATAACAAAGCCGACACCAATGGAGCTATGGAGCCGAAGAAGCCGAGCAAGGCAAAGGCTGATACAAATGGAAACCATGGTGAACCGGAACCCGAGAAGACTGAGCGACGGAGGTCTGGTAGGGTCAGCGGCAAGGCTGCCTGACTTTTAAAAATCGACAGTGGAGTGTATAGATAATGGACGATGGTATAGAACGGTGCTGTGTACATTAGGGAGTAGTTGTCAGCTTGCAAGTGTGCCCGATTTGCACCACTATTCATTGGCAGTCTAGGTCGGTCTGTCACCAAGACTGTACCTCTGTTTGACGAGTGGAAAACAAGGACACGATAAAGGATATTTCGAAAGCTTTAGTCCTTCCGAATGCCTCTTAGAGTCCTCGTGCGTATTGCTTTCCTCAATAGCTTGTCGTTATCGTATCGGGTGTCAAGCTGCCTGTCTCGAAATTGGACGAAAAGTGTCAGTGGCAGCAGTATGAATTTTTTTGAGCAAAGAGTCGATAGCCAAAGGCTGATCTCCTGGGTGTTTTCTATTTCTCTTTTCACAACATAATTCCACCATCCGTCCCATAAATGAGTATGGAGTTGGCTCGCACGGTGTGCTCGATAGTCGGGTATGCCTTCATATCTAGGTGCGAGAGTACAACGGCGGCAGGGATTAATTTTTTTGCAGACCCTTTCCAAGCGAGACTAAGGATATCGACATCTGGGACGTTCTTGATTCGTTTGAGGAAAGCTGCTCAATAGTTAAGTACCCCGAATGCTTCCTAAATATGGCATTACCGACAGATGACATGTTTTAGCGCCGGCTAGATGACCTTAATGATGGCCACAAAACTCCATATTGGGCTGCCTCTTTCGCAGATATACTTCCCGTTGAGGAACATGGTCTTATGCGAAGTATCCATCGTGCCTTGCGGTATCGATCTCGTCCTGACCGAATTCTATGCTTTGTACAAGGCGAACACTGACCTGATGCACCTCAGGAAGGTCAGAAGGTTTAACAACTATTATCCGTTGCCGGGCATATTCAAAGAGCACATCAAGCTGGTTGGAGTTCTTCGCCGCACGGACGGTCGATATTGTGAGTGCACGGGCTTTGCTGACCGTACACTTGAGCCAGCACTGACCAGTGATGCTATGGTGCTCCAAGCCATCAGGTACGCAAACGAAAGAATTCAGACGGTAAATCATATTTTACTCGACTGGCCACCAGACTTTACGCCACACATCCATGTGTATGTGACACAAGGAGGTCGAGAGATTGCCAATTTTCCTGATTGTGCAAGAGATGATACTACATCAGCAGACTGACGGAGTGGAGGCAGTACTGCTCAAGAAAGAACGTCGGAGCATACTTCCTGCGAGGGGCACCAAACTCTGATAGCAGCTGCGGTGTCATGTAGACCGTCTCAAACCACGAGGGCATTGGGTTCAGACTCAGGGTCTGTGTTTTGTTTGATATGGTTTACAGGCAGCCGCAAATCGTCAAATAAGGGGGTCTATCCCTGAGATAGTTGCTGAATCAGAATTTGCTCCGCTAGCGGCGCAAGTACATCATGGGCAGACCCTCCAATGTGATTGCCCACCATCCCACTCTTTGAGCCAAGGCAGGCCTTAGGAAATCGGCTTGGATGCTGAAAGATAGTCTTAGTTCAAGGGGGCAGAATGGCAAGTACCAGGGGCGTGAAGCCTAATAGATACGTCACATCGATTTTCTTCCTCTTCTGCAGCTAATCTAGCCTACATCGATCCTTGGAACTCTCCCATCATCTCGATGACGCCGCTTAGCTTTGAGGAAGTCGTTCTCGTGGTGTGTAAAGATGATCGTATTGCTAGCAAAACGCCACTTCCTTGGAGGTGGCTATTGCCACTTCCACAAGCGCCCCCTTTTGATATGCGAGCTACCATGCGAGATTGACAAAGGCTGATGAAGTAGCACCATCTGCCATATGAGCGACCCCTCCTCCTCCAAGCAAAAGGAAAACCAGCATGATGTCGTAAAGTCGTTAGAATTGTAGCAAAGAATCAAGCTCTGAGCCTAGCATCACCGAACTTGCCTGAAATGGAAACCAAAGAACTAGCAATTCCATAGCTTACCCAGAAACCCCGAATCCTTCTCCGCCATCTGCTTCACTATCATACGAAGCCCTGCACTGATCCACGACTTCGCCCCATCCATAGCTGGACTCCTTTGGAACTCTTCCGCAATCGCCTCCTAGTTCAAAGCGCTCACATAACTTCCAGACTGTCTTTGATCGAGTCTAAAGTATTCGTTGCCGTAGTTCAGCAAATCCTCCAGCATCTTGATGATGGCGGAGATGAAGGACTCAAAGGTAACGCTTTCCAAGGAGGTGTTTTCGACGTTTACAGTGCCGAACATAGACAAGACGAGCTGGTGCGTGGCCATCGCAAGGTCGCCAGAGTCCGCAGTGTCGTTCTGTGGAAAGCGCGCAGGAGGCCATGCTCGTCGGAAAGGTTTCTCGTCAAATGATAGTACACTACGTCTAAGGTAACGACTCATTTGGAAGCTTCATGCATGGTGTCTGGGCGACTTGGGAAGCTCGGCACCGTCTCGGAAGAAGGCCATTAGAGGTATGTCAGATCAACGTCAAATGCGCATCGATTGCTACATCATTGACCCATTGACTATGAGATGGCGATGACACAACATGTGCCGTGATTCCCGCACGGTTGTTGACAAGACAAGACTTCGATCGGAACGATACCAATGTTATTGTCGTAGCGCTTGATGATCTTAATATCATTAGGATCGACGACCTCGATGCGCTTCATGACCTCACTGGCCGCCGTCTTATTCGCCTTCTTGCTCTTCCCATCATCCTCGTTACTTTGGCTGTGTCGACGCGGCATCGTCACCGCTTCCCAGGGGTCCGATTGGACATTGACATTGATCATTCCTCGGTTGAGTGCATCTCGGTGAACTCTAGTGTGTTCAGAAGAAACAGAGAAGTTGTCTTCTGCAGCAATCCTGATATAACTCTGTCTTTTACCCTGAAAGTCGAGAGGATGGCGTAAAGGTCCAAGGTTCTCATGTGCAAGTCTGATCAAGAATGGTTCTACTACCGACAGCCCAGTTTGTTTGGATTTGGACATGATGTAATCTGTGCAGAATGTAAGGATGGATGAGACCTACGCGGTCTGTACTCAACAGTAGACTGTAAGCTAGTGATCGATACGTGGATAGCAGTCAAGGATCCTGAAGGAAGAATTAGGCTCCTCAGGGGCTGCACGGCTTGTGGCCACTGTAAGCGGATTCTAGGAGTGTGAGCTGTGAACTGAAAGTAAGCCGAGATGTCTTGCCTGCCTTTCTCAAAGGTTCGAAAAAGAACGAGGAATGAATGATGACCTAAAATCTCACCCTGAACGCCTGAGATCTGCATTCAAGACAAATCTTTTCATCAAAGCATGCAATCGAAAATTATTATAGGAAGCAAAACGAGCTGCATATATATATGTAGATGCATGTGAAAAAAAACAGGAGGACAGATGGATGGTGGACTTGACACATGAAAGAGAGAGAGAGAGCGAATGGACGGATGGTGAGGATGAGATAGTCGAGAATGTCGAAACGAAGAGAATATCAAGTCTGAACCCCAGATGAGAACACCAACCACAGTGAAAGGTGCAGCGAACGCTGGATCTCAGCATGGTAACAGATGATTGGCGTTGGTAGAGAGCAGAAGTCAAAGTGGGTAATCCTGCAGCTGGAGGGGGACAGAAAATGCTATCAAGCTCGAATCGACCCAAAGACACCAGCGCAACATCTTGATATCTTGGGTAATATCAGCAGGTCAAGCCTAATTCTTCAAAAAATTACGGTTTCAAACCCCAATGCCTGCCCAGACTGTATGAAGACTTGAAAATACCTTGAGTCGGAGTTGGGCTAAACACTGACGTTGAACAACTTTTGACTGAGCCTTGGCTCCAAAGCATGTCAAACGGAAGAAAGACTAGAGATGGTAGCCGTAAGATTCTGGCGCTGACGCTTTAGCTCGTGGATACCGGTTGTCAAGTTGACAAAGTAAGCTTGAGTGTTTTGAGAAGCGTGCTCTAAAAGTTACTTGTGGAGACACAGTCGTTGTTTCTCAACCGATCAGTGCTTCTGTTTCGTCTCCTTAGCATACGTTAGAGTAGTTAGACAGCAAGAGAGAACAGGAAATCAACTGACCTCCTAGCTTCACGGAATACTTAGCCAGCACACTCCCCGTAGACTTTTCACCTCCGACATCACCACTAGTAGACCGAGGAAGACATGAACAAATTCATAGATCCCTTTATGTCTGGCTCTGCGACAGACCACCACAATCAATCTGGGCATTTTGGAAAGCTCCGATGAAGTACAATTACTAAACATCCCAAACTCAATATGTATCTGCCATGCGATGAAATTCTTGTGAGCACGAAAGGTGTTCAGAGAAAACAATACTTCCTTTTTTACCCTGTGAATTCAATGCTGAACTCAGTGAGCTTGGCTGAATAGTCAGTGACTTGTTCGAGACCGAAGAGGTCATTCTGCATTTCGTCACTCAACTTGCTCGACCCAGTAAGGAAGAACTAAATTAAGCCGAGGAGTTGCCTGGTTTGACCCCTTCTCATGGCCGATTTAGCGCATGGCGATACGTCGCTGCCGCGACTGGAGACGATCACCTTTCGAGTCTTGCAATAGGTCATGCAAATGCCGATTCAACGGTGGCAGCGAAGACCGTGGCTGCGGCGGTGAAATACTTAGACTGCACGACAGCATGATGAGGTCAACGGGATGTGTTTGGTAGCTGTAGCATTTGGAAGCATCGATGAGCAAGTAGACAAAGGGAAGCCTCGCACCAATCCGATGGAGCCCAGCGGTTCAGACTCAATGGTATTGTATGAATCAGTTAGTGACCTTAGCGTAAGACCGCACGGATCAAAAGCTTAAGCGAGCATTCCTAGCCGTACACAGGTCTAAGTCAACAATACAGAATGCATTCCGAGAAAAAGACACTCAGTAGGGAGCCGTAGCCAAATGAGTGATGATACATTGAGGAGAAATCCACAGATCCTCAGCATAAAAACCTTGACCAAGTCGAGTTAGCTGCTACATGATGGCAGAGACCGTGCTCTCCTTCGTTTGATATTGATTGACACCAATGTTCCGATTCGTGTTAGACATCTACGGACACTTATCTCTTTCTACACCTTGCTCCGTTTTGCGTCTCAAAAAGACGCCCATTTTGGTACCTAATCTTTCAGAGGCATGTCTTTCTGCTCATGGACTGGGCTCTTCAATTTCCCCGCCTCAAGAGCACTTCTAACATTGTCAACAACAAAGTGTTCCATCTTTTCTTGCGTCTCATACTTCGATTACGTCAGCATATTATATGTAATTCCAGCGGTGACACTCACGGTCCATGTGCCCATGTGAGGTAGTAGCAGTACATGTGGATTGTCCACCAGTCCTTGATGTATCTTTGGCTCTTCCTCGTAAACGTCCAAGCCAGCGGAGAACACTTTGCCATGACTAAGAGCCTTGACAAGAGCGGCCTCGTCAATGACAGCACCGCGAGCAGTGTTGACCATCACAACGCCATCTTTCATCTTTGAAAATTGCGGCGTTGATATCATGTGATGGGTTGATTTCTGGAGTGGTGTTAGTCAAGAGAGGAGGATGGATAGTTTCAGGGCAGGTGTGGCCGAACACAGCAGAAGGACAAATCTGTCTCAGCAAAAGCGGAAACTTACATTCAAAGGCACATTCAAACTTATGACATCACTCGTCTCCAAAAGCTCCTCAAACCCAACATACTTCGCCCCTCCGCTCATCTCATCGCTCAGCTTGCTCCTGTTGTGATATTGCACATTCATTCCCAGTGCTTCCGCCTTCTTCTTGAAATCTCTTCCTATTCCTCCCATACCTACAATACCTAATAATTTGCCCTCTGGATCATGCCCCAGAGGCGGTGGAGTCTTCCCACGAAATTCGCCCTTACGCAGGTTTATGAGAGGGGAGGCGAACATTCGGAGAGCACCAAGCATAAGGAAGAGGGAAGTATCAGCAGTTGCTGCGTCGACGGCAGTCGGGACATTAGACACGTGAATCCCCGCTTTGGTGCAGTCGGGAATATCGCACTGGTCGTACCCCGCGCCTGGTGGAGGAAGAATGTATTAGCACAGGTGGAACTGGACGACCCTCTTTGATAAACACCAACCTCTCACCCACCATTGTGCGCCAAGAATCTTAAGCCCGCCTTTCCCAACTCTTCGCATACCTCACCCTCAATTCTTCCTGTGATCTTGACGCTATTGAATGTCCTGTAGGCCGCTCTCACGCCATTGAAAGCGCCGCTGCGGCATTCTTTTAGGAAGTCTGAAGGATTGTCGGAGTTCGGTGTGACGAGTTGTGCGATTGAGGAAAGGGATTCAAAGGATTCTTTGGCGGATGGACTGAAGATTTTCATGGTCAATGCAGGTCTCTAGAGGGCTACAGAATAAACGGGACATGGTAGACGATTGGTGAGGTATGGGACCCTACTGTTCAATATCTCCAAGCAATAGGACCTTGGGCTTCGACATAATGCAGGACGTTGTCTCAAATGACGGGTAAGGAGATATCTCTGTACAAGAGAAAGGGCAAGGAAGGGGAAGGATAGATGAGACTGTCGTACGAGGTATTTATCGCGGAGGCATATCCGCCCGGCTTTACTTTAATAATAAATCGGTGATAAGGGGACTTCTTTACCGCTTACGGAGGTCGGTACCAGGAAGTCCTGCAGAGCGCTAGTACCAACCCTAACCCTGATCTCGGAAGGCACCCTGTAACGGGGCCCAGCCCTGTAACCTGGGTGACCTTAGGCCTTGTTGGGCGCGATACCGGGCCTTTAGCCTCCTAATAAATGGGCGAAGGCCAGGTGACAATCCCGAAAGAGTTCCAAGAGCCTTGGCTAGGCAACCTCCGTAGAGATGTGGTCAAAAGCAGTCAGTGCAATAGGTACGAAGCGTCTAAATTCACTCCACAGTCATGAGATCTATCACTCATGTCTGTAGGTGGTTGTGGTATATCCCAAGAGGGTACAAGCCGTTGCGAGTGTAGGGACTGAATCTAGTCCAGTCAGTGGCATTTCGAGCATCATCGGTTACATAGGCAACCAGAATGCGAGCTAATATGCATCTCCAAAAGGGCAGCGGCAGGATAGGATTCGCCGCAGCCTGAATGCTGGCAAATGTATCTTGATTGATCTGGGGTATCCGGACAAGTAGGTCGTCTAATCTATGCCAACATGCTCAAATTTAGTTTCTTTTTACCAACTCACCTTACGCAGGCTGCAGCAGAGTACTGCGAGCGCTGCGGGCTTTCAAGGGCGCCGAAATTGGCCACTGGATGTTGTATGATGGGAGAAGAGGCTTGAGGCGCTCGAGTGGCGTGCTGCAGAGGTATTATTAGCATTTGAAAGGAGCGGCAAGTAAGCATGGTCGTAGAAGCAAATTCGACGAGGCTGCAGGATAATAGCTGCAAAAAGGCGGGCGAAAAGTGTATGATAGTCAGCGGGGAGTAGAGGTGACCTTATGCTTTCTGTGTGTGAAGAGCAAAGAGCGCCTGCGCCTGCCATAGCGCCGTCAAGGGAAACGAGCTTCTGTGAAAATGCCTTGATTATCATGAAGAGTCCTTCCTTCACGCTGCTAAAGATGCATGATGGTATCGCTGTATTGTACATGCTTGAGCTTTACACCCGTAAGCCAGTCGTGTAAATCCTTTCTAAAGAACGATGACAACATGCTGTGACCGTAGTCGCCTCTCAATAAGATCAGTATGCATGTGCGGTTCCCTCCGTAGTCACTTCCCCGGACTTTGATGCCAGCAAGACTCCACCATCATGAAAGGCCTGATTCTCTTCGATCCCCATAATGCAACCGAGATTTCTTGCTTCTTCTGCCGTTTCATGTATGATCCTCCTAGCGCCTGATAATCGAGCTTCTGTGAGCCATGCCGCAGAGTCTTTGGACGACCTGATTAGTCCCCTTCCCGTTCGACTCATCCTCGATGAACTTCTTCGCCACGAACACCTTTGTCCTCGCACTGTCCTCGTCGTTGTTCGCAGGCTGCTGCAAGTTTTCCGGAAATTCTGATATGCGTGCTCCGACATGTCGAGCAACCATCACTGAATAGATGACGTCTCTGTTCTCCCGGCTGTCCAGGAGGCCGCGGCAGCTTGTGAGCGTGTCGTCGATTTGTTTGGCAGCGCTAGCCTCGTCGTCTTGAATGGTGAGGAATGTGTGGACGAGGCGCCAGAAGTCGCGCTCGCGGGTTTTCAGTTGGTCGTTTAGAGCTGTGCCATTGCTCTCTTCAGACGCCTGTGAAGGTGCTGAGGAGGAATCAAGATATTCCCCAGTCACTAAGTTTTCGAAAATTTCCATTCTCTTAGCGGCATCACGAACCCCTTCTTTGCTATCTTGCTCATCGACTGGTGATTTACCCGCAACTTGCCGGCACATTCCTATCATTGCCCAGACCACTGTGGCCTCGAGGCTCTGTGTGACTCCCCAATTTTGATAGTAGCTAGGGTGCGTCCGATCTATAGCGTATCGTTGAATGAGTGTTTGGAATTGGTCGCACAGCCGACTGTTTTGCATAAGATGTGTCATGCCCCTCAGTCCAAACCACTTGGTTTCCAGGAACTTGTCTATGCCGGGTGCGTACACGGTAATCCATATGTGTTTGATCTCTTCACGTGTAGCAGCCGAAATCGTAGTTGGTGGTGCAGGCGGAGGAGGGGATACCCCCCTTATACAGAGGAGCTCTTCGATCTTTGTTCGCTTCGCTAGAACGGTGTGTTAGTTAAGATGATATTGCCAACGCGAGATGCATGAGGCCCAGACTTGACTTGATAAGACTTACCTCGATGGCCTTGCTGATCCGACGCAGCTGATGGATACGGAGTCCCCGTCCCTAATGGCTCCTTGCTGTCTTGCATTTGTGCTGCTCCCCCTTCAAGTGTTGGGTCTATAGCAGCACCGTAGTCGTAAGGTTGGACGGTAGAAGTTTCTGAATCTGTCCCTGCTGGACCGTAGCCTTGAGAGCCAGCGTGCACGTAGCCTTGAGGGGGTGGTGGGTATGGCGACGAATTCGCAGATTGTGTAGAGGACGCAGCACCAAGGGCAGGCTGGATAGCTGTTGGCCCTGGTTGTGATTTGAAGATCGGGTCGTAACCTAAACAGTCGCGTTTACTTTTCTGACAATTTCTGCAAGCTGGATGGGTTTCGTCACACTGTGTGTGATAGATCCTAAAGTCAGCGGAGTCCAAATATGCTGTGTCGTTGAGTGTGGATTTATGAATTCGACTCCTTCACAGATCGTGAATATAAAGAGTGAAGCAGCCCACGCTCGCTTGACACGGTCGCTACTACCCGATCGCCCCAAGGAACTCGGTAAATGTTAAACGAAGACAACTACATCTGCAACAAGGGGAGGGGGATTTTGACTCGTCGTTGCCCTGGGTGCGCTGCGAATTTTACAAGTGCAATTTACATACCTTGATGCGGCGCTTGCGACAAGTCAGACACCCAGTCTTTGTCCTCCGCTTGATCTCCTTCTTGTGTCGCCCGCCGGACATTTGCCTGCCGTCTGGCGGTATGGGGTATCGAACAGGGGCGTTTGGGTCGGAGGTAGGGGGTGGATATTGACCTTGTCCGTAGTACTGGCCCATGTTTGGTGGCATTGCGGAGCCCATGGGAGAAGGTTGTCCGCCTTGTTGCGACTGCTGATGTTGTGGCTGAGATATGCCATCAATCGATCGAATGGGAGGCAAGCTGATATTAGGATGAGCCATGTTCGATCCAGAGGGAGAATTAGCTTGCCCTTGCCCTTCAGGTGGAGGATAATTGAACTGAGCAGCCATAGAGGGCGCTGAATAGCTGGGATATGAATTCGGTTGATAGGACTGCGCGGTATCACTCTGCTGTGACATGACCTGCGGCCAGGGTGTGTGGCCGAAGTGTGGGGGTTGCGTGGAAGGCCAGGTACTCGTAGGCGTACCCTCAAGGCGGACAGCTAGGGAGGAATTGTTCAAGTCCTCGAGGAATGGCATCCCGCGGCGGCCAAAGTGAAATTTAGCGGCGGCCACGTTCTTCATCTAAAATTCCGCAAAAATATCGTTGAGACCTCCTCACAATCTACGATCGCTTTGGTAAGTCACAATTACATTAATTATATAAAGCGGAGTTGGGCATTTTTCGATTAATTAAATAAGTCTATAACAAGAATCAAAAGCCCCAGGCGCGGAGGTGGCTCGATGTATGTCAGCCTCGGGAACGGCTAAAACATCTCACCTGTGAACCGGCTGTTCATAAAAATGGCATCAAAGCTGGGTAGCCCCTTGAAGTATCTTCCCCGTATAGAGGTATGTAATCATAAGTTCGCGCCGAATGCGATTTGACCTCGGACAAAGACGGACCCCAGTATATGGTTCATACTTCATGTTTACTGAATCGGTGAGCACGAGTTCAGCGTTTAGCATTAGAAGCGCAGAGCGCCGTCACGTCTATCGATACTGAAGAAGCACGTCTGAAGACGATTCTCCTTCGATCTCCTTCAAGTCTTCAACCTCGCTTCCTCCGAAAGGAAGAGAGGAATGGAGCTAGAAGAGACGAAGAACGTTCGAAGGAAGGGTACCTCTAAGCGACCGTTTCTCCCGCAAGCCTCAACCTAAACAGATGGGTTGTGTTGAATGACAGCTGATGATGCAGTACACATGTGCCCATGTCATCGATGTGGATCCAAAAGGTGTGTTGGTATGAATGAGTGCTCATTCTTCTTGCTGGAACTATGGATTTCTCCACGATGATCCATCATCTCGAAAGGATTTCAAATGTTCGTCCACATCTAGTTCACTCTTCCAATATCAGCCAGAGCCTAGCTGTCCTCGATCTCCGAGCGAACCCTCGCGAATTCGCCCTAGGCCAGGTAGCAATGCAACACAGTGTCAGTAGACGTTTTGGTTGCTCGGCTCGATTTTAAGTAAAGCTGATAGTGGTGTTGCTGTTATTATTGTTGGTGGTGGTGGTAGGAGGTCCACCTCACAGGCTCGTTTAGTTGCTGTCAGATCATGAAACTGTTAAGACCCTCGTCCAGTCAAACTTCTCCCATCTCTTCCTAAATCCTTCGACCCTCCTATCTCCGCCTCTGTTCCACCGGCCTTGCCTCTTCACAATGTCGGGAGCAACATCGAGCATACCACCTATGATCTCCCTAGCAAAAAGATCACCTTTTGGCCATCGATTAGCATCTTCCACAATGTGACCAATTCCACCATCGATTTCGAACCACACATGAAAGTACGGCATCTCCTTGGCTAGCGTCCGTCGGAAAGCCGTTTTACCCTGACCTTGCTTGGCCTTGAAAAGCGTGTCAATGATCTTCTTGTGTTGCGTCCACTCCTCGTCAGATGTAAGAATTGCCTCCTTGAAGAACGCTGGTGCGGTCTCCCCAAGGCTGTACGGTAGTGGCACGACTTCCATGCCAGCATGCTTCTTTCGCTGTGGTACTGCGGCATTTTCGTAGAAAATGACATCTCTGCCATGGTCATGATACATTCGAGTGAGACTCTTCATGAAATTCTGCCAAAGGATTAACTACTCGCTTACAACAAAGGAATTGGTTCATCGACGTACTCTGATCTCTTCCCATTCATCGTCATCACACTCCAAGAGATTGCCTCGATGTTGCACCGGTATGATGCATGCTCCGCCTTCACTGATCTCGGGCTCCGTAGGAAGAGTGAGGTAGACTCTAGTGGCTAGAGATACAATTGGCGCAACTGGAGGCGTATTTGTATCTTCGTGATGGCAGAGAGGGCAATTGTCCAAAATGCGGTTCATCATCTGAAAATCCGATATTGCCGTATTCTTGAGATTGATCTCAGACCGTTGTACACGCTTCGCAAGCTTGTTGGCGTTCTCGTCCATGTAGTCCAAATCGTTCTGAGTGAGAGTCAGCGAACTCTCATTTGTTTGGAAAGGAATACGTACGTCAAATTTCGCATCCTTAGCTATCCTCTCTGCGAAACGTTGTCCATCTCCACCAGCCTGGTTGCGCAATCGCCGCTCTTGCCGGACCATATCTTCAATGCTCATGTCTTCATTCTCTTCTACTAGGCCCCTCTCCCGACCCCGTTTGTTGTCGATCCTATTGACCTCGCCTTCACGCGACCCAGTCAACATCCTGTTATGCATGGCCCCAAGGATAACTGTGTCAGGTTGTTTGCTCTTGGCGAAAGCAGCCATAGAATTGTTGTACTCAGCTTCCAATATAGCAGCGTTGGATGAACCTCGGACTTTGGCTTTCAGCATCTGTGCCTTGAGTCTATTCAGCGCAGTCTGGTCCAATGGCACGGTCGTTGCAAGTGGCTTCTCTGCATCAATCTCACGAGAAAGTTCTTGCACATCCGGCTCATCATGCTCCGGCCCGGAACCCTTGTTTCGCAGACCTGTATCTAACTTTCGCTCCTCAAACAGCTCACCACTTGGCTTTTCCTTCCCCACATAGCCTTCACCGTAAGTGTCTCTCCTGTCGAGCTCTATCTGCTCTTCTCTAGCATCGTCAAACGTTCTTAAATCTCCATATTGTTTTTCCGCCATCTCGTCTACGGGTTTCCCAGTTTCTTCTGCCTGTTTGTAGACACGGTTCAGCTTGCTCATCCGCCAATGAGCTCCTGCATCACCAAAGACGTAGTCGACCTCGTGTTGTGCGGGCTTCTCAATAAAATCTTCCGAGATGTCTCTGCCATCAGCCAGATATTGTAGATGATGCTTGTTCAACTCGTTTTCATGGATTTTGAGCTCGAAGTCGGCCTTTGACGGTCTTGACGTGATTGGCTCAAATGGCCCCCTGACACCCTTTTGTGTGTAGTCAATATCTGAGGCAGAGGGTTGTTCCATCCAAGAATCTCTCTTTGTTTCACCGATGGAATCTGAGGTTGGGATGTGACCGTCATTCTTCGCTGGCCCCCAAGTAGCTGGGTCCTCCGTCTCACCTTCGCCTTGTGAGGCCCCACGGTTCGTACGCTCCCCCCTAAATCCTAGTGATATCTTGCGATTGCCATGCGCCCTGTTGTTGTCATCTCTGCTGGTGGAACGCTTCGTCCTCTTGTGCCTGCGATGATCTTCTCCATCGCCATGGTGCTTCCTATGATGCCTGTGATGTTTTCTACTTCCCTCGTATCCATGACTAGACTTGATTTTCTCTTCCTCGTTCTTGCCCTCGGCCAGTAACTTTTCAAAGTCTTCAAGAGCCATAGTCACATGGCTGTGATTCTTGGACAACATATTGAGATAATGAACCCTTAGAAGATCAAAAAATATGCACGCGGAATTAGCGTATGCAGGAAATGTTACGATTCTTGGCACTGAGAAAATCGCACACACATCTATCAACTCCCTCTGAATCTCTTCCAGAGTAATCAATACGTATTTAAGAATAATTATTCTAAACCAAGATACTTAGTTTTATCTGCCCTATAATTTAGCCCTCAATTTTTGGTCCTCGATTTTGGTAGCTGATAGGTATGTGTGCGATTTTCTCGATGCCAAGAATTGTAACATTTTCTGTATACGCTAAAACTATTTCCGCTGTCCCCGCAGGAGATGGAAATCAACACCTTGAATAGTACTCTCGTACAGCAGTGGAATCTCACAAATACGCACCCCCTGCCAGCATCCGATTCTGTCTGCTCATGGTAATAGTTACGAGTCACAGACTGAAAAGACAAGTACACACATTTTCAACATGACGGCTAAACCGCCTGTGGTCATTGTTTGTGTTGGCATGGCTGGTGAGTCTACCTTCAATGTCTACCACGCACAAACCTAGCTGATCACGCACGGTTGCATAGGCTCAGGCAAGACAACGTTCATGCAAAGAATCAATTCGCATTTACACTCAAAGCGTGAACCGCCTTATGTTATCAACCTAGATCCTGCTGTTCGCAACGTCCCATTTGAGAGTAATATCGACATAAGGGACTCTCTCAACTACAAAGAGGTGATGCGGGAATACAATCTGGGTCCTAATGGAGGGATCGTCACATCGCTAAATATATTTGCAACGAAGATAGACCAAATCATCAATATACTAGAGAAACGCACAGCTCCGAATCCGGAAACTCCTAAGGCCAAGCCAATCAAGAACATCATCGTGGATACTCCAGGCCAGATTGAGGTCTTTATGTGGAGTGCTTCTGGAAGTATCCTTCTCGAATCGCTTGCGTCATCGTTTCCTACAGTCGTGGCATACATCATTGATACCCCCCGGACAAGCTCGACAAGCACATTCATGAGTAACATGCTTTATGCCTGCAGCATACTTTACAAAACGAAGTTACCAATGATTCTAGTGTTTAACAAGACGGATGTCAAGGACGCCGATTTTGCAAAAGAGTGGATGACGGACTTCGAAGCCTTTCAAGCAGCTCTAAAGCAAGAAGAGGACGGCGGAAGCTTTGGTGGGGTGGATGGTGGTGGAGGATTTGGAGGAGGCAGTGGTTATATGGGATCGCTACTGAACAGTATGAGTCTGATGCTTGAGGAATTTTATCGACATCTAAGTGTTGTGGGAGTCAGCTCCATGACGGGGAAAGGTATTGACGATTTCTTTACGGCAGTCGGAGAGAAGGCGGACGAATTCGAGAGGGACTACAAACCAGAGCTTGAGAAGCGAAGAAAGGAGAGACAAGAAGAAAAGGCAAGCAAGAGGGAGAAAGATCTTGGGAAGATGATGAAGGATATGAATGTTTCGGAGTCAAGGAATGCATCGGGTGGTCCAAACAAGGCCGGCGTTGCCCAAAGACATCATGTTGATACCCTAAGCGATCTGGAGGACAACTCAAATTCCGAGTCTGAGGCGCAAATGGTTGAGCCAGACGAGGATGAAGTGGACGAGGACGGAGCAGAAGATGAGGCCTACATGGATGACGGACTCACAAAGCGCTACAAGCAGGCAATAGCACCTACCACTCAGGCAGCTTCCTCAGGAGGAGATTCCTCTGAACAAAGTTTCGCCAAATATCTACGGACGACTCAGGTGGGATAAAGCGGGCACAGCGAGCAGCTTGATTCATATTCAGCATAGCGAGGAGTGATGATTACCACTGCTGTCTTCTGCACGGCGATCGGTTCTGTCTACAAATCTTCCATAGCCTTGATGATATTGGCAGCATACAGAAAGGCAGGTCTGTAGGATAAACCACCTGAACATCTCATGATAGATATGGAAGACCCAGTGAGATTCTCAGTAATTGGAAGCGACAGATATCAAAGATTGCAGACAAAAGAAAGTAATTAGGAGCATACCTTACGTAGTTGCATAAGAAGCTCGGAGGAGAAAGATGTGGGTTCCGGTCCGTAGTCATCGATTTCTTGGCCCGCACTTCAGAACTTTGCCTAGCCTTTTTTCCTCTCGAAAATCCTCAAGCCCATCCACCTCACCTCCGCTCAGCACCTGTACTACCCCTTCAATCCTCTGTTACTGTTCTGCTAATTTCTACCGATCAAGGGTCTTGTGATCATTTCTACGGAATTTCAGAAGAGACTCGTCTGTCTGCTACAGCCGGGTCCAATTCGCGCCGTGAAGACTAACAAGTTGGAGGTGATCCGCACAGCGGTGCTTCCGGGTGACAAGCAAGTCTTACCTCGTGAATATCTTCCCACTTCCGGAGCCAGGTTGTCAAGTAAGTCTAAAGACTCAAGGACCTTCCAAGAAGCTCATCTTCTTTTGGGTCAAGCGATTGTGAACTAACAGTGGTAATAGTCCTCATACTCATTTTCACTTTCGCCTCTACTTAGACCATTCCCCTCAAAACAACACTGTTGGATCTGATTCAGACTACAACCCTAGATGTTGGCAGACTATTACCGGGCTTCAGCTTCTGTGAAACCATTACACCAATACCTCTGATTGGTGGTCGCAACTAAGGTTGTTCGTGTACTGTGGTTTGCTTCACAGCACTGAGATTCTTCCAAGGCCTCCTCCCTCGACGAGCCTACGAAACTACCGCGAGTCCTCTTGCTTCCTGTTCTAAAACTTGCTCAATATTGCCAAGGAATCTCCTACCAGTAATCATTGGGACCAAAAAGCTTGTGTCCAATAAAAGCCGCACCGAAGACATTTATTGCATTTTCAGAACCAAAAGTCAAGATTAAAGCGACTCATACAACAGTCACCTCTCTTCAACACTGTCAACCTCGCATTCAACAGCCCCACGGGACAAGCATCAAACCAACTGAGTGATAAACGTTCTTCTGGCTGGTAGGACCTGGTGGAGAAAGGTGTGGGAGGCGGTAGTACCACAACCTTTTTGAGATAGGTGGAGTTTGAAGGCTCGGTCAACACCATACGTGGGATTACCACTAACTTATCGGAAGCTGCCATACCGGCAGAAAATCAGACAACCGATCATCAGCAACGATCTTCAGTGGACAAGATGGCGGCGACAGCGCAGAAGTCCTCCGGAGATCTGGGGCAAACAACTCCCGCTTTGACATATGCTTTAGCTGCAAAGGGCAGGTCCCCATCAGTTCCTTCGCTGCTACCTAACGGCAAAGCTATCTCCGAGACTGCGGAGAATGGGTTGAAGAGATCTTCATCGTCTGGTAGCAGAGATACAACCGCGAATCCCACCAAAGCTCCAACAAAGCGCACAACCAGCGAAACTCGGACGCCACAGGTGGAGGGCGTCACAGCAGGCGAAGAACAACAGCGGGTTCAGCACAGTGAAGGCAATGATGTAACCAAATCCGACAACGCTGCAGCAAAGCCCCACTCTGCTGCGCAGCCACAACCAATGGTCTCTACTCCATCATCACCAGAGTATGGCATTCCATCCGCATCAACTTTACCCAAAGAAGACGACGCGTTTTCAACTGTGAACGGCTCTTCAGAATCTACTTGGGACAAACAGTCTCAGACATCTCAAAATGGGAGCAAAGGTGGTGAAAAGGCAGATGCTGAAAAGGAACAAGCCACAAAAATTCCATGGGACGAAGAAGCTCCTGCACCTGTCTCGCTCAAGGAAGCGCCACCACCACCAGTGAACTTCTGGCAGCAACGTATTGCGGCTCAGAAGCCCAAGCAGTCGACTCCTCTTCAGCCACCAAAGCCGGCAGTACCCAATCTCAGCCCTGGAAACGCTAACGGTCCGGCCAAGGGCACCGAAGCAACCACCGAGCAAAAGAAGCAGGACGGTAAGAAGAAGGGCAAGACAGGTGCAGGCCCACTGGATGAACGCCCGGCTCTAGGCGCCGCTAGGAATGGAAGTAAGTCGGCCGACGCAGCCGATAAATCTTCTATCTTACCTGCGCCTCCACCGCCTCCACCTGGGGACGCAATGTCGTGGCCGGCGCCAGAGAGCGCCCTTAACGAGGGGAAAAAGAAGGCTCCGGACCGGGTAGAAAAAGACGACAAAGATACAACTCAAGCACCCAAGCCCCACAAGGAAAAATGGGTGCCAATGCCTTTGGTTCACACTGTGGTCTTCGACACTCCGTTTCCTACCGCACGGAGAGGAGGCAAGCTCTCTCGTGGCGGAAGAGAAGGCGGTACACGCGCGGGCAACGTCGCGAATGCCACCAATGGTGCAGAGAAGCCAATTCTCCCAGGAATCGGTACCTCCACCAGCCAAACATTACCAGCAAGTGGTCTGGATCGAGGTAGAGGTGCTTTGAACCCGACTTCGACTAACGCCAACCTTTCGAAGCCAAAGAGAGCTTCCAGCGCGGGACCTGCCACCCCAAGAGATCAGCGAAGATTGGGAGACGCAACACCTACAGAGAAGCGCAAGGAATTCGAGAACGGTTTTGCAAAAGCCGGTCAGAGCAATGGCAATAATGGCAATAATGTCAAGGAGACTCGAAGACCGTCTGTTCCTGCGGCGGCTAAAGACCCACAACCAGAATGGTCAACTCGCGTTGTCCCTATGGATGGAGCCACAATCTCAACCAGCTCAGCACCGAGCAACATAGATGAGGACAAGAAGAACCTCAGCCTGGCTTCGGAGACGCCTGCATCCCCTAAAGCAGGTGGGCCTGAGCGAAGAAGCGAGGGTTCCATTAGACCACCTGACCTTGCGAGAGACTTTCAAGGAAGTCTTCCAGTGCGAGAACGGGGCGAGGGACGTCCAGAGCGTGGTCGTGGAGGATACCGCGGCCGAGGTGGGTCCAATCACGCTTTCTTCACCTCTAATCTGCCAAATGGCCATGGATTCACCAATGGTCAACAAGGACAGTACCAACCACCACCAGCCACTCCAGCCAAATCGCACTCCAATCAAGAGAGCTCACCGTCGCATTCTCAAAGCTCTTACTACCAACCAACTCAGCATTATGGCAAGCACCATCGTTCTAACTCGCGGTCACAATCAATACCCCAGTCTACGCCTTATGCTAGATTTTCTAATGGGCATCATTCGGGAGCTACGCATCTGGCTAGCTTGCAAACTGAAGTAGCAAATGAGTATGGCTATCAACCAGGCAACAACGGTATCATGAGCGCAATCCCATACAATCCATATTTGGAGATTCCTGTGTTCGGCATGGTGTCTATGCAAATGTGAGTAGTTCTGCCGCGCACAAGCTAGATTTGCTAACATTGTCAGGGAATATTATTTTTCTGTTGACAACCTTTGCAAGGATATGTTTCTTCGGAAGCAGATGGATTCTCAAGGATTTGTACCCCTGACTCTGTTGGCAAAGTTCAATCGCATAAAACAGCTCACAACAAATTACGCTACGATACAACAGGTCTGCGTAAATTCACCGAATATCGAGTACTATGACCCTCGGGTCGACGGAATCGACCGGGTCCGAAAACGCGATGGGTGGCAGCAATGGGTCATGAAGATGGAAGATCGTGACCCATCAGCGCAGAATGACGGTCCGCTGCCACGTCACCAGTATCCTTCCATGAATGACGCACATTATACATTCGACGATGCCTCGGCAATCTCACCTCGATCAAGCGCCGTGGCCAACTCGGTCGAGAACTTTCAGTTCCAGTCCCTCGACAGTGTTGCACCTCCTCCGTACGGCCAAGCCGGTCCCATTGGTGCCTCAAATGGAACTGACGGTTCTACAATCCGAGCACCACTTTCTGCTGCTGTCTCCGAGTTTTCGCCCGCGGTGCGGTCTTCCAACGCTCGAAGCTTCTCGCAACCCGATTCTCAAGGCCCAGGAACCAGCGTCTTCACCGACGAGCAAGTCAACAATCTCAACATCGTCGTTCGAAAACCAGTGACCGCCACGACTCCGACGCGTCCTCCATTCCACTCATCGTCTTCTCGAACATTTTCCAATGGGTCAATAGACGGAAGATCCATTAACGAAGAGTTGTCAAAATTCACGGACCGTCAGCCAGCCCCAACCATGAATGGAGATGCACCCGACAGGTGAGACTGAGTGGAAGCTCCCCTTTTCTGAGAATAGAAACTGACAAGCGTCAACTCGCATAGGATTCAGAGATCGAGAAGTCCATTCCCTGTTGTTTCGCCCGGCCGCCAGATCGACAATAATGAATCGCCACCAGTCCTTTGGATCAAGGACAGACAGACTGCAGTCACAACCCTCGATACTTTGCCAAACGATTGTGCAGCGGAATCATACCACGACTTCCGACGCGATGCATTAAAGCAACGGGAGCAACCAGCAGCCGACAAGGCTCACCACCATGATAACATGCAGAGCCTCTACCAGTTCTGGTCGCACTTCCTTATTCGCAACTTCAACGCCCACATGTATGAGGAGTTTCGTCAATTAGCCCTCGAGGATGCATCCCAGCGCGAATCTACGACTGGATTGCGAAATCTGCTACAATACTATGATGAATCCATCCTCAGTCAGAAGACCATCTCTGATGAAAAAATTGCCCGTGATTTCGTTGATCTTGTCAGGCTCGAGGCCAACAGCAAAGAGCGGCCGGCCTTCGGCAAACTTAGGGCTGTGTGGAGGAATGGAGCCTACAACATGAAGAACCGCTCCAAGCTCAGCAAGTTCCTTGACCCTGACCTTAGATCCGAGCTTGATCGTTGAACGCAATGACGTTCAATGATCTGTACATATCCATTTCCCAGCGCGCCAACCACGAATCAATATGGGCGCAGATTCTATGGCGATTGACAAGGTGGCTCTGCCATGCCCTACGACTTTTAGACACTCCTGGCTTTGGGAGTCATTCCGTTATTCCTTTTTACCGGACCCGGAGACTGCTAGCGATGTTGCATGGATGGCATTAGCATGGCACACGGGCGTTTTGGAGCATCAGCCGGGCATGCTCAAAAGAAACACTTATGCAGCGATGTCTGCGACGGATCTCTTTTCTATTCTACCATGTGTGTACAAAAAGAGTGCACTCTTGCTCGCTGCCTAGGGCCTGGGAGACGATCTCACGAACATCTCCCCAATGGGTTCCTATCAGGTTTCGCTTCCACTGTCGTCTGGCGACATGGCTCATGATCTTCTTCATTCGCACTTGATCATGTGGTGGAAAAGAATGCTTTATTTCACCATGCCTTATGTACAGCCGATGGCATTGGCTACGGCCTTTGGCGATCGAGTCGCCCATCAGTAGAATACATGTGTGCTTGCTAGTTGTTGGAACATAATTAAAATTCACTCACTTCATTGTAATAGCATCTTCTGGACCTTTCATTCCCGGATTCTCCTTTCTCCGGTTATGCTCAATCTTTGATCATCCGAGGCATCGATCATCATCGTGCGCCGGGACGCTCGGCGTTTTGCCGGCTAAAGTCTAGTGCCCTGTGGCTGAGCACTTTCATTCTTCGCAATTCCCTCTTCCTTACTTTATTCCCTGTGCCTCTGACAACTCCTCGAAATATAGAATCACCAAAAGATGGCGCCCTCAAGCGGGCACCTTCTTGTTCCGAAGGTCTTGCGAATCGTCAAGTAAAACCTCACTACCTGCGTAAAGGTCATTAAGCAACGCTAATGGCCAACTCTACAGATTCGCCATCGACAAGACTTCGTCCATCATCCGGGCAAAATTGCCTCAATCACGCATTGCAAACAATGCTTCACTTCAACCTATCCGCATTTATGCCCAAAATCAACCCGTCCACCCTCTCGCCTATCTGAGACAATCCCGCTCTCAAAACAGCAACCGCTGGTTCTCAACCACCGCCCATCAATTCACTACCTCCGCCGCAAAAGCCCGCACCGGCGTTAAATATGACCGCTCAACCTTTCCGATATCGAAAGTCAGCAAGGCAATTTCCCAGCGCGGCTCCGCACCCTTTGCCTCGACACTTCGTCCCAATTTGACAGGTGGAGCTCTACCCCGCTGCGTAGGCGGCTACAGTCTTGGTGGAGCCGGGAAAGGAGCCAGGCATTTCAGTCATACAACTGGTGTTCACGCTCAGGTAGTTCACAACGTCTCCGCCGGCATCAGAGCCTTCTTTGTTGGCGGTGGGAAAGCGAGATTCGATGGCGTCAACCCTGTCACGGGCGAGAAACGTTTCCGCTCCGTTTCGCAAACTGAAGATGCTGTCTACTCGCAATGGGAATCACCTATGTCTTCTTCAATGAAAGGAACGAACCTCGAATTCAAATTTAGCCCCACCATCACTGCTCTCTGCCCCTCTTTCTCGTCCGAAAAGTCAAACCTGGACGTGACATCCCTCAGCGACATCGACCTCCTCTCGACTCTTACATCCGACTTCGCCCGCGCAATCCAGGATCTCAGCCTCATCCTCACCGATCTCCGCGCCCTCTCTGCCTTGGGCGATCTACCCATTTCCCTTATCCATACAGCAGCCGGGCCAATCCTGAGCGTGCGCTTCCCGGGCTGCGACGCCGATCTCGTATCCCGCCTCTGCGATGAAGTAGGTGTAAGGCGCGGCTTGGTGGTCGAAGATGAAGGCTGGCACACTGCACTGGTCGGACAAGCAGGGCAAGCGGAGAAAGATGTAGAAATGGCGCTCCTCTTCCCCTTTGCGCCAAACGCCACACCCTCCCTCCCCAGCGAGGGCGGAGAATACTACTTCACCAATGCCACCCAACGACAGCGACAACCCGAGCAAGTAGATTGGCGCAACATGCTCTCGCCCTCTCGACAATCGCAATACACCGCAGAGTCACTACACGATAATCACAGTGCCGAAGACAGGACGCTCAAGTCGCCGGACCGACACGCTCATTCGCCCATCTCTGGGTACGAGAGTCTAGGTGACAGCGATTTCGCATCCGAGGATCCATACTTCCACACAGCGTCACCGGTCAAGGCTGCGACTACGCAGGGGACGAGGGCGGAAAGTGGGGAGTATGAGGGGTTGGAGGGCATATACAAATTCTTGCAGGTTTGTGAGCAGGCGAAGCGGTAGGGTGAGCGGAAGGGCGCTCGAGGACATGGAAGGGAAGGGGTTAGGAACAGCATCATCGGCACAAATTGAAACTTTGACGGAATGGGAGGTGTTGGAGCTTGGATGTTTTCACGCCCGGCTGTCTCTATCTAGCCACCTAGAAAGAAAGATGCCGTACATTGAACCATCGTCCCGCGCTTGCTGCTTCCTTGCCTTACGTGCCGACAATGAACACCCACCACCTCCCCAACATCTTCGCCCACGACCGTGCTCGTCCTTGATCTCCGAATTGTGTCGGTTGTCATATTCCATCGTCCTCGATCCAAAAGCAGCAGATGGACTCAAGCCTGTCTCTTCAACAAGGAACCCTCACTCGCCCCCAGTCCTTTCCCAGCGCCGAGAGACAGCCGCAGACGACGTCCACTCTTGCGCCCCGGTCTCAGGCCCATGGACCGGCGTGACGGGCTTTCGGCAAGAGGAGCGCGAGCGAAAAAAAGGAAAAAAAAAAATGCTGTGGGTGGCAAGCAGGGGTCAGCGATGGGGAAAAGCGTTGGGGAAGAGCAGGGGAGGGAAGCGCTCGGTATGGATTGGAATGGAATGGAATAGGGAAGAAGGGAGGGAGGGGTGGCCCGGCAAGAGGGGGAGGTAGGATGAGGAAGCACATAGACGTCGAGGCGCGCGTATCAGCGTGGAGGCTGGGAGTAGAGACATTGCGCGGATGGTTGAGGGAGTCTACGAGTAGCTGGGGCCTGGAAAGAGCTGGCAGGATGGAAGGCAACTCGGGGAGCCGCGACAACGGGGAGGGGAGAAGTGCTGAGTCTATGTGAAGAAGCGTGGGGGGAGATGGGTGGCAAGGGTCAGGTGGTGGTTGGGAAAGTTGAGCGTGGGATGAGAAATGGTGGTTACTGATGATAGCTGGGACGAAGTGGAGATAGCTGGGACGAAGTGGAGAGTTTAGATTTGGAAGTGTTAATGAGAAGACGACAAAAATAGAAATTGATAGCAGAAGATGTCGTGAGGGTAAGGTGTCGTGTTGTATGCCCGTTATTCCCGTTGACTTTGGAAACGTGAGGGGTGACTGTGAAACGTGCAGTGTGGGAGGGCGCTGTATGGAGCGCATGCCGAACCCTGCACCTCCCCAAAGGTACTCTATACACGAATTAAGATCGAGATGAGGGGTCCGAACTTTGCGATTGCTTCTCCAGATCGTGGCGTGATGAAAGACTGTGATTCGTTTGTTTAAAAAATAAGCTGCACAAAATAAGCTGCACGATGTTCGAATGCTCGAGTCAATAGAAAAGCTGATGGTGCTGAGGAGGGTATCCTGGCGATCTATGTAGGTACCTTGGGGTCCTGCTGATTAGTCCTGGTCTGGTGCGGACAGCGGAGATCTCACTAGGCGGCATCCTGCGGATAGCTGCATCCCTCCAATTGGAGACTTGGATAGCGCTTGAGCACAGTATACAGGAGTGAGGACGTAGTTCAACGAAGTGGTGCTAAATGGGGTGTTTAATCGGTGTTCAATGCACGCGCCGTATTGATAAGGGTGCAGGAAAAAAAGCTTTGCTGCATATGCAACGTCTATTTCGGCCCGACATCCACTTATTTTGCAGATTTATTTTCGCCTGGATTTGTCTTGAGACGCCGAGGTAAGTTTCTGCCAACTTCTTCAAAAGCTTCCACGTCAGCCTTTAGGAAGAGATGCAATGATTGCTAAATGAGTACCCAAGCAGCTCTAATGATTAGTCGGTCATCCACGCTGCGACACGATTAGTGCCGAATCTGGCGGCAAATCGCAGACCTGTGCCCCCCATGGGAAAGTAGCTGACTAGGTACCATACAAGCGACACTAGCTGTACAATAATCGAAAGAAGTGTAAGGACTGTGTTGTGAAGCTATCATGTGAACACACAGTCAGCAGGCCAATCTGCACAAAGCTGGGATCAAGTCGACCGTGTGCGAAGTACCGTCGCAGGCACTTGACGAGCAGCGAATTGATGAAGGGATGGAAGAAGACGTACTTTGATGGCAAAGAACAAGGTCAACCCAATGGAGCCAAAGTAAGCAGCGGTAAAAGGCAGTCGTGGCCCCGAGATAAGATGTTTGGCGTAAGTCGCTGGGCCCATCAAGACTGCCCATGAAGCCAAGAAAAGCACGGACCCGAAGGACCACCTACGTAGACGGTGCCAATATTAGCTACATGACCTCGTATTCCTAAGACATTGAAGAGTCATTGTTTGAAACATCGAGTAGGCAGTCGAAACAAATGCTTGATCGGCTGCCTTTCCCGAGATGAAGGCTCATGCGCCTTGGGTCCGGTAGAAGAGGGTGTGTGTAAAGGGTGGCGCGGATACGCGTCTTTTCCCAGCACAGTGAAGCCAATGGACAGGGTATACGAACAATATTGCGAACTTTCGGGGCACTGGCCACAGAATTGGAAACAAGGCGAAGCAGAGGACAAAGCAAGCCAAGGCAGCTACATTGCAAGCCCCAAAGACGAGTAGGCGATCCCACCTACTCACTAATGCAAGACAGGAAGTGTCAGTATAGATCTGCGCTAAATTGAGGCAAAGTCGAGGAGGAAAGAACGGCAAAGTGCATGACCCTATGCATGTGATGATAACGGCTGCAGAGGAGTTTTGGTCTTATCACAAGCGCTTTGCGCTAGGCTGGAAGAGGAGGCATGTAGACTCACAAGCGAAGAAGCCTTCTTCCTCTTCTCTCCGGTTAGGAGCAGGCAATGGAGCACCTGGACCTTCATTTTGTGTTGGTAGTCGAACGTAGCCTGCATTGCTGAAAGGATTGATGGATTGTAGCTTCGACAATATCGGGGTTGAGGAGGAGGTCGTGACTGGAATGTCTGGGTCTCGTCGAGACCAGCCCATGGAATTCATGGAGTCTCGAAAAGAAGTAGACGCCATTGAATATGGAGCTAGATGATCTGCTTGATAGTGTCGGCTGGCCGCCTTTTCCGAGCTTCCCTGCAATATCAAATGCACCAAGACAACCTTAAAGTCTGGACTCAAAGTGGACTCGAGTGCTAAGGATTATGGATTATTATGGTTCCTTCTCGAAGTGTAGATGCTAAAAGCCGGAAGGATCGACGAGATAGAGCAAGGATGATAGGTCGGACTTGTACGCCTGTAGAGTACCTAAGGAAAAGGGATAGGGAAAGGGAAGTAATGCACGTTAGGCCGTGGGTAAGGTAATGCGCAGCGGGAACGGAAGATTTCGTGCAGAAGTAGCAGCTGATCTGCCTGTGAGTGTGGGGTAAAGAAACCGAATCGTGCGGATTGGGTATGGATTGAGTACGCGAGTGAGCGGAGGGCGTAAGTTGGTCCAATCGCAGTTGGGGTGCGCGCGCAGGGAGATGTTTTAAGAGGGTCCAAGGCACATTAGTGTGCTGTGCAGGCTTGTGACAAGAGACCGAGGGGACCCTAGTTTTGAGTAGTCGAGGTAGAGGAGGTAGAGGAAGGTAGAATGGGGGGGGGGTAAAGAAGTGTCTCTTTGTTGCGAAGGAACACGAGAGTCAAGGAAAGAGGGGAGGGGGTTCCATGAGAATGGGGATTTGAAAGCTAAGAATGAAAGAGGGTGTGCAAAATGGTGTAAGTGGTGTGTGGCTGTTCGGTGAAAGGTGATTGGGGGCGTCGGATGAAAAGCAGGGAAGCTATCGAAACGGTATTTTGTGATGATCTTATCCCATCCACTACACCCTCTTAGTTATTTTAATTGGGAAAAAGGAAGGACGAAAGAGAAAGAGAAAGGAAAGGAACACACCATGAAAGGCTGGAAAGGCATCAAGGAAGGAAGAGGATCAGAGAGTCAAAATAAAAAGTAGGCGAGCGGGCACTGTTTTGAGATAGACTGACGCCTGGGATAGGATAGAGTGATCAAATGGTCTGAGCTTCATTTATTCAACACTAAACTTCTTTCAATCTAGCGTAACGCGCCAGCAACCATCATCGCCTCGACCGCCACACCTTCTTTTCTCCCGTCAAAAAATAAATCAAGTAAAGTATTACTAGAGTATGCTGTGCTGGGAAAAAAAGAGTCGGCTTATTCGTAACCACTTTCACCGGTCGACCATCTTTCTTTATCATGACTTCAATGTACATCAAAGTACATTGCATGCTTGCCTAAACTTCACTGACTCACATTGGTCAGACGCTCATGGTCATGATCCTCTGTAGTGTGGCGCTGCTCTCGTAGTCCTCAATCCCAAGTAAAGAAAGTGAAACCATGAATGATCAACGAATGAGCAGCTGCTTTCATACCATTTGATCTACTCCATTAACCCTTGATCTTGTCGTTTGACATATATTCCCGCCGACCCTGCAGTTCTTGCCGTGCGCTTTCCATCATTCTACATCAGCTCCCGTCTATAGCCACCAAAAGAAAAAGAGAAACGCCATTCTCAAAATATCAATCAGGCTATTCGATCCATCGGAGCAGTGAGCAACCTCAGCCCCACCAATCGCACGGCAAAGCCTTCAAAGAAAGCTCAACCCACCCAAAGCCTTGTCCTCCGCAATCCAGGTTAGCCTCGTCATCCCTTCTTACCTTCTTTCATCTCACTCTTCAACAGAGTATTGATCCTATAAATTATCATATTGCAACTTGGTCAAAGCTTTCCACGCAACCGGTGGTCATCCATCCCGCTGTCGTACCAAAAGTGCATAAACCTGAACGGAGCCCCACGCATTCCTGAGCGCTTGGCGTCATCGTACATTCGGGCCTAGCGCGGATCCATCCGAGAGCGCAAGCGAATTATCTTTGATACACCGCAACGAATCATCTCTCTTCCTTCACTCCTCACCATACTGGTGACATTCACCGCCGTCCTCTCCTCCACATTCTTCATTGCCCTCCCACCCAAGGGCAACAACCTCATCGCTCCATCCATCGCTGTCGCCCTTGTTCGGTCCAGCGCTCCAAGGGCCTGCACAGGCCCGTTCCTTCAGCTTACACCGCTTCTCGGTACCTGGCGGGTCCAGTGTAACGGACATCTCCATCAACACGGCTTACTGTTCTCGCACAAACACCACATCACATAACCCGCCCGGCTACTTGAAATACCTACATACCCAATTGAGCAACAACTGTCTTGTTGACCGTTGATCCGCAGCCGCAATCCCATCCGGTACGTATTCCCCACTACTTTGTTTGCTTTTCATGCTGCTTGCATACTCTTTACTGGTTTGCCAGTAATCATCACATTTCATTCCGTGCCGTCAATCATGCCAGCATGAGCAAGCATGATCTGGCTGCCCCGTCTCTGGCTTCTCTGGGGCATGCAAGGCTTCTTCTTGCACTACTCAGGCACGAGGAAGCTTCGAGAGTGGATCTTAGAATCTTCTATCTGCCACGCTCGTAGATCGTCAATCTCGCCAATACTGGCACCCCTTGCATAGCCGCTTCTTGTTCATTTGCCTTGCCGAAGAGAATGATTATTCGACTTGCTAACTATGAGCCTACTAGTCCCCAAAACCCCACAACAACAACACCGGGACTCTACTCCAGTAGACATCCGCAGGTTAGCGAGTTAGCGCCCAAAGAAAACTTCAACGCACTCCGCAAACAGTCCGTCTCCAGTCACACTAGCCTACGCTTCTCACAGAGAATCCTACACACAAGCTATCTGGTACGTCCGTTTCAAAACACCGATGTTTGTATGTCAAGCGTCAGGTGTCAGTATTTTCCAGTGTTGAGAGATACCTGTGTTGAGAGATGGCGCTAAATGACTTCATTTACAGACGTCCATTGACCCAGAAGCTTTAAAGGAAGTGATCTTCATCCGTGAGAGACGTTTCGCACGTTACAATTCGAAAAAGATTCCAAGTGTCATATAAGACCGCGGTATTACACTTGCAAGCTCGTTGCCAATCGATTTGGTGCAGAATTCTCCACCTTCCGTCTTCGGAAAGGTCACCTCCGCACATCGTCCACGGGACGGGCCTGGAATCATCAAATTGAAAGCACGCCAAGATCGTTCATTCGTCTGCAGGGCTCCTCATAGGCACTTACCCCATCTTTTGCGAGACACTATTGTCATGCCAGTACCATGTAAGTGTTCTAAACCTTCCAAATCTGTGGAAAAAAGCACAATTTTTCAGACATAAATTTCTATTGGCAAGGAATCGCACTGGCCCCCATTTACAATGTTTGACCTCAATCATGGTAATGATGTTTGCTTACGTGGCGCCTCCTATAGCTGAGAAGACTTTCGACCTTCAATACTCCCTTCCAATGACGAGAAAGGACAAAGCAAACTACGATACTCTTCCAGATACAACTTTAGACGACGACTTGGACTTCTTCAATAGTGGTATGGCTGGCACGGGCAACTCCAGCCCATTCATCAAGGACGAGCCAGAGGACTTCAATTACCTCTCGCACAACTTCTCGCCCAACCAGCGGAGCCAGAATATGAGCTTCGGACAGCAATTCGGTCAAGGCTCCACAGGCGACATTGATCCTTCGGATCTTGCAATGCCTAATGGTAATTACGGCCAATACGGCTCCAGTTCTCAACAGACCATGTCAAATAGTATGACCTTGGCCCACTCAGGCATTGGCGACGATGAGCTTCTGGACCTAGACCTTAATGAAACCTCGTACCAGCCCAATCTCCAGAATGGGCAGCATGGGTTTGGAGGTCAAGGCAACATGCAGAACTTCTACCCAAGCCAGAGTCATCCGGTATCCATAAACACGAACGGTCACAGCCAGATGAACCAGATGTACTCCAATACGCCTGACGGTGGCCCAATCCATAGCCCATTCACACATGATAACTTCAACTACGCTCAGTTCGCGCAGATGCAGTCACACATGCGTCCGAACGCCGTCAGTACCAACAATTTCAACCACGGTCAGTCTGGGTCTTACATGAGCCAGCCCATGAATCGACAAGCATCAGACTCAAGAAGCCCAATGACGCCCAAGACCCCGGGCGGGGACCACCTGGACCACATACACTTGGGTACCCCTGAGTCTGGAAGCCTGCCAGCGCAGCCCCTGAGCTACAATCGGAAGAGTCTTTCAGGCCAGTATGACAGCACACCTGGCAGCATCCAATCGTACAACCTTGATTCACCAATGTCTTCCCCAAGTCATCCTGCGAGCCACGCTCAGATCTCCGAAGTCTTGAAATCTGGCAAGCATGCCTCACTACCTGCGAAGGTTGAGAATGGCCATCACCCAGCCCCGGCTTATCAGAGCCAAGAAGCCAAGCGTCGTCGACGTCGTGAATCTCACAACATGGTGGAGCGTCGCCGCCGTGACAACATCAACGAGAAGATCCAGGAGCTTTCTCACCTAGTTCCCATGCATCGTCTCGAGGATGAGAAGGTCCGCAAACACATCATGAACAATTCTCCTCTCTCGCCCACCCTTACTGCTACCGGCCGAAGCCCTCCGCAAGCAACATCTTTGCTTGCAGGAGGTGGTCGTCGTGCCACGGGTGGGGGCAGCATAACTATGGGCATTCCACCAGAAGAGAAGGATAAAGGTCCTAACAAAGGCGACATTCTCAACGGTGCCGTTAGCTGGACTCGCGATCTCATGTGGGCACTGCATGTCAAGATGCAGCAAGAGCAGGAGCTCGCGGACCTGATCGCACAACTTGGAGGCCAGTTTCCTTTTTCTCAGTCGGACGACGAGAGGCGCATGCGCACCGAGCTTCTGAACGCTATGCAGGAAAACGACCCAAACACATTCTCATACACGCGCACGGCCGGCAGTGGGCTGAGAGTGCCACAACACACCAACTCAGCTGGTGACCCTCTTGATCCAGCCGCTATGGGCACCCTGAGTCCTCAGAGCCTAAGCCCTGGTCAGCAGTCTGGCGGTGCCGACCACGGCCACCAACAATACTGGAACCCGTCCTTCAAGGAAGAAGACGAGTACGGGATGGAGATGAACTGAGCAAATTGTGTCACATCAACAGACCGAGTTATTTTGCAACCCTAGCACCCTTGCTTCCGCGGCGGCATTCCCCTGGATCACCTCATCTCCCCGGGTCTGGCACTTTCGCTATCTCAAGGACATTCCCTTGGATTACATCATACCCCCAAGTTGGCACATATTGCTACCCTGTGCGTTCCCTTGGATTCCGATTCGTTCAGAATACGTTTCCCCTTATTGCATTGGCGAGGCGAGTTGGGTGGCTTTGTTCACGGCGGCAGAGGCGTCTGGGAGGGAAACTTTTCATATACCACTATCTTTTTTTCATCCAGCATACAGCATGGCGCTATGAATTCAATGCGAGCGGTTATCGATATACCAATTTGAGAGAGTGTGACTGTTGATGGGTCTGGCTCTGCGAACTTGCGTTTGCTTGCGCTTTGAGCTTACCGTAGCTATCTAATATTCGCTTCGATGCTAGATCTTTCCCCCCAAGACATTTATTCTACTTTACACATAACCTCAACACGTGCATATCCACAACTGTATCTTCCACTCCCCTGTCGCACATCCAACCTTGACTGGCTGCAGAGAAACAAGACCTATCTATCTATCGGAGGTGGGTACGCTTTGTTGATTCAACTCGCTGCTGCCTTTTCCGCACAATTGAAGCGGAATTTTAAATGCTCGAGAGGGGGACGGGTGGCTGATCGAGAGGGGGGATATGAAGGTTGTTTTGGGGTTTTGGATAGGCGGGTTTTCTGACCGATCGGTCGGATTCGTGGGAGGGGGTTGGGGTTTGAGGGGGTAGGGGCTGAGGGAGGCAGGGTAAGGTGGGTATGATAAGCTTGGGAGGCGGAGACTGGAGAGACTGGTGGAATGGGGGAACGATGCCTGTCTCAAAGTGTCTGGGGGCGTTCTTGGGTTTTTCATTGCCGTCATTGCTATGTGTCAATCGTTGGGCTAAGTTGCCCTATGCTATGCTACTTGCAAGTCTTGTAGAGTAAGAAGTTATGTACATGCTTGGTGGAAATCATCAGCTATCTCACGCTTCCTAGTTCTCTCAATTCTTCCCATCCAGATCGGTGTAGAAGTTCCAGCCGAAATTCCCCGACGGGTCATTGAAACGAAGCTTCTTATCGATCGTGTTGAGCTTATCCAAATCCTCCTTCTCCAGCTTGAAATCTCCCGCCAGATTGCTTCGAATCCTCTCGGGCGTCTTGCTCTTCGGCAACACACTGTGTCCGTGGGCGATCCCCCACGCCAAAGCAACCTGCGCGCCATTCTTGCCGTACTTCTTGCCAATCTCGGTAATAGTTGGGTCGTCGATCAACTTTCCCATGTCCTTGCCGGAGCTGTAGATAGCGTTTTGATTGCCAAAGGGCGAATATTGTTGTATGTGGATGCCTTTGCTCTTGTGGAATGCGGCGAATGATTGCTGTTGCAGCCAGGGGTGGCATTCGATTTGGTGCGCCGCGGGGACGACGGTGGTTTCTTTGAGGAGGCGCTCGAGCTCTGCTTTGCTGAAGTTGGAGATGCCGATTGCCTTTGTCTTGCCACTCTTGAGAGTTTTCTCCATAGCGTTCCATGTGTCAACGTAGTCCGTGTCGCCTGTTTCAATCTTGTCGTTTTTCTTGGGCATGAGGGTATCGCCTCGGGCGAAGGGCTACATTATAGTTTTGGAGTCAGCATTACCTATCCGAGAGGGTATGTTGAGCCTTGGAAAATGTCTACAAAGTAGACATTCTCAAGACCTGTCTCAAGGCTCAAGATCTGGTCCAGAAGAGGAAATATGAACTCCAAAAAATACGTACAGAAGGCCAGTGCATGAGGTAGAGATCTAGGTAGTCTGTGCCCAGGTCTTTGAGGGAAGCATCAAGGGCGGACTCCACATCGTCAGGGTGGTGGCTATTGTTCCACAGCTTAGTCGTGATGAAGATCTCAGAGCGAGGGATACCAGATTTTTTGATGGCAGCACCGACGGCGGGCTCGGTGCCGTAGATACGAGCTGTGTCAATGTGTCGATAGCCTGCTTTCAGGGCTTCGGTGACGGCGTCTTCTTGGGCGCCAGCATCTTGCCAGGTTCCGAAGCCAACGGCCGCTGTGATTGTGTTTAGTAGGGGCCCATTGAAGAGTGAGATTGGGAGGGATCGTACGGATTTCAGCGCCTGTGTTGAGCTTCTGTTTGGTGTGGAGGCTTGCCATTGTGCTTGCTTTGCGAGAGAACTGGTTTGATGAGCAATGGGTCGAGAGTTGTGTAAGTCTTGACGATGCAATTTTGGATGTTCGAGCAAACATTAATGTTTTTGTATATACTGTGGCGGGGATGAGTAAATAGTCTTCAGGTCACGATGCAAACTGATTAATTGTACGAGTAAAAACTCAATGTAACCGACGGTGAGCATTGACGTCAGCCATGCACATGTACGTCATCCATCTGCCGAGATATCTCCGGCGCAGAATCAAAACATCGGAGGGGGACTCCCACCCCCCGTTGTCGCTAATTCGAACATGAGAGATTTCGCGCTATCGCTGATCGATGGACAGGGCAATTGATTTGCTTGAAAATTCCAGGCCATCTCAACTGTCTCGACCATCAATGAACGCCACACGGTCCGAAGGATCGGCAATAGATGTGGCTGTGCTCTGCCAAGGAAAGCGGGTATGTCGATCACCGAATCTTGGAAAGCGAGTCATCATTTCCTGCCCCCAGCTGTTGTTCTTAACCCACCACTCGCGTCTCATTTTCCGTGTCTCTCTTTTTGTTCGTCTATATACGCTCACTTTTATATTTGTAGATACCCATTATTGTTCTTGCGCCTTAACAATTTCAGCTATTCGCCCACAATGTTCAAATCAACTCTCGCTATTTTCGCGCTCATGGCTTCCTCGATAGCAGCTCCCGCTCCCGAATTCATTGTAGAACGTCATATAGTGGAGGTATACAAGCGCCAGGCTGATATCTCGCAATTGCTAGAACTGTAAGTCCTTCTGTCACCTCAATTGCCCTTTCACAACTCACCTCCCACGCAGCGCGTCTCTAGCAGGCGTAACAGCCCTCCCCCACCGACCCCGCCGTCCTCCTCCAACTCGGACCCCTCGCCAACTCTCTCGCCTCTGCCCTCCCCACGTCCTCTGTCCTCAACGTCCTCCTCACCGCCGCTCCCTCCGGCTTCGTTTCCTCTATCGTCAACGACCCCTCCTATGCCAGCTCCTTCGAAAGCGCTTTCTCAGCCGGCAACAGTCCCGCATGGTTCAACTCATTACCCACAAGCGTCCGCAGCTATCTGCATACATATTCCGGGTTTGGAGGATTGGCGGGTGCTGGGGCCGCGATCAAGAGTGTGACAGCTGATGTGGCCAATGGCACTGTTGCGGCTACGGGGAGTGGCATGTCTAGTGGCGGTGCGAGTCCGACGACGCAGAATTCGGCACAGAGTGTGGCCAGTGTTTCTAGTGCTTCGGCTGCTTATGTGGCAGCTGTGGATGCGACGTCGGCGGGTGCTACAGAGGGTAACACGGCATCAGCTCAGGCTGGGACCGCGAGCAGTTCGAAGGGCGGTGCTGCACGTCCTACTGGAGCTGTTGCTGCTAGATTGGCTGGTGTGGTTGGGTTATTGGGAGTGGCTGCTGCTCTGTAATTTCGCCATTGGAAAGGTGATTGTGCATAACGAGGACTTTCATGATGGTAATACGAAGAGCAAAGAAAGGTCATTTGTCGATACTTTTGATGGCAGAACCTGCGAACATGAAAGATTTAGTGCACAGCTGCGACAACCCACATCCAGTTATCAATACCAATACCAATACCAATACAGCCTTGCGTACTCGATTCTCTTTGACTGCGTCAATTCGCGCCAGTGCCCCTTTCCTTCTCGCACAAAGAGCAGAAGATGCTGTGGTTCCCCCGTCCAATTTCTCGACTCTTTGCCTATACCCTCGACATTTCTCCTATTTTCTGATTTCCTCGTTGGCCGCCCTTCTTCGGATCCTTCTCGCCCTTCAGCTGCAAGGTTACCACACCCAGACGCCCTTCTGCAGAGATGGACGGACGCTTGCCTAAGAAAGTTCAGCGCATGCAGGATTCTGCAGCTGAGGTCAGGTCCTAAGTAAAAAAAAAGTCAAACTGATGAAAATAATTATGCACTACCAGCGCGCTTCGTCCCTTCGACGGCCTCGCAGCTCCTAGCGCTTCCTACCAGCAAGACTATATTGCTTGCCCCTTTCATAATTATACAGCTATCAATGAACGGGAATTTTGGCGTCCAGACGCTCGGCGTTGGTGGTACTCCTGGCGCTGGAGGACTACCAGGCCAACACAGGCTTCAGTCGATACGCTACCTACGTTGGCAATGGTCCTCAACCTGCTCTGGACTCTATTGACAGCCTTGCTACTCCGAGTGCAGGCTATGTCGAAGGTAACCGAATACTGCAGAATGCGGTCCCTGGCTTCGGTAGCCCCAATGCCGTCTATGATAATGGACCCTGCTACCCCCTCAACGACGTCGTTGGCCCTAATGTAGACTACGATCATGGCAACAACGCTGTTCAAAATACTGGGTATGGCGGTAACCCTGTCAACGAGATTTTGAACCCTTTCGGCACCACCACTGCTCCCAACATAGTCTATGACGGATGCAACAACACTGCCAATGATGCTTTCAACCGTGACTTGAGCCCCTTGGGTGGTCTCACCGTTCCCATTGGAGGTTATGGTCAAGGGAACTATACCAGTGAAGGTGGTACCTACAGTGGACTCTACCCCGTCTTCGACATCGGTGCTACAGGCGCAGTCTACGATTAGGGCAACTCCACTAGACTTGCAGACCATGCTGGCAATGTCAACAATAGCCTTCGTCGTGTTGACAACATCTTTACTCCCAGCGCAGTCTGTAATCAGGGCAATTATGCTGGGCCTGCTCCCTACGCTGGCAATTTCGACCAAGGGTTCTATCCTGTCGACAACATCAGTCCTTCTAATGCAGTCTACGATCAAGGCAATTACGATGGGCTTGCTCCCTATGCTGTCAAATGGGCTCTATCTTGTTGACAGCATCAGTCCTTCTAATGCATTTCACGATCAAGGCAATCTTGCCGGACTTGCTCCCTATGATGGCAATGTCGACCACGGGCCCTATTCTGTCAACAGCATGGCTACTCCCAGTTCATTTCGCCTTGCGAACAATAGCATCAAGTTCGATCCCAATGCCGCCAACGTTCTTGACGGCCTTTTACCTTCCAATCACCTCAGTAATACTGGCGTTGCCTACGACGACGGCAATCACGGCATGCGGGATTATGGCTTTGGCTCCCAGGCCTCAGGCCTGACCCCTGCTGTTGACAACACTCCCTCCCCATCAACCACCTCCGGCTCCAGGGTGGACCTCCAGGGCCGCCCTCGCCCGCGCCGGCGTGGATCACCATGGAAGATATCGCTGGGCCTGCGACAGGTGCGGCAAGACGTTCGGACGACCATCAGACGTGCAACGTCACGCCGAGAAGCACAGTGGTGTGCTCCAGTATCAGTGCAATGTGACAGGTTGCGCGTACCCTCGCAGCTACTGCCAGGATAAGTTGGAGCAGCACAAGAGGGACTGCCATTAGCGAGCCCGCCGTAAGAAGGGTGGTTTGGAGTGTGTGGTTGGGGGAGGGTGTTCCATCATACTCAGGAATATCAGGACGTTCATGCGAAGAGCAAGGATATTGCATTTGTCGACACCAGGTGGAATAGCGTGTGAGCATACAGGATAATATATACAACTTCACACTTATCCAATCTAGTGCCTAGGTTGCTCATCTAGCCTCATTTTTTCATGACTGATACACAGATCTCCCGTTAGATGTTCTTCTTCCGGAGGCAGGGCGCCCCTCTTCGATGCCATGTCTATAAGATGCCTCTTCCCCCCGTCTCCTTTCGAATTTTTTACGCATCATTTTCATGCACTCGGCCCCTTTTCCTCAAGGCTGCCAGATCTCAGAAGCCTCATTGGCCGCCCCTTCCCACGAATTACCGCTATTCTTCCTGCACGGCAGCGGGACTTGTTTCAGCCATGCAGAAGGGCGCAGCCAATCTTGGAGACGCTCCTCAACACCATGCATATGATTTGCATGGAGTTGGGTAAGTTAAAAAAAACGGGCTAATTCTCGCGTAAGCCCAACGGCTCGAACGGGTACGATCTCCGCCTACGACGGAGAATATTGGTGCTTCCATTCCGGATGTGGAAGATTATTCCCCTCGCAATACCTTCTCGACTTGCACGTCAGAACTCACTTCGAAAACCCAATCCATGCGAACCACGGCAATGACCGTCACTACTGTGTTGGCAACCTCACTGCTGCCAATGCAGTCCACGGTCACGGCAACCCCGCTGTCCACTCTTTGGGAACGTATAACCACGCCGCCCGAGCCGGACAGGATCCTGGCTTCGCCTTCTCTGCTAACGATACCCCCGATGGCCTCAACTCTCTCCACGCCATCGCTGCTCGTGGCGTAGCGTATAGCGACAACAACTACAGCGGTCTCGGTGTGGGTATCAATCATGTCGAAGCAGGCTTCTCCCCATACGACAACATTGCTGCTCCTAGCTTCAGCAGTCGTGCCCTTCAGAATGCTACGGTTATTCCATATGCCAATAACATCAATGACGGTATCTACGCTCCCAGTAACGTCGGATATAATGTCGAAGCAGGCTTCTCTTCATACGACAACATTGCTGCTCCTAGCTTCAGCAGTCGTGCCCTTCAGAATGCTACGGTTATTCCATATGCCAACAACATCAATAGCGATATCTACGCTCCCAGTAACGTCGGATACAATGTCGAAGCAGGCTTCTCTCCATACGACAACATTGCTGCTCCTAGCTTCAGCAGTCGTGCCCTTCAGAATGCTACGGTTATTCCATATGCCAACAACATCAATGGCGGTATCTACGCTCCCAGTAACCTCGGGCACAATGGCAACGACTACCTTGGTCACGCTGTCGGCAATGTCACTGCCCCTGGCGCCTCCGTTCAGAGCGCCCGTGCTGCTGTTCCTCTTCAATTTGGTGATGGCGCCTATCCTACTGGTAACATCAACGCCAGTTTCTACCCGTCCAACAACGCCACCGTCATCGGGCTGGTCGATGGCAGTGACAAGTTTGGCACATCCAACGCTGGCTTTGGTGCTCAGTCCTCCGATACGACACCTACCATGAGCAGCACCCTCCCGCCTTCCACTCCCGGCCCGGTTGTCGGACCCAATGGTCGTCCTCGCTGGGCTTGTACTGGATGCGACAAAACCTTCACACGACAAGCTGACATGGCACGTCACGCCAAGAAGCATAGTGGCGTGTTCGAGTTTCAATGTGATGTCGCGGAGTGCAGCTACAGAGGCAGCTATCGCCAGGACAAGTTGGACCAGCATAAGAAGAACTGCCATAGCTAGAGCCAAGATCCCGCAGTAGAAAGGGAAGGAGATTCGATGTCGGTTGGATGAGTGTCTCGGGGGATTTCGTTATCGTTTCTTTTTTTTTTTTTCCTTCTTTCTTTGGCAAAAAGTAGAACGAGTAGAAAAGGAGGAGATAGCAATTCCAGAAGTTATCTTTCATTCGAGTTCCCACTGTGCTCTTTCGGCTTTCTCCAACAAATCCTACAAAAACCCTTTAGGCTTACGCTGTTTTTTTCAGTCTTCCGCTGATCCTTTTCAGAAGTGACTCCTACACGAATCGAAAATGCACGCAATCAACTCAACCACTTTCCCCTTGCCCTTCCAGACTCCATCTTGACCCCTGCGACCACTGGGATCCCGAAACGAGAGGAGTCACGTTTTTGCCCCATTGGAATCGTCTTGGTAAATCAGTTTCGAGCAAGTATTTCCAGCTTGGACACACTCTCAACTTACAATTCTGGCACGGCTTCTCCGCGAACGTGGCCCTCTGAGGCAGTGAGGGGTGTTTTTCCTAGCGCCAAGTCAGCCACTGAGTCTTCTATCTTTGCACGATTCACTGCTATCTTACCCGACTACCTTTGCCGGAGGTTGGCGCTGAGGGTGGGAGAACATGCCCGGGGAAGCGAATGGCGAGCTAGAGTGCTTTTGCGAAAAGGTCGTCCAAGATGTAGTCGACAATCCGCAAGATGATGGTCATAACGACGGTAGCTATGCCGAATTTCAAGCATTTCAACATCGTAGCGAGTGAAGTGTTTGGTGAGGATGAGGGGGTATGGTGAAGAGCCAGAAGACGGGAGCAGCAAGTTGGACCTTTATATGTGCGAGGAAAGTACCCAGGCCGAGGCTGAGGAAGAGATGCGACGTCGAGAAGGAGGCATCATGCGCTTGAAACTATTCAAACACGGCGACATGCCAGATGTGAAGCCGGGGCAAGCCGGGACGAAGCTTCGATGCAGAGGTAATTGGTAGATGTGCTTGTTTCAAAGGAGGTAGTTGTTCCGGACTTCCGTGTGCCTCAGCCTGTGCAGAAACCAGCTCAGGTACCAAAAGCTCCACTACACGGTTTTCCTTTGACACCACGATCAATTACCTCGCCGCAATGACTGCCTTTGTGTCTCCCCATACGTATCCAAAAACAGGCTCAGAAGCAGCTAACCGCCGGCCACCTTGCCCTTTCCCTTTCCGTGTGCCGGCGCTGACGCATTCTCCATTGTCGAAACTTGGGCGTACACACAAAGCGGCCCGCGGCTTTGGTGGCTTCATGGGGCGAGCTGCGGCTGGTATCGAATGGATTGCTGTCAATCGTAAGTCTCGGGAAAGGCATACAGCCTGAGCCAGCACTGGGCGATTTGACCAGCTCCAGCGAATCCCTCCTGGCACAAGAAGGACGGCTGTCAGCCTCAGGACTTGGCCAGGTGGCGGCAGAGCCTGTCTCAAGTAGTGTCATGGGCGTGCCTGTTTGCCGTAAGTTTCGGGCAAAACGATAGGTCGTGACCTCAGACTGCCCGGCTCAGGACCATGACCCCTTTGAGAAATAGTGATTGGACATCCGTTTCAGATAGCGTTCCCGAAGTTTCGGACACTCCAGGCGGTATGGGAAGACATTCGTCTCAGAGCTCCCAACTCCCTCTTTCGTATTACCTTTTCCGATCATAACACCTCAACCTCACCACAACTCTCCCAATCTTGTACGGCCTCAGTGGCCAACCTCCGCGAGAAATGTCAGAGTATCCCGAAGTTCAAGTAGTCCTTGGGTACGAAGCCCCCTCAACAGACCCTCAGACAGAAAATGGTATGAATGACAACTGAGAACAGATGGGAACCAGCCGACGCGAGCACACAACCCGTGGAAGATTACATGTATCGTTGGGGAGAATTCACACCAGATGTGTGCACACATTTGCATTTTCCCACTCGGATACAATGCTGACTCTATTGCTTAGCCAGTGTTTGAGGATGGCAAAGCCGCCTTTTGCGTCTACACATACGAGCAGCCTAATGACCGTGAATCCGTAATATCGCAGAGCTTCAGGATCCCGCGGACAGTATTGGACATGTAAATGGCCGTTCACCTGTTGATAGCACACGCCTGGGTACACGCTTGTTAACAAATCCAAGGGAACCAAATATCCACTTCCGTGGCATGGTAGTCGAGAAAGGACGCCTGGAGGGTATCCACCGGGAGGAGTCGGGCAGTTACAGTAAGTTTCCTCAGGAAACAGATGTCGGCAGAGCTGACTGGCGATGATTGTAGCATTGCAGATGATTGATGAAAAGAACCATCGAAGGACGCTAGACTTCGGCAAGATCAAAGAAATCCCCTGAGATCAACGAATCCCCTTAGTGTGCTATTCGCAGTGGAAACAAAGGATGGACATATCGTGCGAGATTGTGTTTCCTTCATATCGTCAGTCATTACAATCAGGGAAAGGAGTCTCATATCCTGTTCAGTCACTCATTAGCATAGACATAGGCTCAAAGATGTTCACCACAATAAACATTAATCGTGGATAGTCATGACTGCATGTCAGCTAAGTTACACAGACTGGAGTCTCGCATAATGCAAGTTCAACACATCCTGTGCTGGGGAGGCCTCCACGGTACACCTAGTAACTCAAATATCTTCTTTTCGTCCTTGCCCTCGACCAGAGTACCTTGAGTAATCCTCTCTCTATTGCAGCCTCGAACGACATCCTTCCACAGCCCACGTTGATTGAGACGCATGCCCTTCTTGCTTGCCAGTAGCCGTATGCTCCTGTTGAAGATATCATTGCCAGTAAAGTAGATCAAGGCAGCACCAATCTCATCCCACGGCACCAGCAGGAAGTCGATTCGCCGCCAAATGGTGGTGCCTGGCAGAGCTGCAGCCCCGTGCCATTTGCTACCGTCGACCTTGTCCGTGGTAGCGAGTCCGATTTTGAGATAGCCTTTGTCGAAAAGCTTTGGGATAACCCTGTCAAGTATTATGGTGCGGAGGTTTTTGATGGTGGCATCCGGCTTCGTGACAATGAAATCGACATCCCCGGAGTCCGCAGCTCCACGACGGTACGATCCACCTATCGTGAACTGGACAGTATTATCGATCTTACTGCAGGTCTCTCGAACGTACTGATCATGCCGGTCCGCTTCTGCGCGCGGTATCCGGGTCTTGAAGTCTTCATAGTGAGCAATACCTATCTTCTGATTCTTGCTCAGGTGAGCCTTCTCAAGAAGCTCCGGTATAGATTTGTGGCCTTGGTCAATCCATTTAGTTGCTTGCTTGAGCCCAACACCATAGATGCCCATAAATAGCTGCAGGACTTCAGCGTTTGGATCGAGACTAGTGTTGTCAAGACGTCGAAGTTTGTTAGTCCAGACAATCTCTTCGATCTTAGAGGCCAGTCTTTGTCCAATAAAGGGGAGTGCAAAGGCCTGTTCCTCCGTCGTGATCTTCCGTGCTTGCTTTCGGAGAGCAGCAATGGCTCGGCGGTAGGCAGTAAGCCTCCAGTGATCCTGGTCACGTTCGTAGTAGTCGGCCATCTGCTGTAAAATCTCGATGGTTCTGGCGTTTGGATTTGCTGAAGTTCCAACCCCATCGTGTTTCGACATGCAGCTGAAATTCTCCTGCCACGACTTACTGAATGATCCTTTCTTTGACTTTGTCTTGCGCTGTTTCTCCTCTTTGCTATGCTCGTTCTCCGAATCATCGAGAATTGCACTTTCTTCAGAATACTCGTCTTCATCCATGTCGAGGGGCTACAAGACGGTCAGTGCATATTCTGCGTGTTTAAGACTGCCGGTACTCACGAGGTCTTTAGTTACCTGAGCCTCCGCGATGGCTTTATCTAAGTCATTCTGAGGGCACGCATGTGAGGGCATCGTAATCCTTTGAGGGGTTGACGACTCCGCGAAATCGGCATCGACGGACACACGACCCGAAGAAGTCAGCTCACTACCTTCGGTTCGCGAAGGTGTCTGTGGTGGCGGTAGACGCTCCTGTTTTTCTGCCCTTAGCTGTAGGGATGTTTCGGACGATAATGCTGACGTTGGTGGCTGCTGTACCATCACTGCATCATCGTGACCCGCGACCCGGTACAAAGGTTGGATCTCATTCACGACGAAACGGTACATAATGCAATCAGCTGGGTACCTATCGTTGACAAGCTTGATATCGGACTGCTTGATCAGCGGGACAGTCTGATAATCCTAACATTAGGGTTCTTACTGGCAGTGATTTTATTTTGAGGGTTTTTAACACATCGTCGTAACACAAATCCTTGTCGACGATAACATGGGTGACGCCGTCTCGCCACTCCCTGATCCAGAGCGCTCCCCACTCCATCGCCTTCCGAATCCGAAGCTTACGAGGAATCGACGTGTCGTTGTTTGGTATAAAATCTAGATGCGATTAGTGGCCACTAAAGTGCAGACTTCACACCCACGAGGCTCACAGAAGGCGAGACCGTTGAATATCTGTTGAGATTCGCTCTTCAGCTCTAGAGATTGACCTCGCTTTCTTTTCCCGATGGTTTTCGATGCCTCCTTCCGAGCAGTCACACTTGCGGTTGTCTTCGCCATGATGGGTGTATCAATAATGACCTGCTCTGAAGGCTTTGAAGACGGCGTGGGAGAAAACGAGCTTCTCTCGACCACGTTAGCTTGACAAGGACTCGAGGCCGACAGCTGGGGTAAAGGTGCTGAGACGGTGCGTAAGAGGGATTGCTCTGGACGCGAGGAATGAACGATTTGGTTACTCGGGGTCCTTGCCGAGACATCTGACCGAGGGAGTGGAAGTATCACACTAGCATTGCTTTGGTCCTCTTCGCCGGAGTCCTCGTTGTCGAGTTGATAAAGCTCGTCGAAGAATGCTTCTTTCGTTTCCTTCTCCATTTTTGACACGCTTGCAGCCTACTATCGTAATCCATATGTGAATCGAGCTTAGTGTTAATACCTGACCACGGCCTGAAGAGCAGCGGTGAAGTTGTGGAGCAAGCGCCGGGTAGTTTGGGGGAAAAGTACGCGAAAACATGTGACTTTAAGCACCTCCACAATTCTTGCAACACAATGATCCCAAGCGGCCGATGAGACACAACCAAGTATTCTGGATCGAATAACAGGAATCGGCCTACAAGCGCGAGAGATCGTAGTCTAGGACAGAAGACGATGGTTCGTCCTTTGTTGGTCACTATGAGCTATCATCTTGCTCGCTCAAGCGGTTCAAGTATACCATGAATGTGGGAGCATCTGGTCGGTACGATGTTGAAGCGCGAAGAATTTATGCGCTGACACCTGCTGTCCCGGTTTTTAACGTGTTTGGCCTTGGCTCATGTTTCATGTTTATCTTCCGACACGTCAGTTCGGCTCCGCATGGTCTCTTTCAAACATTGATGATGCAGAAAGCCCCACACCATCTTCGGATCTTGTATCCTGGCAGGAAAAGCTGCAATATGCGGCCGGATAAGGTAGTCCGTCGAGTAAGGCTCTCGCTGCTCGATCTCTTTAATAGTAAATGTTGTCCGTCCTGTCTCAACATCCGATGCGTCGTTGTCCGCCGCCACCATGCATGCCAGCCATGCAATTTTCTTTACTTCTTTGCTCTCTTTGCTGGTGACGCTGGCTGTCACCCAAAGCAACGGTGCTTTTTGTAATAGACTGTATCATTCCTCAATTGTGGTCAACGACAAACTATATGTCGATGGAGGAGAATTGCGAACGGTTTGAAGACCTGAACTGCGGCTTTGGCCTGGTACATCATGCTTTATGCTGACGTGGCCAGGTAACGAATGGCAATGTTTCAATTTCAATCCCAACCACCATAGACACGATCGATCTGTCGAAGTCCTTCAGCAACGCAGACACTTCCATATGGGAACAGATATCCAAGAATGGCACCACTTTTGCCTCCAGCGCTCCCACTCTCAACGACGGAAGTATGTTCTCAGATAATATTAGCCTGTATCTCTTTGGCGGCGCAATCAGCATGGCACCGGGAGCACCTGGAATACCTCCACCAAACGCCATATATCAATACAATGTAGGCAAAAGGCAATGGACCCAAATGAATCCGGGGGGCGATCCTATTCAGCGTGTACTTATCGGAATGTCTGCGCAGAGCTCAACAACCTCAGTAGGTTACTATCTAGGTGGTGCCATTACTCCTTTGAGTAATCCAAGCTTCTATGCCGAAACCAATTCTACGCCATACATGATCGAAGGCCTCGTAACCTTCAACGAGGGATCTGCTACTTTCATGAATTCTTCGACATCCCAAATGAACCGAGATGGCACTATAGCTGAAGGTTACCTAACACTCATCGAGTCTCTCGGCTCGCAGGGCGTCCTGGTTACGTTTGGAGGGTTCACAGACATCGCTGGAGCACCGTCCGGTTTGGAGGATTCCGATTTATCTGACCCCTCGTTTCAATGGCCGCTTGCGAACGTGTCTATCTATGATATCGGAAACGGAACCTGGTTTCAGCAAGTGGCGACAGGAGATGTACCACCCTGGCGATACATGGGCTGTTCAGTACTTGTCAGCGCGCCAGATCAAAGCAGCCATTCCATCTACGTCTTCGGTGGCTGGGGCAATTCTTTCGGAGGTTCAGACGGTAATGTTTACGTGCTATCCATACCTTCCTTCCAGTGGATCCGCGTGAACGGAGATAGTAATCGTCGCTCACGCCACAGCTGCAACCTATTGGGTAACCACACGATGCTGGTGACGGGTGGTATCCAACCCATCGGTGAGCAAGTCCTGCCATCGGATGCCACAGGCTGCGACACATCCCCAATGTTTGCCCAAGGTCTGGGGATCTTTTCGCTGAACCACCATACGTGGGCCACCAGTTACGATCCTTCTGAAGGCGCGGCACCTTATGAGGTTCATCCAAGCATATCGAATGTCATAGGAGGCAATGAGAATGGTAATGCTGCGATTCAGACCCCAGTGGGTGGTTTCTCACAGCTGGCTTTGGAAACTCTTCTTGGCGCGCATCAAAGCCCCGTTGGTGCAGTCGGCAATATCCCCAATATAACTTCAACGTCTTCTGCCGGCACCAAGCGTCTTACTGGAGGTGTCATTGCGGGCATAGTGGTTGCAGCGATCGCTGGACTGGCCATTATCCCGACTCTACTGCTCGTTTTGCTACGTCGTCGGTACCTTCGTCTAAACCCTGCACGACCTAGTATCTCTAAACCGGTCCTACACGAACGCAAGGCGTCGGAGGTCGATTCGTTGCCTTGGCCATCAGAGATGATAGACGATAGATTTGCACTTCATGAACTGTGGAGCCCTATGGACAAGCCTTTGCCGCCTGGACCATTTGATGAGAAGATTGTCTCGCTGCACGAGATGGAAGGGGGAGATCTGGGGATACATCCTGCCGAGCGAGATCTGGAGCGAGAACGAGCTGAGGTGGATAAAAAAGCGAGGATTGTAGCGAATCGTTATGTAAGATGTGTGGAATAACAGAAATATCTCCCAAGTGCTCGTTACGTCGCCGTCTAGGATTTTCGGGTGGTGCATATGCTTTCGTGTTCATATATCTTTTTCTCTTGTACTTGCAGTATCAATGGACTCGATCTCGCAAGTATCTGACCGAAGTGATGCTGTTCGAGCCCAAAAAGCTGCACGCTTCCTCATATAACTAGCAAGTGTGCTCTTTCCAATCGGTGATGCTTTTGTGACCAATGCTTCTCTTCTTGATTCCATATCCCATCGCCTAGTCAGAGAGCCAAAGAGACCGAGCCCTAAAAGACTCATTATGAAAATGTCCTCTCCGTATGGTCACCCTAGCATTCGAGCGAAAACATTCCCGCATGCTACCACTTCTGCAATGCTCCAACCACGTTGTCTCTTAACAAGACCGCGGTCTCTCCTCCAAACCCAATGGCTCTACCCCTCCTGCCAATCGCCGCTCCAATGGCTCTACCGCCGCGCATCCACACTGCCTCAAACCCCCAAGCCAACAACACCCTCCCCTAAACAGCCCTCCGATGGAGATCCCACCCCCAACCCCCTCTCCCGTCCCCTTGGCCAACCAAAACCGCCCATCCCGGGCGAAAACAGCGGCATAGATTACCGCACATGGCGAGAACGGAGGGCTGATTTTGTCAACTACGATAAACATCTCGAGCGGCGGAAGCAATTGTATTCAACCCCCTGCTTCCCAGCCTCGAGGCTTCGTCACACCAGGTAACGCAAATGCTGACCGCGTGTTGAATGCCAGAACGAAGAAGGTCGCAAAGCCGTATTTCAGAGAATGGACCAACATGCGGCACCACCGGGGCAAAACGTTCCTTTCACCGCCCAAACTGTTCAAAGCGGATTCGGCGCTGTATTTCCCGAACATGATGGGGTACACCCTCGCCACACCTTCCACAACTACATCTACGACCTCGGTATTGACGGACAAGACGTCGATCGTTAGCGTCTTCAGCGGAACGTGGGCGGAGCGGCAGACCCTCACTTTTGTTGGCGAGAAGCGAAATCCGGCGTTGGCAGTGGAGGTGGAGAAGTTGGAGGGAGAAGGGCTGCAGAGGGTGTGGATCAATGTCGAAGAGGACTGGATGAAGGCTGGGTTGATACGGCTGTTCCTGGGGAGTAGTAAGAAGGGAAAGAGTAGGGCGGAGTGGGGAAGGAGCTTTGTGGTAAGGAGAGGAGTGGACGATGATGTCAAAGACAGTATCGGGATGGCGAATGGGAAAGTGGGATATGTTTATTTGGTGGATGGAAATTGTAGGATCAGATGGGCTGGAAGTGGGGATGCGGACCCTGGGGAGAGGGAGGGGTTGATTGGCGTTGCCAGGAGGTTGGTTGAGAGCAATAGGAGGCCTGAGAGTGGGAAGAAACGCGAGGGAGTTGTCGGTGCGAAAGCAAAGCATTGATGTTTTACATCGGGAATTTGGATGCTAGATACCCCATTCGTACAAGACGTTCTCCAGTCATGTCGGACACCAAACGCCATGCTGCCCAAACTCTCTTGCCCAGGTGTCACATTAAAAAGAACAGCAACAGACAACAAAACGCAATGAAACTCCCTAATATAATCCCATCCCTCCTCTTCTTCGCCCCAATCCTCCCAATCAAACTATTAAGCCCCGGTACCTGACTAGCAGCCCCCACGATCCTCCTATTAACACTCGCCAACGTCTCCCTCTGCGTGCCAAAACTCTCGTTGATCGCATACGCCTGGCTCAGCACCCCGTCCGCGACGGTATGACTCCTATCGATCCTGTTCCGCTCATCGAGCATGTAGTCTGCTTCGGCGTCCGCGGGGTTCGAATTCCGGTAGGCGGAGATGTCGGAGCGTACGTTCGAGAGCAGATTGGCACGTTGACGGGCGTCGGTTATGCTGGCCTTCAAGCGGACGAGTTCGCGCCGGTGGTCGAGGAGGATTTCACGGTGGCGGGTGAGGTTGTTGGATTTTAGGGCGGAGGTGGTGAGGGGGGATTCGGAGTCGAGGAGGCGGGTCAGTTGCGTGATCAGTGCTTCTCGCTGTAGGGTACGGATGTCAGCTCAAGGCCCGCCCATACTAGGTTGTTGTGCAGTGGAGATTGAACTGCGGACCTTTTCAAGCAAGTCCTGGATGGTTGCCTCGGTCTGTTTCTCATCTTCCGTAGGCTTCGGGGGGATGGCGGTAGCCTGCGAGAACTGGGAGTATTTGTGGAAATACCCTTCTGTCTAGAAAGTGTAAGCTCCCAAGAGTGAGTTGCCAGCATAAAGGACAATGTACCTGAGACTCTAAGGTTCTTGTTTGTTGACGAAGCTGAGCCCATCCATTGCCCGTGGAGGATGACATATTGCTTGGAGATCGTTTGAATGATTATGAGGAGATGCTCTTTTGTCTTCCGTATTCGGAGCCTCCAAAGCATTCATGGTGGTTCCATTGAAAACATTCAAAAAGACAGATGTCTCGGCGGACACATGGACTTTGGAGATGCCTTCAGGTCTTGGCGCTGCAGGCTCGCTAAGATGTGGCGCTAAGGAAGCCAAGAACTTTCAACCGCACATTTTTCGTGATCGAGAACAACGACATCTTGAAGGACCTCTACCACCGCGACAAAGCATCAAGATGGTAGGTAACTCAATCTAGGCGCCCCTGAACATCGCTGATGATGCCTGCAGTCATCCTCAAAAGTCCGCACCGGCCAGCTCTGGGGCAAGAGCAAGGATGATCTGAAGAAGCAACTCGTGGACCTCAAGACAGAGCTAGGTCAACTCCGCACCCAGAAGATCGCCGGAGGCGCTTCGTCCAAGCTTCACAAGATGTGCGTACTGCCCAATCCGCACCGCCTTTTACCTTTGGGCTCCATTGGAAGCAGATCTAACCCTCGGTGCAATGTAGCCACGACCTCCGCAAATCCGTCGCCCGCGTCCTCACCGTCATCAACTCCAACCAACGACAACAACTACGCATCTTCTACGCGAAGAAAAAGTACCTCCCGCTCGACCTACGTCCGAAGAAGACCCGGGCGATCAGGAGGCGGTTGAGCAAGCATGAGGCGACGATCGTGACGGAGAAGCAAAAGAAAAAGTCCACGCATTTCCCGCAGAGGAAGTATGCGGTCAAGGTATGTTGAAAATCTACTCTGGCGGTGCGAGCTGGCAATTGGACTTTTACACTTGCAGCGCTATGTTATTGGAGATTTTTTTTGGATTTGGAGGCTAATTGTGGACACAGGCTGAGGTTTAGGTGCTGGCGAGCTGGAAATTTGACAACGAGCGGTTGATTCGCATAGGGGAGGTGTCCACCTTCGGCCTTGCTCAGATAGTGGTGGTTAGCCAAATGCATTCAAGTCCGGTCTACCAAACCCTTTCCTACTGCGTCGAATTGGATCACCCTTGTGCCAACCGTGACGAATGGCCAGCGCTCTGGCGTGAATACGGGTCAAGTCGCTGTACCTTGTCAGCCCACAGTACTAACATTGTCATGGCCCTAACACGAATGGTCTGTCCACTACACAAATACCTCAGATCGGTATTGTATTGAGGTGGTTTGTATTCCCCTTGAAGATACTCGCGGTCTTTCCGAGTCGACTCATCGCTGGCTTGTTCATATCCTATTCTACGTAGTCTCTACGCAACGCAACATCCATTACCTCTTCAGCTCTTACCTCCTCTGCGTACCTCCATTCATTTACCTTGAACGAATTCGGAACATATGCTAATCTTGACACCCCGTCCCCAACATCGAACCCGAGCCACCAACGACTGACACAAAAGTTCAAATGACACCGCTAATGCTTACCGATTTGTTACCATTTCCGTATCTTTGCAGATTGTTTCTCGGTTGGGATTGTTTCGGTGGAGGAAGGGGGAGAGGCGGGATTGGGGAGGGAAAGGGGGGTGCGGTGAGGTAGGTGGGTGTAATATTGGATGGGTGCTGTTGGCTCATCGGCTTGTGTTTTTCTGCTGCCACGGTGGCGGGGTAGGAGTGGTGTGCGTTGGAAGAGGATGGATGCGTGGAATGAGATCCAAGATTCCAGTCCCGCACAGAAGGATTTGGGGAAAAGTGGCGGGGATGAGAGCGCTCGTCTTTTTTTGTTTTTTGCAGGCTTTGGTGGGCGTCAGCCTGGATGGATTGAGTGGTTCGTGTCGGCTCGGTGGAAGTTTGGGATCTTCGCTGGGGTCATCTCCTTTGTGCCTGGGCTTTGCTCGGGTCTTTTGGGAATGGATTACGGTGTTATGGCATACTGGGCTCAATGGTTTGGGTAGGTAATGCTGGGATCGAGGCTGTGTCTTTTTGGCCTTTTCTCACATTATCTCCCTCGCAGAAGATAATCAAGAGCTATCAAAAGTCCTCTCCGTCCTCTCCGACTCAAGCTCGAATCCCCATTTCCCTCTTACGGCAACTCTTGCGTTTTTACCATTCATCCCGGCTTCGTGCTGCTCCGTGTCATAATCGTTCATTCCGTAAGATGAAGGAAGAGGTCACTATGTACAAAAAGAACGCTCTTGATCGTGAGATTCAGGCGAAGAGTTGCGACGATAGTGCGACTGCCATTTCTTGGGGCACCAAACCCTTGTGGCTCTCTCTCGCTAATGAGTACGAAATGCGAATTTGATGCTGCAGCGACTCTCCTTAGGCCGCTCTCTCTTTGGGTGCCACCGCAAGTTGGTCTTTGTCCGGCGTGTGGACACTCGTACCTCGATGAATGGCGAAGAGGGTCAATGGTTCTAAGGTTTGGTCCTTGTCTCCCGTGTCAATGTCTGGATCTTCATGAGTCTCGCCGAGGCTCCGTGACTCTGCAGCTTTGCCTGTTTCAGTCGTATCAACATCTGCAGGATCATACAGCTTGGCAGGGCTTGGTGATGCTATAGCTTTGCCTTTGTCGCCCGTATTGACATCTGCAGGATCATAAAGCTTGGCAGGGTTTTGTGATTCCACGCCTTTGCTTTCGTCGCTTGCATCGGCAACTTTGGGTTTATAAGCCCAACCCTCGGCCAGCTCGCCTATCCAGTCATCCACGTCCATAGGAAGCGCTCCTACCGCCTTAACGATTTTCATTCTGAGATGGTTGCCGTAGGTACTGAAACTGGAAGGACTCGAGTTCAGAACAATGGCTAATCATCATAACGAACCGGGGGCACCTCCTACCTTCCATTCTTTAGGCCTTGAATAGCATTTTTGGCTTCAGCTTCGGTTTCGAATTCAACATAGCCCCATGTACGAAGGCAGCCAGTCATGCCAGTCGTGTGATGGTACCTTTGCTTTTGAACCGTGTATCAGTGGCGGTACTGATGGAGTAATGCAGGAAGGAACGTGATTTACACCGTAAAGCACTTTACCATATGGGCGAAATAGATCTTGCACAGCTTTGTGAGAGAGATGACCTTGGAAAGGCCTGCCAAAGCTTTAGCAAGTGTGCCTCATCGACGACTTTTTACCCTGATGTACCCGGCAAGGACTCTTCTTTGCGACATGGCTTGACAAGAAGATTGACCGATTGACAAGTGATGCCTGAGAAACGAGAGGATGTATGCTCCAGCGTTTGGAACCTCAGTCAAGTAGCGACGAAGATGGAGAGTGTGTTGTTAATATATTTGCCAAATAGTGTGCTTCAGGGTGGTCTTGTAGGGAAGACGTAGAGATATAAGTTCGATAATGGAGCCGATTGACGGCTTTGGTTGTTTTCGTGTCGGAAGGGTATTGGAGAATCTCAAATGGTGACTTTGGTAGAAGGGATATCATGCAACCTCGGATGAGACCAAACGACACTTGACTTTGGGGAAATCCTGCACCAGGCACCCGAGAATCCATTCGTAAATGCCAGGTTGGCCGACGTGTGGAGACAGATGCAATGATGATGCGAGCTGCCCACTGGCAGGATGAGACAAGGCAATATTAATCATGTCAATTGCCACCTGTGCGTTTCGCCAGGCGTTGAAAGCAAAGCTTCGAAAAGAGTCTGGTAATCATAATGACAATTCGGAGCATCGTCATACGATCACTTCGACAACTTGAATCCTTGGACTTCTGCAGGTGGTCGTCAGAAGAAAAGGTCTGTTGCCTACTTGCTTTGCCTCAGCGAATTCACGCAGCCATAGCTTTGCTTGTTGTGAGAGAAACAGGTCATTATTAAGTAGGTCGATGCTGGGCATGCATAAAAGTACCTACCTTATGCATACAATTGCTTAGCGGTCTTGATGCACGCGAGGTCTGCACGGACCAAGTGGGTTTTGACATCCCTGTACTCCGTACATGTGCAGCAATTGCCGAGATTGCGAAGGCGAAAAGGAGCCACCTCCGAAGAAGGTGGTTTGGAAGCCACTTGCTGTTCTCTTTTATAAAAACGACGTGTTTCAACTATAAAATTAATTTGTCTTCAGGTTTCAGCTTGGGAAGGACTAGTTTACACTTACTCGTAAGGTAAGGTATGGAATGACTATGGAATGACTATGGCCTGTAAGGCTGAATCTAGATCTCACCGACTTAGCACCAATCTTTATCTGGGTCACTGCCAGCGTCGAAAATCATGTCGTGATCTCATCATTCTTATCATTCTGTACCAGTCCTCTCCATTTTTCCAATATTTACTACACGTCCAGATGGTGTATCAAGCCAATCACATATCTTTTCATACTGTCAATGTCATCATTCATCCACATCCACCACACCACCAAGTCCATCTTGCTTGTCCTCCCGACCGAGGTAAGACATGAGACCAGCAAGTGCACCAAACCTCCATACCCGTGTCTGCATACAGGTACCACCCAACTTCGCAAGCTTGCCCTATCTTAGATGCTCACATCATCATTGACCTATCAAACCATTCGACTTGCGATCAATTCCCTGTCCATCTCATTTCCCCACCGTCAGCTGTGGCTGCGGTCTAGATGAATTGCCTTTCCATGCCGTAAATAGCCTCTCGATTCGCATTTCTCTGAATGCAACCTTCAGACGACGCCCTTGACTTCTACGACTCTCTTCTGATATTTCATCGCATCTGTCCCTTTGCCGTCAAGAATTTGCCCATCATGTCGCGCAGAGTATTCGATGTCGGTCTTGATATGGGACGTATACGAAACGGCTTGAAGCATAATAAAGACAGCAAACGCAGCAAAAGCTTTCGATCCAACTTTACCAAAGACGACAGCCTCGTCGACGATACTCCGCTTCCAAATCAGAACAACGCCCTCGTACCGCGGCACAAGAAAAGCAATCCCAGCCTTGCCACGAAACGGCAAAATCACAATCACACTCTCAGCAACGAAGAGCCTGTCGTCCTCCCTTCAGCAAATCTATCGCCAAGAATGGACACAGAATTCCCACTACCACCTTCGAAGCGTGTTTCCCCAGAACAGAACCAAGTCAATGGGAATGCAGAACGCTCCTCACACTCATCCCAACTTTTCCCCTCAGGACCATCCAATGGTAGCCCAGAAAGTGCGCCGAAGCCGGAAAGGAGAGGATCCGGTGACCAGAACTTCGACCTCAAACCGCCTCCTCCAAATTCCAAAGTCAAGAACATTGATACCCTTTCTGAGCAGCTCTTCTCTGGTGACCATCTGCGCGTCATTCTCAAGGATCCATCATTCTTCCTCCGATTTACTGCCTTCCTCAATCGCTATCGACCACACTCTGCCCCGATACTCGTACGCTATCTCGAGGCACAGAAGGCCATGAAGGCCGTAGAGTATGCGAATGCCTTGGCCGAGACATTAAGACCGACACCAGGCGAACCCTCGGGTCCTTGCCCCGCGGCAGCTATTGACCCAAGATTCGAGGCGAGGTCGAAGAGGTCATTCGAGTCCTTGATCAATGAAGCTCTACCAGCATATATTACGAATTGTCTCACGAAAGTGGTGACCGAAAGCATGGTCAAAGAAATCACGGGACAAGGAATGCCTGTCATGCGCGAGCTTGTTGGAGGTCTGGCAGAAGTCTTCTGCTTAGCGGACCCAAGTATAAAGGACTGCCCCATCGTCTATGCCAGCGAAGAGTTTTATCGCACGTCAAGGTACTCACGAGATGATGTCTTAGGTAGAAATTGCCGTTTCTTACAAGGTCCGAAGTCAAACCGAACAACCGTCGCCCGAATTGGCACAGCAATCAAATCTGGACAAGAGTCTTGCGAAACGCTTCTCAACTACAGGCGAGATGGTACACCATTCATGAACCTCCTTCTCACAGCGCCTCTCTACGACAACCGAGGCTCTGTCCGCTACTTCATCGGCGCCCAAATAGATGTCTCCGGATTGATCGAGGATGGCCGTGGCCTCGACTCTTTCGCACACTATCTCGCAGAGAATCGGCCAAACCGAAATCGAGACAGCGACCAATCCAACGATACTATCTCTCAAAGACATCTCAAAACGCTCAGCGAGTTCGGCCAAATGCTCTCTTTGGACGAATCGTCCGTCTTCCAGCATCACTCCCGCGCGAGCTCGGTGCAAGACAATGCTTCAACTATCAGCTATAGAGGAAACCACAGCCGTCAGGAACCAGGGATGAGGCGTACGCGTAGAGTTCTGGGCAACGATGATGATGAAGAAGAAGAAGGAAAGGACAAGAACGCGTGGGCGCTCTCTTCCATCGGGCCATCCGGAAAGCTGCCCGGTGTCTATCAAAACGTAGCTATGCTCCCTTCTCTTGCCTACCTCCCCCCATCCTACCCCAAGCCAGCTAACAGTGAATGAACAGTACCTCCTCGTCCGCCCACACCCCTCCATGCGCATCATCTTCGTCTCCCCCGCCCTTCGCATCCCTGGCCTCCTCCAATCCCCTTTCCTTTCCCGCATCGGCGGTCCTTCGCATGTCCGCGAAGGTCTTCTCGACGCGTTCGAATCCGGCGCTGCTGTCACCGCAAAAGTGACTTGGCTACCGCATGGCCAGGAGAATAATGACATGACAAATGGTGACTCGAGACCCAGCAGCAGAAGGGGAGGGCCACCAGATCAAAGTGCACGTACGAGATATATCTCGTGCACGCCGCTACTGGGAAGTGATGACCAAGTTGGCGTCTGGATGGTTGTGATGGTGGAGAATGAACTCGTCACCGGCTCGCTCGCATCCCGCCAAGCCGCGCTGAATAGATTCAACAACAACAACAACGAGATACCTCCCACACCCTCGGAGTATCAGCGCGAAATGCACGTTGGCAGTGACACCGACGAAGGCGGCGGGGCCAGGAGAACCTTTGAAAGTCAAAGAGGAGGATTCGAAAGAAGCGCGAGCGGGCAGATCAGGGATGAAAGAAAGGGAAGAGTTGGGAGTGAGGGCGGGAGACTGTACGCTGATTTCATGAAGAACGGTGGCGGAGGAAAGATGAGTATGGATGATATGGCCGAGGAAAATGGGACCGGGAATGGGATCCGCCAATCGGATGGGCCGGACAGGTATGTTAACGGAGAGGGAAGGGTGGAGGAGGTGAGGAGTCCATGATTTAGTGCTCTCGGGTCATGCTTTTTTTAGAACGAGGGCCGCGGTCCCAACCGGGAGAAATACAGGCTACCGGGTACTGGCTTTGTACGTTGAGAGATCATGATGCGAGGTTGGATAGAGGGATTGGGTCGAGGAGGGGTCGAACTGGGTCGTTGCATCGATCGATCGATCGATTCGATTGGATGGCGTTGCAATGCATCCGCTTAGCGAAAGGGGGTGATGGTCTCACCGAGCAACGACGCTCGATTGCCCTACCACGATGGCCTCCATTCTGGAATCTTGGAGCTGTTCATATCCGTGCACGTACATAGCGCGGCGCAGGTATACAATTCGATACCCACATGCTTACTCCCCTCTACCTGCCCAATGCGTTCAAATGCTGCATGTTGCAACCGTTCCCCCTCCGTTCCCGCCGCGTGTACTTCGATGAGGAGAACGGACTCGATGGGATTACCAACCAATGTTCCCTTGTTGCAGCAGCCATGGCACCCTCTCTCTTTTTCCTTCTCCACATGCACGAAATCTAAACGAAACAGTAAGCGACCCTCAACGCCGTCGGAGGATCCTCGCGTGGCCCGCAGGCGTTCGTGATGAAAATGGTTCAATTACTCCTCTCCACCTTTGTTGAAGACCGTCACGCTTCATCACTTGATCTCGTCAGCGTCAGCGAAACCAGGATTCCCCCTCCCCGAAGCACGTCATTGCTTCTGAAAAAGGGTTTCCCTCCCCCAAACACGTCATTGCTCCAAGGTACACATCCATCCATGACGCAACGCACCCTCCCATCATCGTCGCACCACCCACTCCCGACCCCATCTACCCATATCGACTCCACCGGCCGCCGTCCGTCGCCCGCACGAGCGGACTCTCAGACTGGGTAGGGGCCCGGCGCCGGACAACACAACAGTATGCACTACAAGTCCGACGGCAGCAGTGTCGATGAGCGAATTTCTGCATTCGTCCAACGCTTTTTCTGGGAGCCGTGTCGAACATGAAATGACACGTGGTTTCGAACCGGTGTGCCGAATCGACGTGAAAAGTCGAGAGCGGACCGGCTCTTCAAAACGGTGACTTTGTGGGACGGCTTGGCGTGCTGGAGGGATTGTCGTCATCGTTGCCGCAGGCTGGCTCGGCCGGGAGGGCTAATAGCGTATCGCTTTTCCCTAACCGGAGCGGATTGGGCCAAAGGTGAGACTCCCCGAAGTTTGATTGGCGAGATTTGCCATTATTAGAGCGAAATGTTCTCGCTCGGTGGGGAGTGCAAGAGGTCAGGAGCAGATCGTACGGATGGGTGAACCGCAGGGGCTCGTGCTTAGTGTGAAGCTTGTTGAGAGAAGTGTGTTTCAGAACTGGTACCCCCAAGCATCCCGTCACCTATCCCCATCCACCTCCTTTAGGACTGTCTCCACGGCTAGGCTTCTCATTCGATCTTTTCGAGCGCAGTCCCATGCTTTCGGCCTTGCAGGACGGGCATCATAGCTCAATGTCCATGTTCCCCGTCAGATTAGTCATTGCTCGACTAACAAAATCCCTATCATTGTATCTCTGAGATTTCTGTAAGACTGTGCTCTTTGTGAACCGCTGACAGGCCTGAAGTAGAGAAAGAAGATGGTGTCCAAGAGAATGGTGCATTCCCCCCTTAGCAAGCTAGACGGATGCAGCGAGAAGCGCATAACGAAGTAAGGAGATGGACGACGCGGCGGTCTAAAATTATGTGGTGAGCCCTATGATGGGAAGCGAGAGGCACAGACACACCTAGTTGCTAGTTGCTTCGCGGAGAATTCGCCGATAGATCGACATGGGTATGCTCCGGAACATTCAAAAATATCCGAAATTGCTCACTTGCATATGCGAGTGTCGGTCACAATGGGCCCCGGAAGGGTGCAATGTGTTCCCAGGAGGCATGAGCGTAAGACGGTAAGCGCATGACGAGTGTGCCTAATCTTTTGCTTGACATGATCCCTCTCCACTACCGAAAACTCCAGAACCCAAGCGCCAGAAATGTATGCAGCACTATGTAGTTAACCTTTCTTTTTCCCAGGTGTCGCGTGTCCTTTTTCCCTGTTGCCAGTTGTAATGCGACCCCGGGTGTCACATTTCAGGTGTCCATTTTGACTTTGCCCTTTTCTCCTCATACCTGCCCTGCTTCCAAATGCATCATTTACTCCATGGGAGACTGGATCCCGCGGCGCATATCAAACAGTAGCAAACGTGACTGTCTCACGCGGCTTCCTTTTTGGCAACGTCCTCATTGGTCATCGGCCAGAACCTCCCTCACAGTTCTGACCGCTTCTTGCTGTACCTGTGTAAGACTGGCGCCACAATCGACCTCCAGCACATCTCTTCCTTGCTCTGTAGCATCAGGCTCTTCCAGCGCCTCCATCTGTGACCGAACCATCGCGCTTTTCATGTAGTGGCCCTTCCTGCCTGTCACTCGTGCCAGAAGCACGTCGGCGTCGGCTCTTAAATATATGAAGTGCACCATTACGTCGTGGTCATTGTAGGCGGCGATCCGTATCACGTCACGGTATTTGCGTTTCAGGGCAGAGCAAGTGACGACGACGCCATCATGACGTTTGTTTGCTGAGCGTTTGGAGGGCGAGAGGCGAGCCACGGCAGCTTCTCGAAGGGTAATGAGCCAATCCCATCGGTCAATGTCGGTGAGGGGGGATCCTTGTGACATTTTTTGCTTGTTGGAATCGGAGTGGTACTAGTCAACGAATTCTGTCAGCTGGGCTGCAGTGTCCATATGAGGATTCGTATCGGGTTGTGTAGCCCCACTCACATCATCTCCTTCGATGTATGGTATCGACAATTCCTTGGCAACGTACTGAGCAACGGTGCTCTTGCCACATCCTGCCGGGCCCGTGATGATCCACATGTGGCGGTGGTGATGGGCGGCCAAGGCGCCATGGATCTGCTTGACAGAGGCAGTGGATGCGTAGTCCATGGGTGAGGGCGGAATGGGAAGGGTGTGCCCTCCAGTGACACTGACCATGGTCATGGTGAAAGTATTTTTAGTGATAAGGGAAGGGAGATATTTGGCGTCGGGAAGAGGTGGTGGAGAAGCGAAAGCAAGGGGAGGATAGTATTTTGCAAGAGAGAATGTTCTGTTCCATGCCGGGGTGCATGTCACGGGAAGGCGGCCGAAGGAGGATATAAGTAGCAGGTGAGGGTGAGGGTGAGGAAGGGTATTAATGTATACTTGGCACTCCTGCAAACAAGATCAGGATTGGAATAGGTAGTCTAAATAATAATGTTAGGAAACAAATCAAAAGAAAATTAAAGGAAATAATTTGTGGATCCAAGCCAACTGCTTGGGAGTTCTGGGACCCCACACTAAGGAAAGTACCGAAAGTACCTTAGGGAAAAAAGAAGGAGTCGGAAGGGAAATCAAGTTCCCTTGTCTGCCTTAAGATTATGGCAGCGGTAAGCCGCGACCCGGCAAGTAAAATATCATTCGTCTCGAATATCGGTCTGGTCGGAATATTCAAAAAAGCAAAGAGGCCTGAGCGTGCGCCTGACACAGTGACGTTGTTGCTTCCTTTGTAGAGATCTTGAACCGCTTGGACGATGAGATATGGGGTAATTTAGCACTTGCCAGTTAGCTTGAGCCTTACCAACGAGATGGTTCCTGATGTAGTATAAGTCTCCGTGCCTCCACCCAATCCTGCTCAGCGAGTAATGCGGAGTGCAGACGGCTTGCAGCACGTTGGACTTGAAAGTGGTCTGACCGTGTGATGGCTTGGAGGCTTGGAGGCTTAGAGGCTTAGAGGCTTAGAGGCTCGGAGGCGTGGATCGTTGGTGCACCTTTTGGGACGACATAAGCAAGCAGAAGATCAGCGCACTCTGACCGCAGCTGCAGGTGCCAGGAAGAGGGCCAGAAGCCCAGTGAGAGCCCACCCTTGATGCCTGTATCAATGATATCACACCTCTCTCTCTCCCGCACCTGCATGCACATATTCGGTCCGGCCAGTGATACTTCCGACCGCTGTGAACAAGATGTTCCGTTATGCTGCATGCATGGACGGTGCAGCATCGTAGAGTGGGAAGGATCATTAAGCAGGATATTAACGGCGAAGCCCAACCTGCTGCAGGCCTTAGCATGGCTTTCTATCATCCAATCATTATTATTAGCCATGATTTTGATGAGAATGTCGAACCGAAAACAGCCAACATTGATGGTGATAGACTGATAGTGTATTATGTATGGCCTGTTGGGCGGCCCAGTCGTTGAAATTTTTTTAAGGTACATGCAAGTGTTTGACGCCGTTCGGAACTTTTTTCTACCAGTCTGAGCTTTGACTTTGCTATCTCTCAAACTCTCAAAAAGAAAAGATGATCCTTCTACAACAGTAGCGTGGGGGTTCTTCTTCAGCTACCTACCCTCCAGTCTCCACTTTACGAAACAATACGAGATTATTCGAATACTGCTGAATTGCTTTCACTGGCTCTACTACTGCTAATGTTGACTAGAAGCAGGTATTCCTGTACTTAGGCACTGAGAACAATTCTGTGCCATCCCAAAGTCCCTCCGACCCTCCGACCCTCCGACACTCCGAGGCCGGGACGGCAGGAACGTCGCGTTGTAGAAGAGGTCCAATGTGATCGTGCGATGAAGACCGAAAACTTCATCGTCGATCCTTCCCACGTGGAGGCAGGGGAAGGCGTTCGGACCTGCATGCCAAATCTTTCCGTATCTAGTAAGTCGTTCGCTTGTTCAAAAGATTGTGTGGATGAATCTGGGTATGGCTTTCTTAAACCTCGGTCTTGAGTGTGGATCGACATGGCATTCAGTAATTCAGCTCCGAGCCTTATAATCCATCCTACCAAACCCTTCATGGTCCGTATGCTACTCGCAGAGTAATGTGGGTAATGTACTAGGATGAAACGAATCCTGTGGGAGCGGAGGGTTGATCGTTTGAGAAGAGGAACCGGTCCAACTCTCTATGAATCCTTAGCATACGCCTAGTCTAGTATGCAAATCGTAGAAAAGGGGGTGCTTTCCTATCAAACGTCGTTTCCTAGGCTGGGGAGAAAATCGATCATTCGGAGCGTGACGGTCCCACCGTTCCATGAAGTCGATGAGATGAACTGATACTACAATTCATCAACCAAGCCGGGGGCCGATCTGCACAGTCAGCTGTCTAAACAACCATGACATAAGGTATGTTGAGAGAAGTGCAAGAAGGTCTTGGCGGTCCACTCGTTCAGGATGCTGCGTACTCGTATATACCCGGTAATAACCGCTACCTAGTAATGCACGGTCTGAAATCCGAAACTTCAGTAATTCGTGTAGAAGATTAAATTATAATACGTAGTCTAAGATTTCTAAAATTTCAATATTTTTGAAATCAGAGTCATATAAATTCTTTAAGCTCTATAAGGTATCGTGTAACGGAGCGAGGGTAGGCTAGGGTAAGTCTTCGGGAGGGTATCCCCAAATATCGGATTTTAGACCGTGCATTACCAAGTAGCGGGTATTACCGGGTATATACGAGATATAGGGCTGCCTTGGCGGGCGGAACACTCCGCTTGGCGCGCTAGGCTTCGATAGCACAAGAGCAGCTTGCTCTGAGTATAACAACAATAAGCAGCTACCACAGTTGATATAATCCATAACTCGCAGCTGAACACCGACCTCCAATTGAGCTAGCAATCATGTCATACTTCTTCTCCACGCCTGTCGACATTGACATAGTCCTCGAGGACACCGATGACAGGACCATGATCGATATGAAGCTCGACAAGGGCCGGCGAGAAAAAGCCCCGTTGTATATGGATGGCGAGTCCGTAAAGGGAGGCGTAACGATAAGACCGAAAGATGGCAAGAGGCTGGAACATACGGGCATTAAGGTCCAGTTTATCGGCACAATTGGTACCTCTCCACGGGCCAGCACGGTGCAAATTCAATGCTAACGGATTGGATCATAGAGATGTTCTTTGACAGAGGCAATCACTACGAGTTCTTATCCCTGGGCCAAGAACTCGCTGCCCCAGGTGATCTCCAACATCCGCAAACCTTCGACTTCAACTTCAAGAACGTGGAAAAGCAGTATGAATCCTACAATGGCATCAACGTCAAGCTACGCTACTTCGTGCGGGTCACAGTATCGCGGCGGATGGCAGATGTAATACGGGAGAAAGACATCTGGGTGTACTCCTACCGGATACCGCCTGAGACAAACAGCTCGATCAAGATGGATGTGGGGATTGAGGACTGCCTCCACATTGAATTCGAGTATTCGAAGTCCAAATACCATTTGAAGGATGTGATTGTGGGGAGGATATACTTTCTGCTGGTGCGGTTAAAGATCAAACATATGGAGCTGTCAATTATACGGAGGGAGACGACGGGTGTTGCGCCGAATCAATATAATGAGAGTGAGACGTTGGTCAGATTTGAGGTTCGTGATGTGCCGTTTGAAATTTGTAGGACGCTGCTGACCGTTCCTAGATCATGGATGGCTCGCCGTCAAGAGGTACATTTTAGCCTTGGTACCGACATGACATGCCAGTCACTGACCTGGTATCAACAGGAGAAACCATCCCTATCCGCCTGTTCCTAGGCGGTTTTGACCTCACTCCCACATTCCGCGAAGTCAACAAGAAATACTCCACCCGCTACTACCTGAGTCTCGTTCTCATTGACGAAGGTCTGTTTTCCCCTTTCCCCTCCTTTTCTTTCCTTTCCTTTCCTTTCCTTTCAACCCTCGGTATCGGCAATCTAATGCTCACATCACTAACCCTCTCCACAGATGCCCGTCGCTACTTCAAGCAATCGGAAATCGTCCTCTACCGGCAAGCGCCCGAAATCGCCGCCGCCCAATTACAGCAAGCACAGTCGCAACCTCAGCAAATCACTGGAGCGGCCGGATGAGTATTGTCAGACTATTCTGCCCAATGGAGGCTTGTATTTAGGACATGGCGTGGCGTTGGGAGCGTCTGCACAAAAAGCAGGTATTCGTACCCGTTGCTGCCATCTTGGGTGCAAAGTTGAGAGGGAACGAGAGATGAAGGAGGCATCCCAATATGCAGAAGCAACGTTTGGCCGTGACGAGAGAAAATTCTTTGCGCCATGATGCCGAGTTTGGTATCATGCTACGCATAATGGGATTTTTCAGGATCATGATTCGACAGCTAATGATTTAATTCAGCTTAAGCCCGGTAACGATCACTCTCATGTCTTCCCATGCCCTGACGACTCATGCCGAGCCATCTCCCAGCCACGCAAAGCGGTGAAGGTATGGCAAAAGAGTGCCGACCACAAAACTACTCCCCCTTCCCATTGTTCTTCATGAACGCATCCTCACCCCCCAATTTCTCGAGCATCTCCTTTGCATTCTCCTTCGTGCTGGGTTTGGTGTTGGGGTTGGAAATGGCGGCCTGCAGCTCTGATCAGCCCTGATCGGGCGGTCTCGCTCTTTTGGCACCCCTCTGGACGGAAGGGGGAAGAGGAGAGGAGAGGAGAGGAGAGGAGAGGCTTTACCTTGTAACCGCTCGCTTTGTTCGAGATATCCTCCACGTTGCCGTGAATGTTATCCATCGGGTTGGACATGGTGGGTATGTTCTCCTTAGCTGTACCGGCGGCGGTCGAGTCGTGGATTTCGTCTGCCATGGTTTGCTGTGTTGATTGAATGTGGAGGCAATGCTGCTGATTGTTATTCTTACAGGGATCCTGATGTTGAGGTTTATAGCATGGATATCACGAGCGGTGTAGGGAGTATATATGACACGGCGAAGGCCTCGGCCAGGGCATGACATGGGAGGGATAACATAACCGGGGTATCTAGCTGTTGCACATAGAGGGGTAAACGCGTCCATTCAGGGTCTAAAAACAGGGTTTTGACTCTGGTCATGCTGTATGGCCCCGCCATGCAGCTTTGCAGGGACCAATGAGGAATCTTCGTTCACGGTCTAGAAACAGGGTTTAAATCTGATGATGCTGTATGGCCCGTACCTTCGGTTGTCGGCATCACGGGACTTATTGGATGTAAGACTGCAGATCGGGATCGACGATGCTTGGAATTCGAACTTCGAGGTGAGAGTTGGACAGCAGTGGTGGCAGTAGGAGAGGTTAGGGTATCAAAAGGTAGCACAAGACCGGTCAACGGTTAGAATAGCTCGCAACATCTGCTGAGCCTTCAGTTCTAAACGATTGTTTTGATTCTCCCAGTTTCTTTGCGAAATAGAGAGCCGATCAAGCTGCCATCGCTGCAACTCGCCCCATTGACGGCAGTCTTCTATCCGAAGGTCTGGCCCTTACTCTTGATTACCTGAGGGTGTTGACCAGTGATACCACAGATCGGAAGCGGCTGCATGAAGTGATAGAACGATCTGGATCGGTTGGAGATAACTGTAGATGCTGGCACTCGATCCAGAAAGCTGTATTCAGGGCTTCATCTGAGCCTCGTCATCATCAGCGCTGGTTCTTCGACGAAGACTCTGACTCGCTCGGCCATTCTTGCCATTGTTGCACCGTCCACGACGCGATGATCAGCGCTCCAGCTAAAATTCATAATCTCTTTCTTGACCACATGGTCTTGGTCGTCGAATGCTGGAACTATCCTGGCTTTTCCAATGCCCAAGATAGCAACCTCGCTTTGAACAAGGACTGGAGCCACATATGTGCCGCCTATGCTACCAACGTTGCTCACTGTGACGGTACCGCCTGTCAGATCGGTGACAGAGAGTTTTCCATGCTTCGCGAGCGCTTGGAGCCGGGAGACTTCTAACGCAATGTCCAAAATCGATCTCGCGGAAACATCCTTTATGTTCGGTACCAGGAGCCCTTGAGGAGTGTCCATGGCCACTCCAATGTTATGCTTCTCGCGCATCACAAGCTTCGGTGTATTCTCTCCAGTTCCTGTATCAACTCGAGCGTTTAGGAGAGGGAATTCCTCCAAAGCCAAAGACACCGCTTTGATTACAAAGTGCAGGTACGAAAGCCTTCGAGCACTCGATGGCTTGTTATTTAAGCGCTGACGGAGTGTGGACAGCGCAGTCACATCAATCTCATCAGCATAGAGGAAATGGGGGATGCTGAGAGACCTTGTCATCGTCTTGAACATTTGGGTCTGGACGGGTGTGAGCGAAATCGGATTTTCCACTTGGGCTGGATCTGGATTAGATGATTCTCGCGTATTCTGTGGTTGGATCGATTGGGTAGTCCCTGTTTTTTGAGCTGCTACAAGCTTGTGGACATCATCTTTGGTTACGCGTCCGTCTTTGCCGGTACCTGTGACATTTGCTATATTCACGTTTAGTTCTTTAAGAAGACCTCGAACAGCAGGTGTGGCGAGTGCTGCACTTTTCTCCACGGGAGCTTGGTCTTTTGCTTCCACGGGCGTCTCAAGCCGCAGCTCTGGAGCTTTCTGCGGCTGCTGTGGGTCTGACGGAGATCCTGCTTGCTCAGCTGGAGGGGCCAAGATGGCCTCATCTTCGGGCGAGATGTCGCTTTGAACGTCGATGTCGCAGAGTGGCTTCTCCGCTTCAGCTTCAGTATTTCCAAAAGGAGAGAAGACAAAATAATTACCTTGCCCACCTGCGCGACATCCTCGGCTTCGTAGTGCAACTTTTTAATCACTCCGTCAAACCTGGATGTTATCTGCTCGCTGTTAGTTGCTGCCATTGCCACTCGACCTGCGTAGCTGAGAGTACCTCTGTAGTAGCTTTATCAGACTGGACCTCGCAGATCTTGTCAAATTGCTCGACGCGTGCCCCTGGCTCGACGAACCATTGTATGATCTGTACTTCTTTGATGCCTAAGACAACTGAGTGAAAGCACATCCAAGAGGAAGAGCCGAATCTCACCTTCGCCGATATCAGAGAGCAAGAATGGCCGCACTATAGCCTGCGGCAAAGAAGCGTGAAAGGTGCGGTGGAGAAGAGTACCATTTCGACTCATCCGGAAAAGGCATTGTCTGAATTGTAGCAGCGCGATTGTCATGATGGGTGACGCTCGAGAAATATAGACATCAGCATGTTTCCTGGCTGGCCTCAGCTGCGCTACGTAATCAAAGGGCAATGGTCGACTATTTATGCAATCACGCTCGTGACTGGCACGAGAAAGAAGCAGAGAAGGTACCTACCTAAATCAGTGTCAGGAGATGGGTTTCTCCATCCGGGAATACCCGATTTTAAGCGCCTGGGCCGAAGCTAGCGCTGAGACTAAAGGGTCTCAGTCCCTAGAACATTGACACGATTAAAGTCAACGAGGATTACTTCGCCATCCAACGGCCAAACTCGAACCGATTTGATTGCAAACGACGAAATCGCTGGATATAAACCCGGGACTCAGCGCAAAACAAGAGAGCTACCGCCCCAAACTGCAAGCGTCGTCAACCGAGTGCATGCAACTCCTCTTTCTGTGGAGTCTTCCAGCAGAAAACCTCCAGCTAACATTACTATGGGTCACGCTTCAAGATTGAAGGTACGAGAGATCATCTACCAGCGTATTTCCCCTGTACGTTGAAGCCGGGTAATGGAATCAATGTTCAAACTATTCATTACTATGTAAAACATCTTCGGCTTGGTCTTTAGTAGGCTTCTTGCCCGTATTCAATCAATTATTGAACAAGCATATCGTGGAGAGTTGAGACGTTCGGGCTTCAGACCAATTCATTGGAAAGCTTGCTTTCTCAATGCTCAAGACTTGAAAACGAGAATGGGTGCTACGCTAAGAGGCTAGTGACCAATCAGATCATCGGATTCTACCATTTTCAGTCTAAAACTCACCTTATTTCTTCATTTTCGATCTAAACGCGGGTGCACACGGGTACGTCCAAAAGAGGAAGCTGGAAAAGAACTTCAAAATCCTCAAATCTACCTTTTTTGATTCCTTTTCTTTTATCAAAAATATGATAATAAAGTAAGTTTATAAAGTTATAGAGTTAATTATACGCTTTCAAATAATGTAGCGTAGACGAAATTTGATAAAGTATTTGTAAAGATATACTAAACTAGTGAATTATCGAGCTTGCGAGAAGAGCCTCTCCGGCAGGAGCCCTCGGAGAGCCCTCGGAGAGCCCCCGGAGGGTTAGGGGGTTTCAGGGGGTCTCCCCTGAGTATATCAATAACGTCTCTCGATTCTCAGGGTTAGACCCCTTAAATCCCTGAAGCCCTTCGGAGCTCTTTAGGGCTCTCCGAGAGCTTGTATCGGAGGGGCTGTCAAAGCAAGCTCGAAATCAATCAAATATCACTAAAAAATCAAATTTCGAGCTTGCTTTGACAGCCCCTCCGATACAAGCTCTCGGAGAGCCTTAAAGAGCCCCCGAAGGGTCCGAGGGGTTTTAGGGGGTCTCCCTGAGAATCAAATATAGTCAAAAACCAGTACTCGGCAAGCTTTTCACTACTGGGAAGCCCGCGCCCCAGCACATATTACTCATATCAGGGCTGCTATACTTTAATTTTCGCGATGGATGCAGAAGGACACAATTCATAATCGGATCAAAATGACAAAACAGAGCAATTGTTCCTGGGTTCGGCGGACATATACACAGACGAGTGTTTGTTCACAGCCGATTCCGAAATTTGACGTTTTAGTATGCAACATTAGGGGCTATCAAAGTTACTTCTGCTATTGCAAATAGTAACTATTTGACCCCATTTGCCACCCGTCAGCCCTACGAATAGTAGATAGCAATAATTTTGAAGTAGCAGGTCCGACCTGCTACTTCACTCAATAGTTACTATTGAGTCTTAAAAACACGCTCTAAAGTAGTGTTATATACATATATCGCGCTATCGTCAAGTTCTTCCTCCTGTCAGTCCTTTTCTCTATCGACATGGCCAGAAAGAGCTTTCTTGCGAGACGTCTTTGGGGTAGATATGATAACGGTGATGAGAAATAGCGACAGCAATGACTATGGGAAGAGGCAGTGGCTATAGTGCATAGATATAGGCATGCGCATGTGTTAGCAGCACCCCCACGGGGGCGCTGCGCGTTACGGGGGCCTACGGGCCTTTTAGGTCCAAATAGGGGTGTCTGGCTGATCAAGGCCTAGGTTTTTAGTGGTTGCTAATAGCTGGCATTTGTGCGGAGAAGATTTCTCCGTCGCCAAGGCCCTATGCATCAAAACGGTTAATAGGTATTTATGTTACGAATCGATTTGATAGTTACTATCTAATAGTAAGGTGCTATCAAGGAACTGAACTACTTGAATATCGATGTTACTATTTGATAGAAGTAACTTTGATAGTATTGCTGGCGATACATGCGGGACGACGTTGTGCTCTTCTCAGTTACGATCTTGCAGTCCTAGCTACGTATCTGAGCCGAGGGGACCTTAGATGTAAGGAAGCTCGCGTGCAAGGCGCAGCGAAAAAGTCAAAATTTACCAAAGAGATGTATATCTTGCATTGCTAAGTTTGATGGGTACGGAAAGATGAAGGATATGACGCCTCCAACGTCGAGTTCTCTTCGCTGTTCTTGCTATTCACCCTTCTCGTGCCTGCCCCAGCCAAGTCCCAAACTCGATCCCAATCTCCTCAGGGCATATATACCTGCTTTACCTTTACCGCGCCGCTGTCTCCCAACTGACCAACCACGACGCGACACAGCTTACACCATCTCTTCCCTCCGGAATCCAAGGTGATCTCAGCACCTCTGCCCCAACCGCTGTCATGGTATGGATAGCCTTTCGTGAAGACCACATCCGCGACAACCTTGTCCTCCTTCTCATGCGGTAGGATAAGCTTGCACCCTCCGCATACGAAAAGCTTCTTCTTCTTGATCACCACATCGCGCTTGTCGTAGTGCCCATTCGCAATACCGCATTCGATGCAGGTACGTTTGCCGCTATAGTTCTGAACGGCTTGGGCATCTGTGAATGTTGTTTTTGATGGTGTGGATTTTTTGAAGGTGTTGCAGAAGGGACAGAGAAGCTCTTTGAGTTTCCGGGGTGAGTGGGCTTCGAATTGCTTGTGAAACTGGATGTATTCCCCATACGACATGAGGGGAGGAGCATCCACGTGTGCTCGGAGACTTTTGCGGGAAAGCCTAAGGCTGTGATGGGCGATAGGGTCGAGGTCCGCTGTGATGAATCGAAGGAGCTCGACCGGCAGGGTGTTGAGTGTGGATACGCCGTTGGCTGGTGGCACGTTTGGGTCATTGCTTAGGATGTCAGTGTTGAGCGAGTTGGAAGCGAGGACTTGATACTTACACCCGCCCCGAAGCGCTGGCCGCTGCATCACTGTCCTGGGCATCGCCGTCCACGGCGTCAACATCACCTTCCTCGCTTGACACATCCTCAGCGTCGTCCAGGGGCTGGGTAGGAGTTGGCCTGGATCTCCGTCAATAAGGGCTCAGATCCCCTGATGAGTCTCTACTTACTCTTGCGCCTCGCCGTCATCCACACTGCCGAGAACTTGGTCATTGGCTGACATCTTGGGCGTTGAACGGATATCGATGCTGGTAGGACGTTAACTCATATACGCCGTGCAAACAGTTCAAGAGCAGGTAACACTTACCAAAGCCCGGAGATTAGATGCAGACCCTATCAAGCTTCTCAACGGTGTTGAGTGGAGATCAAGATGTCTGAGGCAGAACTCTGGAGAGTGAAAGCTGTCGATGCTGTTGAAGCTACCTCGGCCAAAGGGAGTCAAAGTGGAAGATGTTTGAAAGCTTTTCAGAATGCCGCTGAAAATACTGCTGCAGGATTCTGTCTCTGCAGAAAGAAGAGAACGAAGGAGAAAGTTTCACTATGTATATATACCACCCATCCTCTCATTCACGGTCCAAGACTCCCAGCCACCGTGGGGGTCAGAGGTCAGTGTCATCTGCCATACTTTGCTTTACTGCATCTTGCTAGCGTATATTGTAAAACATTGTATAGAAGAAAAAGTGCTGAAGGGAAGTCCTGCAATCTGAATGAGGTATAGTTGGTTGGATATAGGAGTGAGGAAGTCCAATCGGACAGTTTCGGGGCATTAAGTAGTGTGGTATGAAGGTGGCGAAAGGTGGCGAGTGGGAGAAATGAGTGAATGGAGATGGGTTAGGAGGGGGGATTGACAAGAGAGGTTTAACGTCTTGGAGCCTTCATTAAAGGGAATGGAAGAGATGCTTCATTTCCCAGAGCGAATACGAGGCATTCACCCACGAAGAACACATTCGATCTCCCTCTCGATCTCGATCTAGGACCTGTGACTGCCCAGGAGGCTTCACCACGCACCGTAGGAAGTAGCCCCGAGTCGAGCAGTGAATGAAGCTCTCAATGCCTTCACCGCCCTCTGACAGTAAAACACAAGATTGTGCCGTCGTCACTCCCATCAGAGCGAAATGAAGAAGGAATCCTACCTTCCTTGAACCGGGCCAATGTTTAGACCGTGAGCGTATCACATGTTCGCACATCACTCGCGTGGGAAATTGTCTCGCATCATCCAGCTTCAAACCTCCACAGCAAATTTCCACAGTCAACACCATTCACCGACCCTCTCCACCAAATCAGCCCCTGTACCAAAGCGACCCCACCGACATAGCCTGCCTGCCTCAACGCAAAGCCCAGCAACAAAACCCCCATCGCGTGACCCACTCACAAGCCGAAAAACTTCAACTTCCACCCCCTCCTCAACCTCCCTACTCACATCTCAAAACTTCCCCCACTCACAGCAAGCGACGGTGCGAACCGCTCCAAACGTCCACCGGAATCGGCCACCGCCCCCCTAACCCTCTCAGCGCAGCAAGACGCCCTCACGCACTCCAAACAGCCTTCCCCATCCAAACTACCCGATATCAACACTCACTCACTCACCTACCCAACCTGACCCAACCTCGGACCCAAACACCTCAACCAAACACCACTGGCGTCCCCGAAGCGAACTCGAACCCAGGTATCATCTCCCCGAGCACCCGTCCCCACCTCCGAAGTGAACCGGGCAAGGACCGCAACCTCGAAACGGGCGTAGCGCTTCACGGCGTCGTGATGTGGGCCCGAGGGAGTTGGGGGAAAGGCTGGGGGGGGGGTTGTGGGCGCTAAGGGTTGGGGGTTTTTGGATGAGATGGGGGGACTGGGTCGGATGGTCGTGACTGGGGAAATCGGTTCGTGAATTGTTGCAGGAGATGTTTTGTTTTCCCATTGGTACTGATGGGGTATTTGCAACAAAACCGACATCTTATGCGAGGCTGTGTGGAGGATCCTGATCCCTCACATCTTCCTCCCTTCTAGATACTCTCACAACACCCCCCTCTTCGCCGCAAGGTCATACCCACCCCCCTCCCTTTTTTTTCCGGCGACGACGCAGAAAACAGCCGTTCCATCACGCCACCCCAAGCTCCTGCGGCAAGCGCTGCACCTCTGTACCTCCGCTCTCCGAAACGAGCTCCGACGCAAGATCCGTCCCTGCGGGTGACGATCGTGGGACTTCGCATACGAAGAGCTCGAACAAGGTCCAACACTTTGGGCCCGGCAATCTGTCAGAAGTTGACACGAATATTCTTGTCGTTACGTTGGTTTGCGGTATCGTTTCGAGAAAACCTGTCCCTCGTGATCGAAATCTTGCGCGTTCAACGGGGAGATGGCTCCTCGTTGATGCTTGTCGTGCCGATATCCTATAGATGTGTACCCTTTCGACCGCCGTACTTTTTGGTATCTCGCCCAGCGCGTTGGATCTGGGAAGGACATGTCGGACGTTGAGCCTGCGATACCTGGTTGTAACCTCACCCTCAACCAAATACACGTAATAGCAACATTTGGTCAACGGCACGAGGGAGCAAGTGCAGAAAAGTCACTGATATGAAATATAGAGGGGTATACAGTACAAGGCTAGGGGTAAAATCCTAGAAGAACTATAAATTGGGTATATCCAAGAAATCAGAATCCCCGAAATACTTTCGCCGCATCCAAGTCATATAGAATTGAAAGAAAACATATGTGGTATAATAAATCGCAATAGTAGCAGTCTTCAAAAACTGACAACTTCTGTCTTGCCCTGGCTCTTCTGGCCTGGCGCCTAGCTGAGGGATCAAAAAGCCTCACCATTCACCTCTCCATCCAGCATACGGCGTGCAGTGTCCAATCTCCGCCGGCAGACTCGAGCTTCGTACATTGCTCCTTCGCCGCCAAGGTTATGTAGATTAGCACAGACCTTGGCGAGGCTCCCAACCAATCGCTCGATCAGCTCACGGTCTTTGTCGCTGATTTCGAGGGGTTTGACAGGCCCACCCTCTTCAAGAGTATCCAGGCGGGCGATCGTCGTTATATACGATAACAGGTCTGGAGGCTGCGTAGCTAACGCTTTTCCCCGGGAGGCTTCGCATCGTTCCTGGATGCCTTGTATGCTGATGCTATATGCTTCTTAGTTCTCGATTTGGGAGATCCATTGATTCCGTTGACCTTGTGCTTCTTCGTCTCTGGCTGCCAAGATCCGGCCATAGTCTGGCGTGGAGTCCAATCATCTTCAACATCAGAAGGAGACGAGGGTTTCCCTTCGATCGCGGTAGCAAACGTGTTGACTGTCGAGACTGACTCAACGCTGTCTTTTCTCACATGGCTCCCACCACTTGAGCTCTCGTTTCCGTGTCTCGCATGCTCATTGACTTCGCTCGTGGAGTTTCTAGGCTTAGTGGTCTCGACGGAAGACGCGGAGCTGTCACTGGCTCTCCTTTTCCGCATGCTGCTACTCCGTCTCACGCCCACACCACTGTAGGCTCCCATCGCGCTATGAAGGATATAGTGTTCGTAGTCAAAAGCGTCTGGTCTGTCCTCGTGTCTTTCAACAACGGGCTCTGCGGTTGTTTCATGATAATCTTGGTCTCCGTACAAGCTATCTTCTTTGCCATCTAGGCCCCCGGGTGAGGATTCATCGATGATGATCAGTCGCTCGGCGGGACTTTGATTTGGGCTTCTGTGGTAGGTTACAGACTCAACTTGCGAAGATCGTGGGGTGGGCTCCTCCTCTTGGTTTGCCGGCTTTTGCAAAGGCTCTTCGGTATCGAGGTCGCTGTTCCATGTCGCGTCGCCTTCTTCAGTGGCCGCGGGTGTTTGTCCGAAGTCTTCTTGAGAGGCTTCATTGAGAGTTTCTCCTGCATTTGGTACTTTTGGCCCCTCTACGACTCCGAGTCCTTGTGGTGGTGACTGACCAGCCTCCGGGACTGATTGCCCAGTATACCATTGCTCTGCTGCCGTGAATGGGCTTGGTGTGCGCAAACTTTGCAGGCTTCGTCTCCGCAGATTGTCTTCCTTTGCTCGCTGCTTCAAAGTTGAGATCTTCCCCTTCAAATCTTGCATTTGATCACGGAGGTCACGCATCTGAGTAGTGGATCGAGCCCTGGTAAGTCCGGTAGCAGGAGATTTCGGAATCTCGAACGTAGCTGCCTTTGGTGATGTTTCTAGGTCGAAAATCTCGTCATCTTTGCACTCGTTGGTTTGTGGAGGCTGCTCAAAAGACTCTGGGGCAGGGCCGTCTTCGTTGAGCGGTTGCAATCCGTTGTTATGTCTGGCTGCATGATTGAGACTTGTGTTGCGTGTCAAGCCATTCCAGAACCAATTGCGACTGGGCTCCGAATTCCTCTCTTTAGCAGAAAGGTCCCCGCCATGTGCGTATATATTTTTATCTTCTGATGAGTGTCCATTGGGTACTGTGTGCAACGTGGATGGCACTGACGTCTCGCTGGAAACCCTATAATGCCCTTGCTGGTTTTCATCCAGCATTGGTAGATTGGCTTGACGATGCTTAGAAGGTGAGAAGCCGCCCGGACTTCTGCCCTTTTTTGGTAAAGTGTACAGCGATACAGGTTCCGGCCCATGGGTTGAGAATGTTGACATCGACGAAGATGGTCTGCGTTCCAGTGTACTGCGTGCCCTAGTAAGATTGCCTTCCATGTTCTGCTTTGCGTTAGCAGAACTTCTCTACAGACCCTCAATCCATGCCAGGGCTCACCGTAAGACGCTTTTTTGCATTGGCCAGGATTTCCTCTGCCCTTCTGGTCATTGCGGCGTGCGAATATGGGTCATCCTCATCTTCTTCCAGGATTGATGGAGGACTGTAGATGCTATCTCTCGTCTCGACGTGATCATTGTCCTGCGCAGCAGCCTCCGCGTAGCCATTCTGCCCTTCATATTCATGGTCCTCCTGAAGTGTGGGTGACGAGGCCAGCGCGGCTTCTTCTTTTGGTGTAGCTTTCCTATCGTCTCTCTCTGAACCCGATCTCTGTTTAATAGACCCGTCATGGCGGCGCAGAATTCCATTCCTGAATGGGCTAAACATCGTGCCCTTTTCTCGAGGTCCGTCGTCGGGCACTGAGTCAGACGTGGTATGCTGATAATTGGTTGGCGATAAAGAAGGCAATCGCTGTGGTTTCCTGGGAGTGGATGGGGAGGAATCGGCAGAGGAAGGAGGATTATCGGGCAATATCATATCGGGATTCGTGAGAGTAGGCGACAGAGGAGCTAGGATCTGCATGTTAAACGGCTATCGCGCATTGACTCTTTTCGAGGAGTTTGCCCTCTTCATGAATCATGCATGCCAATAAGCGCAATCAAGCGTCACAAACATCCTCGTATCGGGCAAATAAATAAGCTTCATGATGGTTAGACTGGCCGATAGGACTTGAAAGACTATAAGACGAGATTGATATACGTATATACATATGAACAAGCAGAAGGCATCAAGGCTGGATGGCAAGAGGGTTATTGTATACGGCGGGGAGGAGTGTGGATGAGCTTGAAACAGGCCAGCGCGTGATGGTCCTGCTGAAATTAGTGAATTTAGAGCGCAAGGCCGGCCATTTATGGCCATGCGGGCGGGAGCGATCCCTGCTCAATCCCTTCTCTAGCGGCAACTTCCGTTGCCTGAAAGGGTTTAGCTGCGGAGGCCGGGCTCCATGTCGAAACACTGAAGCAACGACTTGCATTGGCTCAATGCATCATGGGACTGATAAAATGGAAGACGCTCGAGACAATACTTGGCGCTGCAATTATTTAAATCATTGGCAAAAGGATCAAGCAGCAGCAGCAGCAGCGAAAAAAGAAACCACGAGGAGAGCACGCACAATGATACTGGAAAGTAAGGACGGCGAAAAGTAAAGAGATACTAAGATACCTAGAGATCACATAACGTCAATACTACCGTCACCAAGCCAATTTTGCGGACATGTGCTCGACAACTGAACGACTGATTTGACAATTCGTGCCGCCCTCACTATATATAACTTTTATGAAATCCTCCCATTCCTCGCGGCCAAAATCCGGCTAGTCCCTTGCAGGATCCGAGCATGAGGTTTTATCAACATGACGGCGATGTCTTGTTTCCTCAACCCGGTCGTTTTTATTTTTAGTAACATATGGGAACATCCTTGCAAACAGCCTATAACAGTCATGTTCACAAGCAATCAGTCGTAGCGACGACCCCTTCTGCTTTTCAAGCTCAATGCATTGGAAGAATGGCCCCGTATACGAAATTCTTCCAAAGATCTGACCATCCACTTCGAACATTCTCCACGCCAGAATTGAAAAGACCAGTGCAGCCCCCGTTGCGGGAAGACTAGTCGCGAGATCTTTATAATAAGCCAACCAATTCGAAGAATCACAGCGCCTATCGAAGCAGAAAGTCAGATCCACCGCGCAGTTCTGCCAGCATTAGTTCACGGGTGGACGTTCAGCAACCCACCCCACCACGGTACCATCGACCCTGACCACGCGAACGGGCAGTGGCATACTGGCTTGCTGGTATGCTCATGTGATCCGCCCATCAACAATTCTCCAGTCACTGCCACCCTGCGCACCCCACTACCTCACCCCTCTTCAAAGGCGCCATCGCGCAAGATCGCATCGGTCACATCCCCGTCCTCGACAGTAATGATTTGGCCATCCGAGTCCGATTCGATCTTGAAGCCCGATGGGTCGGCGCTCTCCGCGCTCCCGTTCTGCACCGTATCCGTAGACCCGCGGTCCATGCCTGGTGCACCGCTGGCACTGCCGTCGTCCACCGCAGCTTCGCTTGCGCTCGGCCTCGTGCCTCTCTCCGATCCGTGGTCCATCCCTGGAGCCAGTATTAGCTTGTGAGTGAAGAGCTGGCGGACTGGGGACCGGATAATGATGACGTACCTGGGTGCCGACGTTGTGCTCGCGTACGCGCTGCGCATGGGGGCTGCGAGATGGATTCGTGGAACCGAGTCGGTGTGCGGGGGATGGAGGCTGAGCGCGGAGCGTGCGAAGAGTTCGGGCAAAGCAAGTCATGGAGGCAGGCTTCTCTGCTATCGTGTGTGTAATCAGGGAAGACTACACTTGCTTTCGCATGTGCCGAAGGTGAGTGTGAGAAAGATGACAAAGGGACGAGAAGCTCGAGTTTCACTCAAGCTTGGTCCACTCCGAGAATTTCTGAGCCGCGAGTTGTGCAGGTGTTTTGCCGATTCTCGGTCCGGACTGGCCCCTGCCGGGTGATGCTGCAGTGGATGTGGGAGCAATTGAAGCAACACTCTGAAAGTTCCACCAGAATTGTACATACCAAGAAAGGATCAAACCCATGAACGAATGAATGTTGTACATATGTATAAAGAAAGAAAAAACGCATGAATGATTAAAAAACTCGAAAGAAGTTGAGAGGTCGCAAGGGATGATACACGCCACAACACCGCCGATCCCACACTTCTTCACCACCCTCGTCCTCGCCGTCACATTCTCCATCTCCCATCCCCCGCCTTCGATCCACAACCCTCCGATCCACCCACCCACCCCCCACCCCAATCTCCCCTCCCCACACTCCAACCCCCAGACGTCGGGGCAAATCCGCACGGTTCCGATCTCCTCACACCGTGCCCCTGCTCACCCGCCACAGCATAGAACCACCCATGACCGAAAACCCAGCCGCGGAGCTCACGGCCCCCACCACCCTTCTTCTTCTTCTTCCTCTGGGCCCGAGCTACCCGTCCCCTTTCCGAAAACGTCGGAGTTGGCCGGCCATCGCGGCGCTCAGAGTCGGTCGTGCGACTCCGGTGGAACGAACGGGGTGATGTTGAAGGGGGGGCGTGGAGTCGATGGAAGCGGGCGGAGATGCGGAGGCGGTTGAAGGCTTTGGGATGCGTGTTTCTAAGAAGGAAGGAGAAGAAGAAGAAGAAGAAGGAAAAATAGGATCGGCGCGGTTGGAAAGAGAATGAATACGTTGTGCATACTACTGCCCTTTCTCCAATAGACGAGAGCGCATGGTCCCCTTTTGTACCGCGCCCGCGAGGACAAGGACCCCTCTCCTCTCCTCTCATCTCCTCTGCTTGGCTTGGCTCAGCTTGAGAGGCATAAACTCCCCGCACGGAGTACTGGCCAGGCTTATTTTTGAGCTCCGGTTCCAACACCGTGGCGCGGCTTCGGTGCAAGGTGGTGGAAAGGGAGGGTAGTAAAGTGTCGAGACTTGCTCAGTGTGTCGGCTTTCAGGCATGGTGTGGCTGGTGAGATGGCAGTGTTGGAGGAAGATGGTGTTGGAAAGGTGTTGTTCCGATTGATTGACAGGGTAGATTGCGTGGTAAGGGGTTAGGGAAGTGAAGTGGAAGTTTGGATATTGACTATTGGAAATGTGTATATTTGTAATGGAGAGGTTTGGAATGGGTGTTCGATGACGATTTTCAATGGCCTGCAATCCATATCGGTCACCACTTTTGGGAATTGAAATGCTCAAACATGATGGAAAAAGATCGCTTCACAGGCAAGAAAGCCAGATTTTATTAACAACTTGTTATAGCGAAAGTCATGTTGATGGCAAGTTTTGAGTGGAAGCGATCCAGATCGTCCACCACATGTGACAAAAAAGAGCTCAAGATTGATCATCATCGATGACTTGTTATGGCTGGAAGCCATACAAACGACAAAGTCTGATGGATCCTACACGCATATTGCTAGCCATTTTTGATGAGCACAACCCAAATCGATCACCAAACAGAATAGACAAGTCCCGAATCAAAAGACCCCCTCTGGTAACCAAAGCCCAAAGGCATTACCGGCATTGTTGGTGATATGGAAGAAGGAGAGATTCTCTGGGGGATTAAATACCCACAACGCCGCCGATCTCCACGCTAAACCTTCACATAGGCTGACCGGCGTCCAGCGATGTCACATATGTATAGGAAAAAATAAGTGGTAGGCTGTGAAATGTGCCGGGATTGCTAGTTCACGATGATGGAGTGACTCACTCGTCCTGGAAGCAAGAGATATTCACAAGGCAGTGAAGAGAGAGAATGTTGTAGACAATGAAGGATGGAAAACATGAAGAGTCATAGCCAGGGTACTTACTTCCCATCAAGTTTCCTAAGTAAAAGCTGAGTTCCCTTATTCCCGGTCTTCACAGGCGCCTCATCCTCAGACTTGACCCTTTTCGGCTTCTTGCCCTTCACCTTAACGCCTCCCTCCCCAGCTGGCCCAGCCGCTTCAACAAGCTTCGGCCTATTCTTCCCCTTTCTCAACTTTTCGTTCAATTCTTCCACATGAGAAAAACCCGGCGCTTCCAGTAATCCAACCACAACGAACGAATTAGCACCTGTTGCCCAATCCAAAATTTCATCTTTGATCGCGCTGTAAAAGACATCATGGAACTCCAACGGGGGATCTGCGAGGTCGATTCCCTTTTTAGTGGGATTGAATCGTCCACCCAGCACTAGGCTCTTCAACATTCTTCCCGCGGCAGGTGATTCCAACAAAGACTTGGTCCCGTCATCACCTTCTGCCAACGCAGCAATGGATTTCACAGCAAGCTCTCTTCCTCCAGGAGCGCCGAGAAGTACTTCACCGATGAATTGACATCCGAAGCTGGTCGATACCATCTCCTTCGCACTTGAAACTATTAGTGAAAGCAAAGGCGGTGAAAGTGATGCCGCCAGCTCTTTCCGCCTGACCTCGGGATCCTTCTTCGATGTTGTATTCCGAATCCTATGGATCTCATCGAGTAGCTTCAGGTCCTCGTTTGGCAGAATCGCCTTCGCTTTGCCGCAGAATGGGTACAGAGCCGTCACACGTGCATTGAGATGGTTGACAGCTTGTAGTAGATCCAGCTGTTGGCTCTCTGAGAGTGGTTCTTTGCCTACGAGTTCGGTAAAAACGGATTTGGAGACTAGGACTGTATCGTCGATGACATCGTAGGCGGCGAGAAGGACTTGATGCCCGTAAGCGTCATACGCCAGTGTCTTCATGGTCTCCTTGTACGTCCTGAGGATTTGTTTTCGGTCTTTCGCGTTGCCGTATGCGAGAACCAGGCAGACGAGACGAGCGCCAGATTTAGTAAAGGCAAGGTTCTTGAGTAAATCGCCTTCTTCGTCACCCTTCAAGAGCTCGATGAACTCGGTAGCTTCTTCGCTTCCGGGCGCCAGGTTGAGGAACTGCTGGAGCATAGCGTCGTGGAGCATCGTAAAGCCTGTAGTCTTCTTCTGCACAAGTAGGTTGATTAGGTCATGTAAAGATCGCATGATAGGCGTCCTTTTCTCTGGATTGTCTTCAAGTAATTTCTTCAAGTCTGCGGATACTGGGCCAGCCTCACTGGACTTGAATAGAGCAAATTCGGCGCCATACCACTCCCGTAGCAGCGTAGCCTTCTGTGAAGGCGTTGCAATACCGCGGTATATATCGTCCAGTATCCAGGAAGCTTCTGAATGTTTGATCATACGTCTCACGTGGCCATAAAATTCCGGCACGACCATGTCCCTAGTCTCCTCGTCGCCATGTACCAGCATTTTTCCGATCAAGAACTTTGCGTATTTACTCTCAGCCAATGTCTTATACTCCCCCTTCAGTTCCCTCGCTATCATCTTCCGCTGATCAATGTTGGCGTATTTGAGAGCCGTTTGGATGACCCTGACAGAGTCGTGCTTGAAAACAAAGTCTTTGACTCGCCCGGTAATTATGTCGAACAGCTCTGTGACCAGGCCTTTTCTTTCCTCTATTGGAACATGAGATTTTCGCCGTAAGCGCTCCCATAGCTTCTTCGAACGGGCTATTGAGTCCGCGTTGGGTTTGGCGGCTTTGCGGTCTTGCTTTTCGACCTTTTGCTTTGCGTGTGCTTGTTTAGATGTATTTCCTGCTCTGAAATCAGCTACACCCAGCCAACTGTGCTTTACTTGACGTGCCTGATGCAGTGCCATTTGCATTAGTGGCCTTCTTCGCTGACTGCGATGCACCCGCTGCCTCTGCAGCAATCTTCACCCCTCCATCATCGTGGTCCTCTGCAACTCCAATACCTTCCCAAATTTCGCCCTCCTCATCCCCCTCTTCTGACGGCCAGCTAACACCATCATCGTCGCCACTTTGCGACGTAGTGTCTGACTCCACTAGAGGATCGGAATCCGTGGCGGTCTCTAAATCTTGTACGCGTTTCGAGCTCTTCGCTAGCTTTTCTTCCTTCTTCGGCTTTTTCGGGATACTGCCGGTAGGAAGCTTTGAATTGGGGTTCTCTTTGCGCTTTGAAGCTGCCATTGCGGGTTGTAATGTTTGAGGGAAACCCTGGAGTGTGTAGGATATTTTTCACGGCCCTCCCGGCAAAAGTTGCCGTTTGAGATTGCGACACCCAAATCCACAAAATTATTTGAGGTCCAAGATGGCAGGTTTACAGCATGACTACAAGGCAGGGCAAGGTTCCAAAAGTCAAGAACGGAACTTAGTATTATCATTCGTTCTCTTTCCGATGAGGCGGCTAGCCCTACCAACACCGACACCTCGTGCTCTGTTGGAGCCTGCTCCTCATATATAACATCGTGCAACTCGTTAGATATTACCACCCGTGGCCTCGCAGCCGTATGTTATGTGTAACGACAGGATCTCCAGATTGTAGGCGTCCAGAAACACCGAACGCCCTCTCGTCAGAATGCTCCAGTACCCAATGCGAAGCAACACGATCGTCTTCCATTACAGCAGAAGCCTCCTCCGATCTCCCACACTGACCATCTATCTAACGATTCCATCATCGTTCCCATTGGCAATCGGCCGATCCATGTTACCTAGCTCGGCACCTTGACCAACACTCTGCCCACGCTTCCTGCCTGGAAGATGAAAGCCTCTGTGACTCGAAGTTGGTCGAGGAGCATCCCCCGTCACTGGCGTCTCAGAATTGTCACCAAAGCGCGCGAAGATGCTCTTTTTCTTCGGTGGTTGCTTTCCTTCATCGTTGAGTCCAACATCCTCGAAGCCTTCTTCGTCCTCGGTTGTGGGCTCAGGTCGAGAGAACGAGTCGGATTTGACTGCGGAACGCGACGGACGGGACATTGTGGAGTCTAGGCTTTGCCGTGCGGCGGTAGACTCGTGTGAGTAGACTGGAGAGCGGGCGGAGATGTCCTGCAGAGATTACTATCAGCCATGATGTTTTCGGTCGGTGAGGTGAATGCTTGTCTTACGAACGATCTGCGATATGAGTCGAACGATTCGCGGGAGATAGAGAAAGGTTCGTTTTCGTTGAGCATGCTTCGGTGGTTGGAGGACATGGTGGATGTGGGTGATTTCTGCCAAAAGCTCTTCTTTTCTGGCGGCGAAGGCTATTGCATTGATTAGCGCCATTGTGCTAATCCAATAGCGTGAATTTCTTGGGCATGACCTACGGGAAGATAGACACCACTATCGTTGACAACTAAATGTCTCGGATCAGCTCGGTAGTCCAGTGTCACGCGGGTCGTAGAGTGTTTGGGGCCACACACCGCTCAATTTGTACTCAGCAGTCTCCTCCTTCCTTGGTTTAATGCTCAATGATGATGAAGCTCTTGAGCCAGTGTAGCTCGACTTCTCCGATGCATGGTCACCACGAACGCCAAGGGAAGGCCTGACATTCTCGTCTGCGATGGTTGGCACGCCATTGACGACCGGCGGCTTTTTGTTGAATGGATTGCGGAATGGAGGCATGGTGATGGAAGTTAATATATACAAACGATGCAATGGCTTGGCGATATAGAGTATGCGTATGTTAGCAATCGCAGCATTGATGTTGTGGCTGTTCTCGTTGTCTGTCTTGGAGGTTATTTTGAGGTGAGATCTATGACGGCAAAACGGATCTCGGAATGCAATTGACCGAGCTAAAGCGGGAAGCCGCGAGCAAAATGCATGGTCCTTCTGCCTTCTCCTCTGCCACAGTCTCTCTTCTCAATGTCGTTGCTGCCATCCTCGATTGATGCGTTAGTCTAGTAAAATATTGGAAGCTGAAGTTTGTCTACGTACGGAGAGAAGCAGGAATTGCAGTAAAGGTCTGGTCCTGCTGCTTTTCTCCACAATATTGCCACAAATAGCTACACGCTAAGCAGCGGGTGACCGACGCGCCATCCCGCTTGAAACCGCTTTAACATCCTTGAAACCTCGTCATTGCCCATTTGTTAACGCTTGGAATTTGATTTGACACACTAATGGGGACATGATACCTTAATCATAAGTACCTAGAGGACTCAGATGGCATCAGACATTCTGCAGTAGCATGCACAAAGTACTGGTAGACCTTGGGGTCTGTCGCAAAGAAACAGGTACAGGCGCCAAAAAATAAAATAAAAATCTGGTTTTGCCGTGCATTGCATGCGCCCAATTGTGCCGAAAGCCGATAGGATGAGATGCTGCAGGCAATTGAAGGGAGATGCTCGGGGCGTGCTTACTCTATAGGTGGGGTACTACCTTACCCTTAGCAGTCTTAGCTTTTACAATCGGAGTATTTCAAGCGACAAATGATTGGAGCTTTGAAAAGGCGAAGAATGAGATCCTGGCATCGGATCATACTAAGACTATTAAGACTTCTAAGACTTCTAAGAAAGGAGATGGCCAGCGCGTAGAAATGCATACTTACGTATTCTCTAGCCAAAACAGGATACCCACTCAAGCAAGGCACCCCGTTTTACTCTGGGCCCAGACACGCACAAACTTTGCATGCTGCGTTTAACACAACGACCTCTTCCCTTCTCTCGTTTCTCTTCACCTCGTCGTCATCAATAATAATGCATGGCCATACTCATTCCATTTAATCATTTCTGAATTGCCTACCTTTGAGATCCTTCAACTCCGACCCCGGCTCAGGTCCTACCTCACCAAGTCGTCATCATCACTCGCTTTTTCTTTTCTCCTTCCACCATCATCAACACCACTGCCACCACGACGGTTGACTCACACTTCTCATTCCTGCCGCAGTCACTCGTTTCAGCCCACCACACCTAATATTCCACCGTATCTACGTTAATCTTGCACAGAAAAAACAACGACAAGCTCTGGCAAGCTCGCCCGCTAATCAAGAAAAGACAACGTCACAATGGGGAAACCCTTCTTCACATCATGGGTACTGTGGGAGAAGATGGTCTTCGTGAGTCAAACAAAGCAAGTCCACCTACAATCTGTACTGACTAGCTCATCCCTCAGATCCTCGGAGCTTCCATCGTATGCTGTCCCAACCCGATTTCGCGAACCAGCACGAGACTGACTTGCACAGCTCCTCGTCATATTCCTCGGGCTCATCAAGCTGACCTACAACAAATGGAGACTGCGCAAATACACAGCCGTCGCCGAGACGAAGGCGGCGGTACGGCGGGAAATGCAGCACACTGCCAGCGTCAAGCGAGGCCGAAGTCAGCGTCAAGGGATCCCGTTCGGGATTCGAGCGCTGGAAAGTGGCATTGAGGTCGATGGTGTTTGGATCTCGGGAGCGAACACTCCAAGCAGCATGCCTGGCAGTCCGAACATTGCCGCGATGAAACCGAAGCCAGCCCGCCGAGACCACTCTCCCGAGGCATCATCGTCAACCTCGGAGATGTCACGCATCGAGATTCCGCAGCCAGTCCATGGATATCCTAATAACCCTAGAATGAATCATTCAGCTGGCCCCTCGTACAAGCTCCCCACCCCAATCGATCGACCTGTGGCATCAGAGCAACAACACATCAAGCCACCGACCTCTGACCATCAAAGTCATGGTCGCCCCACCTATCAGCCTCGTCGCTCCTCGCAGTTGAGATATAGCGACTCGCTAAACCCAGAAGATTCAGAGGCATTCGCAGCTTTGGAAGGCCGTACAATGGCTGCTGATAGGAACGGAAAGCGCCCCGAAGGTGAGCATATCCCGCTGTGTCTGGAAGACTTCGCGCTAACTTCAAAACCGCCCAGGATCCGATTCGTCAGGTGAAGAATATCGTGACTCCACATCGTGGCCTGGCCACTCTAAGAACTCATCTGGCAGCGAGAACCATAGTGACGCGAACCAGCCGATCCAACCCAAACGCTCGTCCAACAGTTATCTTCATCCTGCATCTCGCCAGCCTGCATCTCGCCAGCCTCCCAAAATCCGGACCTCCAACTCTTACAATCCCGACAGATACAAGCCTGTTCAGCTTGATCCACTTGCAAGCAATACTGAATCACACATGGACGAACTAGGTCGACTGCACGTCCGAAATCGAGAAAGCGGGATGACTGTAGTCTATGCGCCGGTTGAAGATTCTGTCTCCAGGAGGATTGCTTCGTCCCAGGGTCCGACCCACGAAGTCAGCGATCCATTCGCCACCCCCGAGACCTCGCCAAAAGAGGACCGCATTCCAGTCATGGTAGACGCTCCGCCTGCAAATCAGCACTCTGAGATGATCGGCAATGGCGACATTGACTATATCCAGGGCCATGCCCAGCCCTTGCGACCCTTCGATGGCAACCGACAACTAAGACGGTCTCAAGTCATCCGTAAGGTCAATTCAGGATTTGAAATTCTTCGCCCTGGCACTTTAGATACCCCTAGACGAAGCAGCGACATTGCGGACGTGAGGGAGGACTACGATCGGAAACCCAAGAAGCTGCAAAGGCGGAGCCGGGCCTCGAGTTTCGTTGAAGATGTATAGGAACTTGATCCAATGACTGGAAGGCCGTTCCCCATCACTGATAGTATTTCCTCAGGGCGTTTGGTATTAGAATGGAGTCGAAAAGCGCGAGCAATTAGGCATGCTTAATGAGCATTCATCAAAAGGCGCACCGGTATACCACAAGCTGGTGGTTGACAGTTGCATGCGAAGGATTCGGCATGCGCATCTCGACAAGTGGTCTGTTGCTAAAATACATTCAGAAAGTAACAGAACACTGGGGATTACACCGCTTTGCTTGGTGGATGGCATTGACCTTGTAACAGTAAACTTAATGACTAAAAGAGCAGTTGACGATGTACATGAGCTGCTTGATCTCTGCTATAGCACTTTAAAAGTTATTAAAACTGAAGTGGTTCTCATAGCTTCCAGCCCCTGACTGTGCCTCTCTGGTTTAGCCAATATCCACAAATCACGTGAGTTGGCGATGCCAAGGCCTATTGAAGTCGCGTCATTTCTTTGCTTGCACGACATCAATATCAACAACAACAACCGTTTGCCACACTAATTCGAACCCTACCCTTTGCACAAACGCTGGAGTCCAGTGTTCAAATCAACTACGTACGGGAGCAAAAAGACTTGTCGTGCTGTCTCCCAGAACGCTTGATCTCAAAACCCTGCAGTCATGAGTGCTGGGGAAGCTGAGGAGACTCAATCGACCTTTGGAGATGGCAGTGGGGGACCTGGAGCTCCTACTCCGTTGGCAGTGCTGGAAGTATAGATACCTAATACCTGAGCTATGACCGTCAACATTGACAGGAGTATCAGGGCGTCGCTGGTCTATCGGCTCGAGATATCAAGCTCATAGTCGATGGAGGATTCAATACTGTGGAGTCCGTGGCATATACGTTGGTCCATTCTAAAATGCGATACTTGATGGACAATGCCTGAGATTATACAGGCCTCGCAGAGTGCTCGAGCAGATCAAGGGCATTTCGGAACAAAAAGCCACCAAGGTCCTGGCCGAAGGTCCATACTCCCTCCTCTCCCCCTCACTCCCACCTTATCCAACACCTCACTAACCCCTGACCCGCCTCACAGCATCCAAACTCGTCCCCATGGGCTTTACGACGGCAACCGAAATGCACCAACGCCGCTCCGAGCTCATCTCGATCACCACTGGCTCCAAACAACTCGACACCTTGCTCGCTGGTGGCGTCGAAACGGGCTCCGTCACAGAAATCTTCGGCGAGTTCAGGACTGGAAAATCCCAAATCTGCCATACCCTTGCCGTGACATGTCAGCTGCCTTTTGATATGGGTGGTGGGGAGGGGAAGTGTTTGTATATTGATACTGAAGGAACATTCAGACCTGTGCGACTTTTGTCCGTGGCGAACAGATACGGCTTGTCTGGCGAGGAGGTATTGGACAATGTCGCCTACGCCCGCGCTTACAACTCCGATCATCAACTCCAACTCCTCAACCAAGCCTCAAACATGATGTGTGAAACCCGCTTCTCCCTTCTCATTGTCGACTCCGCAACGTCTCTCTACCGCACCGACTTCTCCGGCCGCGCCGAACTTTCCTCCCGGCAAACACACCTTGCGAAATTCATGCGCACACTCCAACGTCTCGCCGACGAATTCGGCATCGCCGTCGTCATCACAAACCAAGTTGTTGCTCAAGTCGACGGCGGACCCAGCGCGATGTTCAATCCGGATCCGAAGAAGCCGATAGGAGGGAATATCATCGCGCATGCGTCAACGACGCGGTTGAGTCTCAAGAAGGGAAGGGGGGAGACGAGGATCTGTAAGATTTATGATAGTCCGTGCCTGCCGGAGAGCGATTGTCTGTTCGCGATAAAGGAGGATGGGATTGGGGATCCGAGTCCGAAGGATTTGGAGAAGGATTGATGAACCGGGCGTGGGGGCATGGAGAGGTGTAGAAAGAAAGGCAAGGGTTGAGACGGCAAGTTTGCTTGAATCATGGATTATGTTCGCATGGCGCTGGGCGGGAACCATGATTTCAGAATAACAAACGGCCATCATGTTCTTTCTCCTAGGACTACAGGAACTTGAATCGGAGACTACGGTCGTTCCGAGTATGAAGGCGGGAGTATCCGGCATGCCTGTACGCGTTGCAGCGTTTAGCATCTTCGGTAGATACCTGGCAGCTGTAACACATCACCTCCACAGCCGTCCGTTTCATCCCTTGATTCCCCTCCCCTTAGAGATCAGCGAATGGAGCAGAGGTCATGCATACTGGGTGAGAGCCCTTGCTATGTTGTAGAGGTGTTGAGATCCTACAGTTCAGGCGCGGTGCCAGGAAAAAAAAGGGGACACTTTTCACGGAGTTTGGGTAAAAATGGTTGTTCATTCATAGAGGGTGGAAACCCTTGATGAGATCATATAAGTCAGATGCGATGCCCGAAAAAGAGGTCATTTTCCACGAAAAAGGTTTCCCTAAGAATATGCGGAATCGAATGGAAAGAGAGCTTTCTCCTATTGTGAATTGAATTTCTCTCTATGCGTGACTTTTGCTACATTCTCTGATCATCGGCTGAAAGGATGGGAGCATGTGCTTTTCCACCTGCTCCCTCACAGCACATCCATCGCATCTCCACCGCCGCCCACAAACCCAAACCTGCCCCCCTCAATCACGCTCCTCCGGTCCAACTCCTTCTGATACTGCGCCCTCACATCACTAACCTCCACGATCTTCCTCTTCCCCTTGCCACTCACGTCCTCACTCAACACCCAACCACTCCCCACCCCCGCACAAGCCAGCAGATTGATTACAGCCAGATACTTATCTTCTAATCCATCGTCACCCCTCTTCGCCCTCGCTTGCGCAACTTGCAGCGGAGGTAGCAGCGCCGCAGCCGCGCCTCGGAAATCCTGGTGATGGAGACGCCACGCAGCTAGTATTTTAGACTTCTTCTGTTCAACGAGCAACGTGTCAATCTTTTCATGCAAATTTGAAGGAAATGGCAACGCCAGCAACTGCGGTAGTGCGTTCGGCGTACTTATGATCGCCTGGATAAAACTCGGCAGGAGGGTTGATGGTGACGGATGACGCATTAGCGCGCTGTAAGCGGTTGAGAAATCGGTGGTTTGAATGGAGGCTTGAAAGAGGGATGTCAGGAGGGTAATGGTGGTAGATTGGTTTATCGACTGAGAGGCGGGACTGAGTTGGAGGGCTAGATGGGCGAAGTGTGCCATTTGGGTTGGGCAGGAGTGGGCGTCGAAGAGGTTGAGTAGGTGGGTGTAGTAGGTTGGAAGACCGTGGCCGAAGTGGATGGATTCCATGGGGGTGAGGAGAGAGTGGGAGGCGTGGTGGTAGTCGAAGTTGCTAGGGCGAGCTACGAATGGCCTGTCAGAATGAGATTAGCTCGAGCTGGGAGGACCGCTTACAGAGCTTGAAAGCGGCCTTTCTGAAGTAGATAGCTGCTTCTGTAAACTCGCCCTTTAGAAGGGATAATCGACCTTTAATGTATGTTGCCCAGGCCGTTGGGGGTTGAAAGCGGAGGAAATCCGACGCTAAGTCGAGGTTGTTGTTTGCAAGTAGATTGCATTGCACGTATACGGGGACGTCATCGAATGTCACTGTCGGGTCATGCCCACCAGTAGCCCATATTAGAAGGTCTTGAATACTCTGGGTAAGTGCTTCGCTCTGAGACTGCATTTCGAGTGACTGGGCGGGCAGATCGAAAGCAAAGAGGCTTTCGAGTACCGTTGAAATTCTAGATTTGCTGTCGATGGATGAATCGGCCTTCGAGGTGTTAGCCCGCACTAGGTTTGCTGATGGGTCGCTCTTCACCGTTCGGGTATTCTTGGCGAGCCATTGCATGATCTGATATTGCTTGAGCAGCTCGAGTAATTCTACATAAATCCGAGATGCATCGAAATTCTCCATAGGCGTCTCTTCCCTGTCAATTTCCATATCGACGACGACAACCAGCACCAGTAAATCGAAGAGTAAGCTCACACGCAGGTGTATCATTTCTTGAGCGCCGTTGATTAACAGCTTGAGACCAAATCTCGTGTGCACTAGATCCGACGCATGTTCTGGAAGACCATGAGCCAAACCATCGAGAATGGCAAGAAAAGTGTCAGTTTCTAGACCATTGAAACCTCCTATTTGGTGTAGTGCGCCCACCAAATCGTCGAAAGCCGCGCTGCCAATCTCATCGGCAAAGTTGCATTGGTCGTAGAAATATTGGATGCGAAGCGGAACAGAATATGAAGGGTCAAGCCAAAGCTCGCTAGCTAAGACCCTACCGCAGGTGCTTCGAAGCCGGTAGCTGAAGCTACGTCTAAAGGTCGTTGCTGCTTCGATGATTACTGCAAGCTCATCTGGAAGCCTGGGCTCAGCTCCGGGATCTGCTTCGATAGACGGAGTCGGTAACAAATTGTTCGATACGCTCAAATCAGCTGAGCTGTTGTGGGTTATATTTTCGATCTTATCACAGCTACGTATTGCAGAACATCCATCGGCGAAAGCAACCCAAGGCATCTGAGCGTGCTCATCACAGGCGAGAGACAAAACCTCCCATCTCGATATGTTCAGATCACGTATGTCTTGCCACAGTACAGTCCACTCTTCGTTGGTGGCTGTACGGTATGTATCAAAATCGGATGCAGCATTGACTATGCTGACATGGGTTACGATCGCTGAATTCATTCGTTCTTTCAACGGAGCCTTGGGGTTGGGTAGTGTGACTGAGCGCTCCGAGCAATACATGCCAAGAGCTGTCTCGAGGATTGTCTCTGGGTATTTGCACGGATAGAAGATGTAATCAAGCCACTTATCAGTTGCATCTTCAGGGTCCAGGTCGGAGATCAGTGGTGGTTCAGAGTCATCCAGAGTCTCGAAGGCCGTAGTCGACCAGCTATCATGCCATACGTTTATCAGATCTTGGATGTCATATTTCAGATTGTACAGTTTGTACTGCCGGTTTGACCTCATGAGAATCCATATCTCGAGGCTTTTTCCTTGCTGACCACCGGTGATCTTGAAGTCCGCAACTTTCCATATGGATTTGCTTTCCGGACTGGGGTCGGGATCTGGTGGCTTCAAAAGATACTCTGGGAAGAGATCGAGGACGCCCTTGGCACCATGGTCTGGATCCCGGATGCCCCAGAATTTAAATTGTCCAAAATCGTGTGGAGAGAAAGTGACAGCATAGTACTCGCATCCACCTATGATCTCATCGATCCTGAAAATTTGGAGTAAATTTGGACTGCCTGGGTCCAGCGTCACCTTTGGTATGTCGTGCAGCTCACGATGCTTCCACAGCAGATCCATAGAAAACACACTGGCGGCCTTGTTTAAATTCCAGATTCGTAGGGTGTGGTTTAGACACACAACGAACACATGCTTCTTGTCTGGAGATCTTGCCATGGCGATGGGTGTGCCCTGCTCTAGCAGATTGCCGTCATAATTTACAGTGTTGCTTCCCTGCCACCGAACAAGTCCTCGGAGAGATGAAGCCCATTGCCCATCACCGTATGTTGCCTCTTGCCACTTCGACCCATCTTCGTCTTTGCTCCTGGTCAACCGTAGAATCCGGCCATCACTCAGTGAAACGATAAGCTGTCGGAAACTTGCAGCGATCAGACTGTGAGGCGTGCTTATGCTGAATGTGGCCGGCTTAGATACCTTGCACCACCTTGACACGTCCTCTTCTGACGCTGCGGCGAGGCAGAAAAAGTCTTTGCGAAGCGTGAAGGTGTATAGCTCACTCCACCTTGTCAGAGCGAAAACGTTTAGGACATTTTGATCTTCCGAGTCCGCCAATGCTATGCCGCCGTGCTTGAGCCCGGCTGGGAAGCAAAGCTGTATAATGTAAGACGCTTCCCTTGTCTCATCGCTGCTCTTGCTTAGATCAATGGAACGTAGCTCCAGAATTTTCCCTTCTTGCAGTACGCGCCATAGGAAGCTTCGTGGATGTCGCTTGGATCTGCCGAAATAGAGGGATCCAGCTTTTGCAATACAGCACTTTGTGAATGAGTCTTCATCTCTGTGACCGGTAGTATTCTTCAGGATCCGTCGTTGCTGTCGTGGTCGAACAGTGAACGAGCTGTTGGAAGGGATCTGTATCTGGATCACTGAGCCTGGAGTGATGGGCTCAAGATCTGCTCTGGTCTCTTTAAAAAGAGCTATCGAGCTCACTGGACCTTCGGGATCCATTGAATCGCGGCTTGCAGCCAGCTGCTGTTAGTGGGGGACCCAAAATTCAATATATTTGCTGCGCGTCTGTTGAAACATTCTTGTCGCGCCGGCTGTTTCGTCTTTCAGAATGATTTTAAAGGATTTCTAAAGTATACAATCGATATTAGCGGCTGTAATAGATTTACGATAGAGTATTTCAAGTAAAATACTATAAACTATATATTTAACGGCGAAATTAAGGTATTTAAACGAGATTTAAAGTATTTAACTATGGAGATAATAGAGTAATTATAATGAAATACTACGTAATATTAATTAAAATCCTCTATCTTCTCTATAATTATTAATCTTCTCTCTAATCTAATCGTTTCAGAGTATAAGTATACTAATAAGTCTCCCTTCACAAGACCTGGCCGTTTAACGAGAATTGACGGTATTTCGAGACATTACAACATCATCATATTCGTATTTAAACTATATAGAAATATGAAGTAAGCTGATATAAGAGTGGCAAGTACGTTCTCTACAATTTTCTATAAATGGCGCTAACAATTGCCTTAGTCCCTTAGACCTATTAAGATCGCTAAGCCCCTTCGAATTAGCTCGCCTCGCTAAGCCCCTTCGAGTTAGCCTACTAACTTCGCAGCTAAACGACGATAGATCTAAGTATAAAACCTCGTAATCTTATCAGATCCGCGTTATTTTCGCGTACGCCTTATATAAATTTTTAAGTTATATTTTTTAAGTATTAATATCTACTTACGCGATATAATTATAATTTAATTTTCTATTATAATAATTTATTTCTTAATACGAGATAATAGTTTCATATCTTCTCTATTAAATATGCTATTTTTTAAGATTATCTCTTAAGAATCCAGCGACGTTAATATAGACATTTAAAAAATTTATAGAATCTATATTAAACTTTAAGTATTATATAATAATAATTATAATCGATTAGCTCGAGATTTCTTTTATTAGAAGATCTATACGTATATATAAGTCTTCGAAGTACGTATTTAACGTAAATAATTAAGTAAATTATAATACGCTAATACTCGAGATTAATTTAACTTCAAAATACTAAGAATATTAAGAAATTTATATATTAAGAATATTAAAAAATGCTAAATCACCGTAATGCGCGTAAGTTTTTTTAAAAGAAATAAAGAAGAATAAATTAAGAAGAATAGAGAAAAATAGAGAGTAACGAAGAAGAATAGAGAAAAGTTAATAATTTACTTATGTGTGCGCACGCGTATATATATTTATATATATATATATATATATTATTAGAACTAGTATAGATACGATACTAGTATAGATTATTACGATCGTATTCTATATCTCTCTTAATATATCATCTAGCCCTATAGTCTATTAAGGTCTAGCGTATCTTAATAGAGTTATCTACTACTATCTAATACCTTCTATCTATATAGCTATTCGATATCTAGTTATCTTATTCAATATACCTATATTAATATTATATCTATATCGATTCTAATACTATAACTAGATTACTCTACTTACTATATTTAAATTAATAGACGAATTTAAGAAATCTATTAGTAGAGGCTTTAGCAAGATATTAAGTTAAGCTATTATATTTCTAGATAAATCTACTATATAGATAATACGTTATAAAGAGTATTTATTAAGATAGCGTAACGATCTTATAATTAGTTAGAGAGATAAAGTAATTACTAAACTAGTTTATTTATACGACTAGTAAATTTAAAGAAATTATTACTTAACTTAATAATTATATAACTAACTCTCTAAGCGAAGTAAAAGTATTTAAAAGAACGATATTTAGACTATCTATAATTTTCATAACAGTTTAAATAATTTATAAACTAGGGAAAAAAGTCCCCGTAAAATATAATACCATTTTTCGAATTTGTAGTAAAGCCTCACAAAAGATATTATAAGAAGTTTTTTCTTTTCTCTCCTTCGCTTAGTATCTATAATATTAAAGAATCGAGAGAAATAACGTAACTCTCTTATCTTCATTTTAAAACCATTATTTCTAATATATAATTAAGTAAGATAAATCGAGTTAGCAATCTTCTTACTTAGATATTTAATCGATAATAGTTCTTACTATCTAATAATATAGCGAAGAATATCGCGATTATTACGAATCTATAATAGATTATTAGCGTCGATTAACTACGTAATTAGGCCGATAAGAAGCCTAATTAATTTCTTATTATACTTTACGATCTCCGCTATTAACGAGATTAGTTTTAAGATATAGCTAAATAATATACTAATCTTAAGGCTAAGAAGAATAAGATAGTAAATTAATAAGATAAGATCTAATAACGCTTAAAGTAAGTTAATATCAAAGTCGAGAAGCTATAAGAATAGAATAGAAAGCTTCGATAATAGCTAATGATAATACGATTAGATATACTTAAGAATTTATAAACCACCTCTAAGATATAAGCGTTAACCCCAATAAAGCCCGTTTAAGTTTCATACCTTACTTATAGAAAAGAGAAGTCTATTAAACTATTAAATTCTCTCTTCTTTATTAATAGTAAGAACTTCGTATAAGAGGATTAGTTAGTTAAAATAAAGGAAAAGTTATTAAATAATAAGAATCACTATCTTATCGAGACGTCTCAAATTACCTATCTTCTATCACGTATAGATAGGAAAGCGATCTCTTATATTCTAAATAGAAGATATAGAGGTATTATAAATCTCTATACATTAGTTAGCGAGATTATAAACTAGCTAGCTAAGATTTATAAAGAAATAGATCGTTATAAGAAGATAAGACGCGAATATAATTTTCTTTAATAGATAATTCAGCCCTTTAATAGATTCTATATAGAACTTATTAGACTCGATTCTATACTTAATTATAACGAAACCCACCTAAGAGATAATTTAAATATTAAGCTATAAACATATACTCGACTTTACTTTATTTTTATAGCCCTTTCTAATTATAAGTCTATGCCTCTAAGGAATATTAAGAAATATCTTATAAATAATAATAACTTATAGCGCGTAGACTATAAACTACGTCTAACTTAAGCCGTTAATAAAATAACTCTTAAAATTATCGTAACTTAGATAAGAAAGATAATTACCGCTATAATTGAGGATCATATATCTTTCGCTATTAAATCGAGTATTTATATTCTAAATATCTTTTAGAGTATACCGAAGGCGACGATCGATATAAATTCGAGAAACTTAATATATTTTAATTATAGAAAGATAGGTTATATAAAACGCGACTATCTAGTATAGAGATAGACTAACGCTAATAAGAAGGCCTTACGAGAGATAGAAATTCACGAATTTATTATCGATAACGAATATAAGATAAATCTACTAGCCGACGCTTATAAAGTCTCTAAGAATTTAGAAAATAAATAACCTCTATTAAAGTCACGGTAAGGGAAACTTATAATATATGCCTATTGGATACTTCTAATAATTCTTTAATACGCCGTTCTTTTAGAATATAAGTAATACTATCGTTATAGAGACGGAAATACTTACTTTAAAACGCCCTTATCGATAGTAAATATACTAGAATATATATAATCATTAATAAATCCCTAATTTATAGAGTTTATAAAGAATTACTATTAAAATCGATTCTATTATCGAAATCTAAACCTTTAAAGAATTATAATAGCCGAATCGCAAAGAAGCTTATTATTTACTATTTACTTCTAATAATAATAGTAAATAACCATTAAGAGGGAACGTATTCTATGCTCATCGCCCCCTTATATATAATATAATTCTAGAAAAATCATAAATAAATAAGTATAGAGTGCTCTTCGATATAATAAAAGATAAGATTCTTTTTATACTAGATCGCTATAATTATAACGATAACGAGACCTCAATAATAGAGGATCTCGCTATCTTATTAAATCTAAAACTAAAACTCTCTACCCCACAGGCTATCTTAAAGAAAGAACCTTCTTCTTAATCCACATATAACGACGACTCGAACTCTACTATCGACTCGAACGTTCCTAGCGAACTAATTAATAAAAAGAGATTAATATTTACTCCTCGAGATATAAGATAAAAATAAGATATAGACCTATAATTTATTAATATCGCCGAAATTAATACTATATTATACTATCAATTAGCGCGTAATAAGAGAAATTATCTATTTATCCTTATTATAAACGAGATCTACAACTCGCTATTAAAAGAGTTACCTCTTTAGAAGAAATTACGTAGTTCTCGCGTATCGATTAATAAGCTATATTCTTATAACTTAGAAAAGAAGTATAAGAGATACTATAAATCGAATTGCTCTATTTAAATCAGCGCTATCGAAACCGTTAGCCCTAAAGATATTAAACGAAAACTCTCTATAAAGTATTACGACTATTTAAATATTTTCGATAGAACAAAGACGGACGAACTATTATCACACCACTCTTATAATCATAAACTAGAATTCATAAAGGCCGATACCGCCGGACTATCGAAGAGTCAAATCTATTCTATATTAGAATATAAGTTAAAATAAATTAAAAAGTATTTAAATAAGTATCTAAAAAAGGGTTTTATAATACCTAGTCATGCTTCGTTTATATTCTCTATCCTATTTACCGAGAAATTAAACGAGGGTCTACGCTTTTATATAAACTATTAAAGACTAAATACTATTACTAAGAGAAATCGATATTTAATTCTATTAATAGATAAGATTCTCGCGAGAATTCAGGGCTATAAATATCTTACTCGATTAGATATTATAGCTATATTTAACAAATTACGTATATATCCTAATAGTAAGAATTTCACTACCTTTATTATCTTTCTCGACGTATATAAGTATTAGATACTTTTCTTTAATCTAATTAATAGCCTAGTCATCTATTAGCAGTATATAAATAATATTCTATTCGAATATCTAAACGACTTCTATTAAGTCTATCTTAACGATATTCTTATTTATAGTCGATTAAGAAAGAAATATATTATATATATCTGAAAGATTCTTTAGAAGCTAT